AACATGTTGAAGAGAAAAAACTAAATAAAATGTAGTCCATTTTTATTAATAAACCCTACTTTCATCTTCGAACTGATCTCCATCATCTTGCAAGAAGGCTCGAAACTGACCGTGCATATCTGCAAAAGAATATATAGTTATAAAAGTGTACATGAACAAAGTAAATACTTACCATGTCTGTGTTTTTCCGAATTACATGACAAAAGATGCGTATCGTCTAGTTCATTAGTTATGTGAGGAGCAGGATGAGCGCTTTCTTGTACTCTGACCTGTAATTTTTCTATCTTGTAGCAATAAAACAATTGGAATATTCTTATTTTTGCTACTGAATAACATTATTCTCGAGTGATTCACAACCTTCATATTCATATCACTGTCGTCCATATCATTGTCGAATACATCGTTATTATGAAGTGTCGTGCATGGTGTAATTTTGGATTTCAGGGGAATGAAATCAGGCGACAATCTTAAATGGTCATGAGAAGTCTTCAGAAAATTTTTTGAACTGAATTCTTTCAATGAGTTAATCTTCAGAAATTTTTTTGAACCGAATTAAAAGGATGCTTATTCGCTATTGACTATTTGGAGATATTCAGCGTGAAACATACGTTACAATTTCAATAGAGCCTTGTTGTTCATTACCAATATTTCTGTCATAAGTTAGGAGCCTTTCATTACTTGTAACCTTGAAAAAAATTAAAACTTGCAACTTCAACAAGCAGTATAAAAACTGATTAATATGCAGTAATAACAGATTTAAGGAAAAAATTTGATTAATAACATGCAGTAATAAAAGATTAAGATGCAGTGTTTAAATGTGCTGCTAAGGATGGAATATTGTCTTAAATATTATAAATATCTCTTGAACTTGAATAAAATGAAAAAAAAGAATCGACAGTACTTCATCTGGTTCCATATTTGTATCCAAAAGATCGTTTGGAGAATCAAGGAATTCAATTTCTTCACCAACAACTGAATCACTGAGATAAATTTCGTCATATCGTGGAGGATCCGGAATGTTTGACACGACGCTTTCTTGCTCTGAACGTCCTTTATTCTAAGTGAAATATATGCGTAGAGTAGAATGCTGTTCATATAAATGTTGATTTATAGAATTACTGTAAATCTCGTAAAAGAACAACGTGAATAGGGAAGTAATTTAAGAGGACTAACTTTATTAATCAAAGCACTGGATGATACCGATGTTGGAACATATTCCAGTTCACTTGCATCTGCAAGTCGTAATAATTCATCGTCATCAAAGTCATCAGAAAGGATAACATTTTTCTTCCGAGAAATGGGTGATACTACTCGAGGTTTGGATATCGGTGCCACTGTTTGTGATTCACGAATGTCTTTTTCATCTCTTTCACACTGAAAGTATTATGTATTTGACGAAGAATTCAATTTTATGCTGAAAGAGAAATAGAAGTAAAGGAGGACAGAGAAGAAAAAATACCGCAAAGTCGGGAATTATAAAATTTCCAGAGGGTTTGATGAAGCGGTACTTGCCAAACTGCACACGTTCACGACATTTCACGCTGTCGTACTTCAGTTTCAGGCTTGATCCTTCCAACATTGGTCTCAACTCAATACATTCTGCTCGGAGCAACAATGCAATTTCATACAGTAAAAAAAGGAAACTTCTCCGAACTTTCCCGCTACAAACTATTTTAAGTGGGGTAAGTTCTGGAGCGCTATGAAAATCATCAAATTTTGACTTTTACAGACTTTCACATAGAGAAGAAGGATGTCAGTTAAGTCATTTTGAGCACTTGTAGATGTAAGTGTACGTTGTTACATCTCGTTTTCTACTGTTAGAAGATATGACTTAAAGATAATAAATCAAATTCAATGAATTTTCAGTTACTGACTTTAAGAGTTTAATGGCGGGAAGGTATTGCCATCTCACTGAGATTACACTATCTTATTAGCGCTCTCATTGATTGATCGATTCGGATGTCCCCGAAATAGTCAGCAGAGCGTAGAAATAAATCTGTTTTACTAAACAGCGGGAATACTTGAGTGATTGTATGGAAAAGAATTTGAGGGATGGTTGACACCCACTCTCTTTCTCCCTTTCTCTCTTTTTTGTGAATTGAAGAGCGCAGTTGTGCTGAATTTAAATTTTGGTAGTGGAAGCGTGCGGGGATTTTAGTTCGACGATAATGTGATATTGATTTGATTGGGAAAGGTAAAATTTTGTCTGACAAGTAGAAAATAATGTTATTTAAGATCTTACCCTGTACTTGTTAATCTCTTTTACCACTGCTTTTTCAAGAAGGGAGAGAGAGTGGTAAAAGAGGTTTGAGATATTATGGAATTTTTATTTCATTGTTTGGCAAAACGAATAAATATCGTTAAGGTTTTACGGACCGATGTTGTAAGGCAATTGTCAAGAATATTCAGAATAGAGTTAATTGCCATGTTGATGTTTTTCGGAAATTTTGACAGGGATTTGGAGTTGTTATGGGTAGGAACTTGGTAAGAGTATGGATTCTTGTTAGCGGATTGTTTTTTGGAAGTGATCAAGAAAGAGTTATTTTTGAATGACCTTAATTCGTTTTATAGCTGGAGTGATTTACAGTAAAACACAGTTCTTTTGCAAAACAAAAAGAGTTAAGTGAACAAAAAGAATTATTTTATATTTTGGCTATTGAATATAAGTTTAATTCTAAAATAAAATAATTTACATGCGAATTAGTTTAATTTAAAGAGTGGAACATTTCCTTTATATTAGTTTTGAGTGATAATAAATGTGATTCAGAGAAGTGTTCTGAATAAAAGCAATCTTTATTTCTATACTGCAAATTCAGTTAGTTATTACGAAATACGTACAGTACGACATATTTGATAACATTAAACGTTAAATTAAAAGAAGTTAAAGAATGAAGTAAAGGTTAAGGAATAAAATAATGAAGTAACAATGGCCATCGAATATTAGTTCATTTGAGAATTAGTTCAAGTTTTGGTTTCCGAAGACATCAAATTGCGGAAATTTCAATTGAGTGCAAAGTTGGACATGATAGATTGCAAGAAATAATATGCCATTCCATAGCACTTTTGATATATCTGTTCTACTGCAATTTTTTTTGATATGCAGTTGATGATAATAACAATTAGGAGATATCTTACCTGCTGTTGTCTCTCCTACTTTTCCTTATTTTTTCTTTTTTCGTATTTCCACCTTGCTCATTTGAATTCAAAGGCTAACCAGCACTGGCAGTCGTTTGCGTTATGTAATATAATGATTGAATGGCATTTGATTTTTTTTTTTTCTTTTTAGAATATGCTTTAAATTTTTAGTAAAATTTTTATAACCAATTAGACATCGTCAATTTCCATTTTTATAGCGAGGGTCGTCGTCTCGCTACGGAAATACTTGAAATATCATTTTTTTATGATGAAGCATTCCTACTTCTGTCGAGAAAAGTTGTAATCTTGTAATTTAACTGCTGATAGATACTGTCACTCAACTAAGTAATTCTAATATATTTTTCTTTGAAAATGTGTTTTCTTCTGAACGTAGGCGATATTTCGCAAAATGAAAAAGTCCTCATTTAACCCTTGTTGAAACTGTAGACATATTTTAATGATTTAAATTGTATCAGATAAAGAGATGAATGTTCAGATCAGATGATATGGAATTCGCGGCTAAAAGTTTATTTTTAGTTGATAGATGGTTAAAATTTTTTTTTTTTTTTTTGAAAGGTCTACTTTGAGGTAGGGAAATGGTGGTGAAATGTCTTGGTGCAGTATATCAACTTATTTTAATTGTGGGCTGTTCTCAAATCAAGTTTAATCCAAAAAGGAAAAGATATATTGATTTTGGTTTTTTTGATTTATATATATGTTAATGCTGAAATATAAGTAATAAAAGGACACTTCTGGTTGAAATTCTGGAAAAGAAACTTAACAGATTACAAATCAATCTGTGTGATAAGCAATAATGCTCCTGGAGATTTCAAAATATTCTTTCATTTCATCCACGTTTTCTCAATTTATAACTAAATTACAGCATTGCGACAACTGCATTTCTGAAGTCATTTTTAAACTTTTGTTAACATTTAAAAAACATCAAGGAAAAAATATTTCTCTGTGGAAAGTTCCGAAGCCCACAAACTTTCAAATTTTTAGGGACAAAATAAAATATTTAGCATTTCGAATGCTTTTAATGATGGTTTTTAGTGAGTCAAATTCAGATCTAATTCGAATTCCAACAGTTAAATTTTTTGATACAGTTTCTCTATTAAATAGCTACTTCTTTATAATAGTATCTAATTTTTTGAAAAAAAAAAAATCTTTTGGTAAAATTACATAGATACAATTTTTGCGTTTACTGAACCGTTTTTTTGTTTTGTGCCATGCACCAGCGCCCTAAATTTAAATAAAAAATATTGAAATGCCGAGAAGCAGTTTCTTGGGAAGCTTTTGTTTCATCTCTTCATTGAGTAATATTGAATTAATTCTGCATAGTTTTCTAATATTCTGCGCATTTCTGTACAATAAATCTTTTTTCTTCCGCACTTTTACAAGTACCAATTGTAGCGATCTTGCAACCTTGGCGACAGGTGTTTCAACTTTCGTTCCAATAAACATCTAAACTGCTGCAATGACAGAGTAGAGGAAGAAACAGGGTTTTCGCCATGACTGGTGGGCACGAAATTGAGAAAGCTGGACATCGTTGATCCGCGATAACGATTGATCCGCTACAATATTTCCAAATTACAGACAAACTAAATTTACCTGTAATTCGATTAGTCAGAAAATATTTCTTCTTTTTATTTTTTCAACTTGTAACTTGTAAGTGTTTTATAAAAGGAACCTTTGTAGTGCAACTGGAAGTCATCCGAGTCAGATCGTATGTGTGTCAATTTTTATACGCAGTATACAGTATTGATATCAACGGTTAAAATTTAATAGTGACCCTATGCATGACACAGTGCACCTGGCGACTTCAGTGTTGAGAAATTTAGTCAAAATTGTGAAGTGACACAGTTATGGGTCATACTCCTATATCATGGGGTGTAGACATCGGTACACATATACATACAGCATGTACATCTAGAATTCCAATCTGTTCGTTAATTTTCAATCTGATATATCAAGGGGTTGTATAATTGGGCATAAAGGTTATTCTCTATTTTATTTCTTTTCTTAACCAATAATACTGCTACATTCAGTTGCAAATCAAACTACCTAATGAAGATCTCTTGATTTTAGTTGATCTTCTTATGATTCATATCATACCATGCTTGAATCTGTCCAATGTTCCCATCTGATCATAACATTAATCATGACCTACGATAAATAGAGACAACAGCAAAATAAAGAAGAGTTCTGAATGAAATATGGGCAAAACCAGAATCGTAATAAAAGTTTTTCTAATACCTTTGAAATTTAAATTTTTTCAACACCTTGGAAAATACTTCTTGATGTAATAATACCTTCGAAATTAGCTTAACAATGGGAAAAATAAATCTTAAACTTAAACTATGTATTTTCAGATTACTTATACCAATTCGAGCTGCAGCACGTGGTCGTGGTCGACGTAATGCTTCATGTCGACCAGCAGAATCTTTGACGTGTCAACCATCTGTTGGTGCGTTACCAAGTCCCATCGATTATAGAAGGAAACTTGAACAAGAAGATTATGAAGTGATAATCTTTGATAGCGCCAAAAAGGTTCTCTATACATAGATTTAACTAATGACGAAAATTAGTAGCCTCGAAAAAAGTTCCAAATATTCTGATAAGCTTCATCTCTTTGTTTCAGGGTCTGCAGAGTAAACTAGATTATTCGGCTGTAAAATTGAGAAAAAGACAACTAAAATCACCATATCCAGAATTAATGCGTATACGAGTGAAAGGTATTTGTTCTTTAGCCATCTTATTTACTACAACCGCCAATTTCACTGTGAAGTGGAAATTTTCGTTTAAAAATCACTGTCAAGAAACATTGTTTTATTGCTCATATTTTTCTAAATTTAATTTTTTCGTTTGTAAATACAATGATTTAGGTGATAAGAATATCGATGTTCGATTAGTACCACCCAAATATACCTCAGTTCATGCATATGCTGTATTCATTCTAGTTACGCCAAATCAATTATTCGTATACCAAGGGAAATACTCTAGTTTACTGGAGAAGAGTAATGTAATTCTTTGTTTAGTATTTGTTTAGCAGCTAGTATTCAAAAAATGTCGAATTATTTATTAATAAGACTCTGCAATAATTCAACTTTTTTTTTCAGACTCCACAATTACTATTAAAAAAATTGTATTTTTCCCATCTTACTCAAAGTGATGAATATTACAAAGAGAAATTTAAACTGTTTACTGGAATTTATTTGTTTCTTACTATTTAAAAATAAGTGTAATTAGCTTGTCGTATCTTTCTGGCAAAGAAGTTCTCTTTTGCAAATATAATCTAACCCTGCTCTACTATCTGGTCATGCATTTCTTGTCGCTTTATATTTGAAAATGAAAAAATTTGAAAATCCTAAGATTAAAGTCTAATTATTCAGAAGGTTAGCCAAAACCTTGTCATTAGATATAGTTTCAGGCAGCAATAATAAGTACAAGTATTTGTGAAAGAAACGATAAATTGGGATGCAGTGCGAGGCACTTTGAAAATGTTCATGAAGGAATAGGTACTGGCGCATTTTGGCGGTTACTTGGATTAAGTGAAGAAGAATGTGAAGATGCCACAAGAGAGGAATATGTTCCAGAAAATCTCCTAATCCTAGATAAACCATTTGAGAATATTGCCGCACAAGTAAACATGATTTTTGAAATTGATGAGCATTATAATATACAACGAATCTCATCAAGCCACGCTCCAAAGTTTTCTGTCTTTCATCCAAAAAAGGTTGGTTTTTCACTAAAACTAATTAATTACTTATCAAAGCTAAAAGAAAAAAAAAAAAAAAACTAATCAACGTATATGTTGGCACAAAAGCTATATTCTCTACATTTCAGGAACATTAACTAAATAACAATACCTTAGCATTATGCATTTTATCCTCTGCAACGCAAATGAGAATTAGTTGATAAAGATATGTTCTTTGGAAAGACTTAGTATTCACTTAGTAAATCCGAAAAATCTTTTCAACAAGAGTAATCTTTATTTAGTCTATGAAAGATTAGTTTTTGAAGTCTTTTAGTTTGAAGTTAATAAATTCATTTTTTTACCATTTATATTTGAAATCTTATACTTACCTTTTAAATTGGTAAATTTGCGTTTTAGAATTTGATTTTTGATTTTGGTTCTGAAATTTATGTTTGGGTTGGTCGAAACGCTAATCGTATTGCGACATAACATGCAGTTGCGTACGCTGAAATACTGGTACGTTTCAATCCTATGTTCTAATTTTATTATTGCCACTGAAACCTTTCATGAATAAATATGCTACAAATTATTGAAGATGAAAAAAATCTTTAATCAAAAAATACAATAATCAGCAGAAAAATATCCGGCAGCACTCAGTAAGTTTGAAAAATCTAAGTAATAATAAAAGATTTTCTTGAAGTCATTAAACTACTCGTAATGAATGGAAATAAATAACTGTAATGAACAAATTTTTTTTTAACTAAAAGATTTTAGCGCACTAAACCTCTGAACGTGGTCATTGGATTAGATCAGATGATATTAGGTGATAATTTTGATGTAACTCGACCAGTTTGGTGCCTGTACATCAAGCTAGCTCAGGGACTGAATGATTCACTCTTTCAACACAAATTTCATGACTGGCAAGAAATAACTCTTCATGCAAGAAATCTGTATAACACGCCTGCCAACTGTAAAACCTCTACGTTTCAAGCTTCAGTACTATGTGAAGAAGAGAATGCTTAGAATTTAGGAAGGTGGATTTTTTCTGATCAGTTTAACTTTATACAGTAATGGAGAAATCAGAAAATCAAAACTTTAAATTTTGGAAATATAAATTTAAAATTGAAAACAATTCTGTTTTCAAAGTAGTAAAACTTCTTAAACACTGACTTTTGAAAATCAAAATTTAATTTATTACAGAAATCTTGCATCCCGACCAATGGAAGAGTCAGTTTTATTCCTAGAAGAAAAGGAACTATATAGAAATTCCAGAAATGTTTTTACCGAGAACGTACGATACTTTGTTTTGGAAGATGAAAAGACATTGAATGAAATGGATGAACTATGGATCTTAAAGGATGATCGCTGCTATATTGTTAAATGGGAATATCGAATTGAACGAATAGGCAAGTTTTTTTATTTTTGTTAACAGGCCTAGTTGACCTCGCATATATTATAGTTGAAGCAAAAAAAAAAAAGAAAAAAAAGAATGCTAACACATTTCAGGAATACGAAAGTTGGAAGGTTATTTTTAACTTTCAAAAATAACTAATTAAAAATGATGGTGAAGTACATATCATCTATCACTACAATAGATAGTTTGAATTGATCGATATCACCACATTCCGACATGTCAGACTAATTAGAAAATGGTTTGATATAATGCTTTCAGGGCCAAGAACCGCCACTGTTCTTACGATTATTTCAAGGATCACTAGTAGCTATATGTGGTTGTGGATCAGGCATTTTCCTTGTTTATGGATCTTCAATTGTCAGTGAGGCTCGAATGGAGGAACAAACTTTACCTATCGTTTATCGTGCTCATGCTGTATATATTGCATTAAATGATAGGAAAATAACAATATTGGAGGGAGTTGGAAGTAACGAAACTTCAAAGATAGCAGCTATGAATTTTGCCAGAAAAATCAAAATGAATTATGGTGTCTTTGAATAGTTTATTTCAGAAGCAGTCATTGACCGCTGTCAGTTGACTGGAACGGAAGATTATGCTGTAATCGAAGCAGATCACTGGATAAAGGTATATCATATCATAGTCTTCATAAATCTCGCATCAGTGACTGCTTCAATTTTATTAAATTTTGATGCATTTATCAACTGTCTTCATTTTATCTATTCCACATTTTCATTACAGCCGCCACGGTTATTCCGGCTGTTTGAGAAAAATGGTGAAGAACTGTTGCCAGCAAATTGGGATTCTTCTCTTCCATTCTCATTTCAACAGGACAGTTCTTGACAATGGATTTATTAATACATATTCATATCTATATAAGAACTTATCGCTCAAATCGCAGATTGAATTGCAAAAATTAGAGTACACACTTGCTAAGTCATATAGAAATTGCAAAGTTTTTATTTGTAAACAGTGCGCATATTATACATATAATTGACATTTGAATTAAAAAAAGGTATATTTCAGGGATACTATTATAGTAGATCAGACTAACAGACTGTGGGTTTGGAGCGATAAGACGGTCAGTACATTTGCATTGCGTGTAGCTAACGCTTATTGGTTTGGTCGGAGTGGTCCAAAGACAGTCATTTGTAAAACACAAGAACCAGATTCATTCAAAGCACTCTTTGCTAAATGGGATGATTTCGTTGATGAAATTGATGAAAATGAACCTATGTCAGTAAAACTTATGTTTAGTCCTACTTCTAAATCTTTGAAATAAGGAAGTATCTAACAGTACACTACCACTCATTTTCTTCTGAAACAAATCTTCGCCGCATAAATCCAACGTCTTCCGTAAACTAAGTGCACTGTTGACATACATAAGCTAACAAATTTATCATTTTTAGCAGAGCCCACTACGATGCCGATCAATCGAATTAGACGAACTGTTACAATTACGAACAAAAACTTGGCCACTCGAAAAAGTGAAAAACCGAGATTTGCCACCTGGCATTGATCTGAATCGACTAGAGCAATATCTAAATGACGATGACTTTCAATCGCTGTTTCGAATGGAACGAATAGCTTTTTACGTACTCCCACACTGGAAACAAATTGTGCTTCGCAAAAAGCATAAACTATTTTGATGTATAAAATTTACTTCAAAATATTAAAACATCTATATCTAAATCCATGAGCTAAGATTTCGAATCTCCTTTCAATCCTTTTTTTTTTTTTTTTTTTAAATCAAATTATGAAAGATAACAGTGATTTCAAAATCACAATGTTCCGTATTAACGAAGTTACATCACTACTGGGGTTTTTATTAGGAATAACTATTTCAGTGAATGCTTCCTTTCTTGATATTAAGAAACTTAGCTCCCTCACTCCGTCATCAGTGGTCTCATGACTTATGTCATATAGTTACCAACTGTTACATTAAATTTACATTTTTCTTCGTTATGCCATATCTTCACAACTTTCTAAGCCCTCAACCGGTGATATTATCCGTATCATTTCTCAGATTCTCTCTTTCAAATCCAATTCACAGATGTAGCTTAATTCTGTTACAGAATATATGAGGTCTCCAATGACATACAATAAATAAAGATGTATTCAAAAAAAAAACCCTAATCCCGAATCAAAGTTTCTCATTACCGATTCTAGTACTTAATGAACAGTAAGCTGTTCAAGTTCTTTTCCAAAGAGCACTGGATTTTCTCTTAACACCCCATTAGCCCCTCTAGGTGATAGAGAAACATATCTGTTGAAAGAAAAGTTGAAATCCAGCCAGTTCTTTATCGAAAAAAGAAAAAAATAAAATAAGATTTTCTCTTAAAAAGAAATAGAAGTAGGAACAGGTGTAACATGAACGATCCATAACTTTACGTCTTCCATTAATAGACATATAAAATGATACTTCAGCTTTTAAGATGCTAACGAAGCAATGTAGTAATAACTTCTAGGAATTGAGAAGTAAATATATTTCGCATGAGTATTCATGCTTCTTTTTGCAAACACTGCCATCGTTAAGTAAAACTGTGCGTGGATTATATCACAGATATTCAAGGAAAATTGTTCGACTGAGTCTGTACTCAGTCTAATAATTTAAGTCTAACAATTTAATAAATTCAAATTTTTGTAGTGTTCGTACTTTTCTCAATACTTTATTGCTCCATAGTGGAAATTTTTTCGAAAGATAACTATTTCTATTAAAAAATAACTATTTCCGCGCACCAAAAGTTTTATGGAATTTTTATCTCATTTCTAGTGAAAATTTGAAACAAGTACTGTGTAAAAACATGTGTGGATAGTGTCGTGATATCATGTGATTTCACAACATAGCAGCCCAGACCATTCTCCTCCATTTCAGTATACTTCTCTTAAATCAAGATTTTTGAGAGATTTTTGCTTATGTCTTTACTGTGAAGAGAAATCTTTTATCTGTGTAGAAAGATCTCCCATTCTCTCTTTTTCAAATGCAACAAATGAATACATAAATAATAAAACTGATTACCAAATCACCAGTCAGTAACATCTAATTCATCAACACTCCAGTCCTCAAAAGAACCATCGGGAAGATATCTGCAACAGGAGATCTTCACCAGCTATTTAAAATTTTTATAATTCATTTGTGTTAGAGATGTGGAATTCCAAGAATCATTTTTTTCCGAGTCCCTTTAAGAAAATGCGGGACGACAAAAAAAGTAAAATAAAAATTTTCTTAAGAACGAAATGAGAACGACTTACTGAGAAGGCGACTTGCAGAAGAAAGCAGTAATCAAATTATTGCACTTTCTTGATCAAGAAAGTCAAAGGGAAGTACAAAGCAGTAATGCAACAAAATGATGTCTCTGTTTTTTCGTTCATTTTTCAGATGTGTTAATAAAAAGCAGAACTCACCTTCTCACGATAAGAGGTATCTTTTGGTGCTTGAGTTCTTTGCGAGCTATCTCCAACGGATCAGTTTCTCCTTCTAATTCTACCATAACTGGCGCACCCATTGCGATTTGCAACGCTCTCGTGCCAAGGATCCGTGCTCGTTCATATTTTGTCATGAATGGAGTTGTGACGCGCTCCGTAGATGCTGTTTTCTCCGATCCCTGACACAAACAAACATTGATATGGACAGCACTACATAAAAACTAATACAGAAACTAAATTAAAAAATCGTCGTCTAATTCTCTTCCTTATGAAATATTTTACGAAAATATTTTATGAAATATTTAAAAATTTTTATATTTTATACTAACTCTTTTCTCTTATGAGGAAATGAATTCGCAATCATACCAAATCGGAAAGTCCCGTGTGAAGTTGCTAAAGATGAGATTTTTTTTTTGCTTATGGAATTTATAAATCCTAAATGTAATTCCGAAAATTTTTAAATCAATATTAATGTCTTGCAGTTGCAGGAATTATATCAACTGAAGAAGGAAAACAAAAAGAAACCTCAACGACTTGTATCCTTTCAGTATCATCTTCGGCCGGTTCCAAATCTAAATCATCCATCTGCTCTTCATCGCCAAAATCATCGGCCTCCATTTCACCTTCGTAGTCTTCGTCTTCCGCCATTTTTGACTCACCTAGAAAATATCGAAAAGTCCAGCAGTTTGAATGAATTCATTATATATATTCTATCGCTTTATGGACCAGTAACTTTTCTCTCACCGTCATAAAAAAATAAATTTCATGACACTTAACGGGACATCTTCAGAGATTCTGGATTCGTAACAAACCCTTCTGTCGTAAAACTCGAGATTGAGAATGATAAGGAACACAGAAAGTCCACATGATGAGCTTACTGGACTTGACGAGCGAGTCATCAACACAACGTAAATGACAGATCATAATGCTACAAGTCATCGTCTAATTCTCTTCTCTTATAGGATATTTTACACTTATCTTAATCATTGTTTGCCTTTGTCTCCGTGGGAGATTTCAGTTCCACGTCGTGTCTCGGCTGTTAGTTGTTTTTGAGTGGGGTTTGGTGCGAAGTGTTGTCTTGCGATATCTATTGTCTTCACAGGTATTTACAGAAGGGTAGCACTTGATGCAGGATGGTCCGTACGAAGCAAACCGCAAAAAAATCCTTACCAGCTCGGGGAAAATTAATGAAACTTCGCACAAAACGAGATCGAATAAGTGGTGCTAAGCATAAAGTTCGTAGTGATGCTGCTAACGAAAGCACCATCAAGAAACGACGCTACAAGCCAGGTCGGTTGTAATTCCATGTATTTTTTAGTATGCAATGTTATTCTGTATTCTCTGTCTTGAATTCAAATTACTTTCTTCCATAACTTCATAATAAAGGATCACTTATTGCTTGTAATTTCCGGAACCATTCGTAAGAATTACTGGTGGTTAGAGAATTATTAGTGCTGTTGTTCAAATTGGATTTTGCAGAATATCTTATTTTACATTTTATGTGAATGTTTGAAAATTCATATAGTTGAATGTGTGTGGTGCTCAGGTATGCGTGCTTTGCAAGAGATACGGCGATTGCAAAGAACGGTTAATTTGCTCATGCCGCGTGCACCATTCCAACGTTTGGTGCGTGAAATTGCAACGAATGTGTCCGAAAAAAACGTCGATTTGCGTTTTCAGTCTCTTGCAATATCAGCTCTACAGGTAAGTAATTACCTACCATACATCCGTGTCTTTTACTTGGCTCAGATTTATACCAAATACGGATAGATCACAAGGTATCACTCATATTTTAAATGAATGCAGCAAGTCTAAAGAAAGCACTGTAATGTTTCATAAGCTATTTCATAGATTAATTAAGAACTTTACTAATGCCCAACGCAAAATATTTAGCAGATGTCTGTCACTAAAAAGTGAGGTTTGCATAAGTAAATATAAACTTAGTGTTATAATTATTATGAAATGTCTGCTGTAACTGAGGTGTGAGTTGAGCTGCTTACTGGTCCTATCACTATCACCTATTACACATACACATATATTTGTCTTATTTGAAGTTTTAGTAGAACTTCTACAAACTTTAATCTTTTAAAATTACTCTACTTTTTAGGAAGCTGCGGAAGTATATTTGACCTGCTTATTCGAAGATACTAATTTGGCTGCTATTCATGCGAAACGTGTTACTATCTTCCCCAAGGATATTCAATTTGTACGTCGTCTTCGTGGCGAATTTGCTCGATTTGGACGTTAACTATAATTTTTTTTTTTTTGCTTTTATTATTAATGTTCATTATTAATCTCGACACGTAAATTAGCTCCATATCTTTGTGACAGTTATTTTATCCTCAAAAATGTCGAGTTTTTGTGACTTTCAGAATTAAATATATTCTTATTATTCAGCACTTTCAGTCAAAAAATAAAATAAACGTTGCAAGAATGTTCTCGTAGGCGAAGCCGAAGAAATGCAATTAGTTGTACATAGAAATATTTTTATGTTATTCATTTCATCCGCGTTTTGTAAACACTGAAAGGTCAGAGCGCAGGTAATTAGTTAAGGATTCAACAAGCAGAAAGGATGAATACGCACAGCGGATATGTTCCGATCTGCAAGTAGGACTAACCACTGAAACTATACACTGAAGTTCAAACAGTGATCAAAGTTAAATGCAAAATTTAATATCGAGAAATAGATCCAAGGCGGTGACAGTTATAAAGAGTTTTGCAACATTTACATGAATAGTACTCAATATCTACTGTGTCTCATTCACTTCATCCGTGTTGTACAAACACGATTTGCACAACATCGTACAAGACTGGTGAAGGCTGCTGCTGAAGAAACGGATAACAACAAGAAATCCAAATTGGTGGCCATTTTGTTCGACAACTTAAGGTTTTGTCCTGAATAATGATAATACTGTCGGTGTTTGGTGAACATTTCTTCATTTTCTTTTGGAATTTCCTTGTTATGCTTTCAGATTCCACGAGAACATGTTAAGAGCAATTCTTCATACCTTAACACATCAGGTCCTTTTTGTGTTTATAATGATTTCTTTTATACCTCAATGAATCATGACGATATGGTAATAAACTATTTTGTAAAAAATTGTTTTGCAAAATTCTTGGAAATTCCAAACCAGTATTTCTAAATTATGTATGGTGTGATTCAAAACCATATTTCTCCTGCAAATTTTGGCCTTAAGTTTCTCTGTAATTGGTCAAATCAGTCCAAGTTTTCTCTGTAATCAGTAAATTACTAGTAGGGAGAACTTTATAGAATTCATAAATGCTGAATGACTATTCATTATTCAAAACAAAATGCTTCCAGTGCTCATGTAGTCAGTGTTGTTGCACTTTTCAATTTCGTTAAACTTGTTTTGAACAGACGAGCAGAAGTGTTCATCTTTTGTTTTTCGGAAGATTTCGTTCACCTTTATTCGCCTTTATAGAAAACACCTCTCACTTTCAAAGGTCATGAAAAACTGCAGTGCTTCATTGAGTCATAGCATTTTTACACGTTGCAATACTACAACGATCCATTGCAATACATTTAGAGATTAACTAAAGTTTCCATTCAGTTTTACCCTGGAAAGAAACAGAAACAAGATAAAATGGAAAATGAAAATGCAGATGCGCGTTTCCTTGATTCCCAAATTCCACTGCAATCCTTTTCGATATAATTTTTCGCCTATTTGAGATAGATAATCAGTCCTCCGAATATTTCACTCCTTGTTAGCACACGAATACAAAATTGGTTGAAACAAAAATACGAAAACTGGTTGAAATTGAATACTATTAAAGTTATGTCTTAATTGATGCTTACTCTAACAAGCATCCTAACTCAAAGTACAGCGCATAATCGACTGTGAACGCATAACATTCCCACGTATACGACTGCAATATATTTTTCTAATATCCTCTTCAATAGATGTCACTTCATCAATTCAATGAATTACACAATCAATCCTATAAAATGTATACGATTCCCTGTATAAAGATTCGCTATCAATGTACTGTTGTGTTTACACTACCTTCCTAAGTAAATTTCTGACTGGAGAAAATGATCCAATTCAATTCCATTAAAACTTTTTCTTAATTTATATGCTTCGGAAATTGCTCTCCTTAAATGAGTTCTTTTCACCCCTTCAGTGAATTACTCCATCAAGACTGATATCACAAACTCTAACCTCTGGTCTGAGGTCTTTCTGCTCCACAGTTAATCTATTTATCTTACTTCTATGAATCATCTTTCTACGTCTTTTTTGATGAGTTCTACAATTCGTTGCCCAGGAGAGCTCAAAAATTTATGTTTGAATAGCGTAAGCTAGCTTTATCTTAGGCCTTGAGCTATCTCAGCGAACCACCAGAACCCATTTCATCGGATGATATAGCTATATGCTAGGGAATTTGTGCGTACATTAATCCAATAAACGCTTCCTCCTCATTATTACTCCTTCCTAACGTGCTTACTGGAAATGTCGACGGAATGCAATAATTCAGCACAAAAGATATTCCGGAAATGTGTTCAGAGGAGTTAACGCGTACACAGTATGTAAATGTCAATATCCCTCTCCGTTCTATCAGGACACTCCTGCACACCATTTGCATATCCTCCTCCTCCGTTGGCCTGAATTGCTGCCCACAGGGCCTAGCTGGCAGCACCATCCTTAATATCGACAATCGATACACCCTGCTTACCCTTACTGCTTGCTGCTCTCCCCAAATGCTGAGATACAGAGGAGAGACAGAGAGACAGGTACGTCAACGCACAAGAGAGAGATGGAGGGGAATGTTGTTGTAAGACGTTGCGGCTGGGCATACATTTGTTGTTTGGTGCGGAGTGTTGTTGTTGCCGCTAGAGTGTACGAACGTGTCGGCGACAGTTATTCGCTGGACTTGACCCGACTGATCCATTCCGACCCGAGCTAACACTCTACTCGACTCATCCCGAAGTATTATACTATGGGCTATTTTTAGAGCTGTACAGGATCATTTGCGAGAATTGCGCTGTTGATCACTGAAATTTAAAAAGCCTGGCCATTGGTTCATTGTTGGTGGGGTGTTTCTTTTCCAGCTGTGATCAGTGAAGGAGTAAACATGGTCGAGCTATGTGAACTTAAATTAGTGGATCAGAATTTGGAATCACAATGGCCAGCTGACATCGATCAGCACATCGCACAGCTTGATTTTCAACGATCAACTGATGACGAGGATATAAGCCTATTCTCAAGCATGGCTTTAGATCCTTCCATCATATCCACTGATAGCCTTGACATCGAGAAGCTTCATGCCCGATGCGAGGTTTGTCATTTCTCTTCCCCACTGTGCTTAGTACTAACTTTGTGGTTTCACTTCCCTCCACATACATACATTTTACTATCTCTTTTGTTGTAAAGCGGAGATGATTATATCTTCCCTTTGGTATCTTTTCAGTACTATGAAATTATTTCAGTTCTTAACTGTCTTTTATTTTCACTTCTCTTTCCGCTTAAGCCAAAAATTCATTCATGCTGTTCCAGGAAAGTTTTTTCTCAATTTTCAAGTGTTCATTTGTTATGCTAATTCTTTGTGAAAAATAGTGTTTCAATATTCCAAATATACATATAATAGGCTATTAATAAAATATTTTTATTGTTGACTGTGATAGATATTTCGTATTGTCGACGTCACTGGTGAATAATAATGATTCTGTAAGCTTCAAGTGAGATAGATCTGTATCAGCAGCCTTGGTGTGACAAGCTAAAAATGAGATGTATCACATCTTTAAAAGCACTTTGTTATTAAAGTTCGTGCCATAAACATTTAATTTCTTTCTAAATTTTCAAATCTTAGTATTTAAATTTTTAAGAAACTCTCAAATCTTGAAATAACGTGCAGAGTATTTTTAAATGCTTGGAGAGGAGGGTCAGGATTAAAGAAATACCACTGCGATGACTAAAGTGGGAATATAAAGAGATGAATTGTTGGGACTTGTTTATAGACTTTACTGATCTATTATCCAGTAATCTCATTTGATAGGGCATCACTTATATTCTTCATTTGATTGTAACATTAAACTTTTTGAAAACAAAACTGATTTTCGGGATCAAATAAATTATATAGTATTCAAATTACAGTGCAAAAACTAGTTCACTATGCTTTTAAGCAAAGCTCATTTTCATTTTTTATTAAATTTGGATAAAGTGTTTTGACTTCTGTATCAAAACTTTTCCGCTTGTGCGTTATTGAACCATCTCTAATTTTTTAAAGGTGTTTCATATTGCATTTATCTATATCAGTTATCTTTAAGACTGAATCCACGTTTGATCAAGTATGGTAATAGGCTCAGAGAGAATTGGATGTTTTAGAGTAATTTCTTGTAATATTTTGATTAATGAGATTAACTTATAATTTCCACTTCTAATTGCTAGCAGCCTCAATCGATGTAGAGAATGACAGTATGTCATTAAATATATGTTTGTTATCTGATTTATCTCAGCTGAGCATATAAACTTTTGAAGGGGAAAACGTCATTAAAGGTAGGACTGGAAAATGAAACGAAAGTTATATTTTGGATAAGGTTAAATTATGCTTTCCATGTATTAATTGTTGCATTATATTCAAAATAATATATATTTATGTTTGTTGTAAAGGTATCTAGAATGAAACCGTTAGTGATATTCTAAAATTCCCAGCTTCAGGACAATATTTATAGTTCTTTCTTTTTCATTTAACGGCGATCTTTCTTTGCATGTAAGCAGTGGATAATTATAAAATATATATATATATATATATATATTGATTGTAAATGAGATATAATCCAACTTCATTTTTATTTAGTTCACTTTTGTTTAGGTAAATTATTCAAAAACCTTTTTTTTTGCAAACTTTTTTTTGCAAGCATTATTTCATACTACTCTCCCCTCGACGACATACCAGTCAAATTATTTTTTGGTACTTGATTTGTGTATCTACCAGCATTTATTTCCTTTTATGCTGACGACTAACTTTTGCGAAAAACTAAATAGAACTTTGTCAAATCACTCTATTTATATTAAATATAATTCTAATTTTTTTTTGCCTGTAATTCCACTGTTTCCCAACAAGTCGATTTGTGCCAAAATATGTTGTAACAGGTTATGCATTTTTCAAAATTCTCATCTATTTTTTATGCCAAGAATTCAAGCATAGAGGAATTTTCTATAAAATTAAATTTTTTAAAACCTCATTCACCGGGTTTTTAAAGTAATTAACGTATGATAGTTAAAAGCATTCTGTTACGATTGTCGACCTCCTTTTTCCTATTTCCATTTCATATAAAAAATGAGAGCATTTTAGTATTCTTTTCTTCAAAGGGTTGGTTTAGTCAATTTGATTCTTACACTACCTTTTTTGGGAAAGATCCTTAGTGCTGTCAGGACACATTAGTACAAGTTCCACTTCGTAATTTTGGTAAATCATATGGAACAGGTTAATTGATTGTACAGAGAAAACAGCTGATGAGAGCTGTAATGATTGTAATATCGTTCGATGAGTGGTTTATCGTTTCAGGTATACGTTTTAACACTTCAGTGCTTGAATATTAACGAAGTTTTGAATTTGTAAAACACTAACAAACAATGAGGGGCGACAGCTAAGTGGCAGTGTGTACCACTGCTGAAATTAATAGTACATTTTCACAAGTCAGTTTTTAGAATCTTTTATTTGATTCTCCTATTAAAAAGAAGTTTGAACCCGAAAATTTTGAACTAGAAATTAAACCTAGTTTAGGCTGAAATTTATTCGATCATTGAACTCTGCACTACTTTTTCTGATCTTTCTTGTGTTGCAAAGATTTTCAGAACAAAATGCTTTCCACATACAATTCAATATATTTAGTTTCACATTCATTCTGGAAAATTGATTAAAGAAACTTAGTTTTTTCTTAGAATGTTAAAAGAACATTTAACACTGCTTAGAGATGAACGTTTAATTGTTTCGATATATTTCTAGGAGATCAGTATAAAAAAGAGGATCAGTATAAAAATATAGTAAATTATGTTGTATTCTAAATTCATAATTTACTTATCCTTGTCTACTAAGTGGACGTATTAAGATATATGATTGAGATACAAAATCCGTCATCTCGATGAATAGGTGAAACTTATTCGACTGCACTTGAATCCAGCGGTCGTTAATTTTGCTACTGCAAGGTTCGTAAAGGCTGTCGATAACGTTTATGTAATCGATCCGAAGCAGTGAATGCATGACACTGAACACACACATCTATTTGCCATGGCATCTTATCCTACCTCTTTTCCTGTTTTGATGGTTTTATTGGTAAACAAGTAATATAATTGTATTAACAGTGACGTATGGACTACTTATAGTATGTATATATGGAAGAAATAACATGAGACCCAGGGAAAGCATAAACTATTAAATATCAATTTCTGCCTTTATATTATAAGGTCTTCTGTTCATATTTTTTAGGTAAAAAAAAATGATTACAAATTAACGTTCGAGGATAGCGGCCAATGGACAAGTGGTAATTTTACTACTTGGGGGCGTATTCGAAGTACAGAGCCGTTAGACGAAAAAACCAATAGTTTGCCTGAATTAAGCAACAATCTGAAAGCAACAACAAGCGAACAGCAACGACCATCGAGTCTGGTGGCAACTTTTGTTGAACGACAATCCGACTATGATTATTCAGATTTCTATGTGGGTGAGTTGAAACATTTTATGCTTCATTTATTGCTTGTATATCATTTGTAAATCAGAAAAATTATTAAAAAATAATTAGAATAAAAGGACAAATCCATAAAATTGTCCTGCATGTTTTTCACTGCAGTATCATTAATGCAAGCTTTTGAAATCATTTGTTTCCCATATAAGAAAAAAAATGAAGCGGGAGGTGAGATAATGTAGGTTTTACCTTAGCAATAAAAAGACATTAATTTAAAGCAAAAAGTTTCAGGCAATGGACGTTATTTAGATGTCAATGATAATGAAATCGGTTTTGTGTCACAAAGTACGGCAGCTGTGCAACGGGCAGACCGTTGGCGTGCCGCAAATCGTATACCGCCAAACCCTCCAATGAAACCTCGACGAACATTTGCGGACTTCCAAGCAATTCGATCTCCACATCTCGACTTTATGGTCTTAAATCATAACGTTAGTTCACTTCATTTAGGCTATTTTCTATTTTTACAAAAATTTCCCAATTCATTAAGTTTCCTTAAAGTGTTCCCGTAGTTTCAGCAAATTAAATTTTCTCCTACTTAAACTCTTCGGCTTCCTCACATATAGATTGCTCTGTTTTTTGCTTTTGCGCGCACTCAATTATGCATAAATTACCCAAATGCTTTATGAAGTATTGTGTATCAAAAGACACATTACTTTTACGTTACGAATTTTATCTATTTCAAGAAATTACTCCAAGTGGTTTTGTTCCACTATAATTAATGGCCTGAAATTGATACAAAAATTAATTTGCAAAATCAAAGAGAAATTAGAAAAAAGAAAACTACACTTTTCGTTCTTTCGAAATTAAGGTACTAAGAATTTTAAATGAAGGAAAGGGAAAGATATAGATCGTGGATTTGGGTAAAAGAAATGACCCAACTGAATACTCTGTTCTTCTTTCCAAAATTTTCTCAGTGCATTGATCTATATCATTTCTTATCAGGCAATAATTATGACTACGGAGGGATTTTTTTTAGAGCATTTCAGTTTCTTCACGTTTCTTTTTTTGATTCCTTTATAATGATAGAGTGTTTGTTGGATAGTTGGCCGTATGATTTCAAGAATTCAAAACGAGTTTTCAAATAGTTTTTACAGAATATTTATGCTTACTGTACGTAAACTTTTTGAATTAAATACCCTTTTATTTCAAGAAAAGTTAGGAGAAAAAAACAATCGAAATGCATATTTAATTCATCTTTCAATTTTTTTTTTTTGCATATTGAAGTACACCTTTGATTGGACTCATCAAGATTTATGATGTTCTTGAAGTTTGTTGTGTATATGTTAGAGGAAGGTGATTGTTGTATTTATTTCAGTTTTTAAAGTAGATCTTTTAAGAAAAATCTGTAAGCCAGTCCACTTCATTGATTTTCTCACGTGTCATAGCATGTTCTTCCTCACCACTAATATATACCGTTTTTAAGAAGAATGGTTAGCGCATTTGGAAATTTTTTCATATTCAGAGTGATAAAGCCAGTACTTGTGCAATTGCTAAATCAATAATTTTTTATCAGCGTGAGGAGTCCTCCTTGTCTTTACCGGTCGCATCTGAAGGGAGCTATAATGCTTACCAATAATGTTTTCACGACAAAATAGAAACATTCCAACTTTTCTATGAGAAATCACATAGAATTTCGTAATTGTGATGATAAGTTTGTGTCTTTTCATCCTGTAAAAATTCTAAAAATACGGTAATGTGCTCGATTACTTGTACCAATGTTGTTATTTACCTAATCTAAAATCATCTAGACTCAGATCTTTCTTTTCCTTCTGACTGTTCTTTCTTGATAAACTTCAATATTTCTGTAAATTGTTGATTTAAGACTTTTTTCCTGAACTTTTCGAGATATCATCGGTACTTTCACAGGTCGTGAATATAAAGTTTTATTACTGTGAATTTCGAAGTATATGTATCTTTTTACTAAAACTAGACATTACTGGTACTTGCATATTTTAAGTTGTCAGTAAGTCTTCTCATAACTTCGAAATCGTAAGTGGATTTCAGATGCCAAGTTTATGTCAGTCATCTCTGTCAATGAATACAATTGTGGATAAATTGAAAGAAGGAGTGTTAGAAGATGAAAATTTTGATTTCTCATTGGTTAACGTTCTGGAGAAACGAGGCCCTGATTCTGGACTGGGTAGCAGTGCTACAGCTAGTAGTGGCCCGTCACATATTGAAGATTGGCCATCATTAGCTCTTCTTTTACCCAAGTAAGTCTTTTCCACAAAATTCCATAATGGAAGGAAGGGAAGTATGAGGGAGGTTACATTTTTTCTGCACTATATACTGATGCTGTTGGAAGGATAACGGAACCTTACTAGGATTGATGTTTATTCTATATTCGCTAGCGAAATGTAGAACACCATATATGAGATTACTTCACTTCATGACATGATTTTAGAAAATAATGAATTTACTTATCTCTTTATAAATTTTAAAAACAAAAGTTTCAGATTAAACAGAAGTTTTTCAGACACGTTGCTGAGGCTTGTTCATTTTTCAAAGCAAATAGTCAACTTTTAACAGGAACAAATAATATTGAACGGATAATACCACGTAGGAACGAAGCATGTCGAACATGTTTCAATGTTAGGAAAAGGCTCCATCCACCTGTTTGGGCTCAACCTGCTAGAGCACGATATATTCTTTGCGATTGTGTCACGAGTGAGGTTACTTTTTTATTATTTTCATGTTTGAAGTTGCTTTACTGTATTTTGTTTGTTGTCTCTATCCGATTCATGCCTTTTTTAAGTGTATTTCTAGCCACTAAATTATATTTTATAAATATAACTGTTGCTACGAAAACACCGAACTGCAGGACAGCTGTATGTTATCTGATGTGCAAAGTTCTTATCAAAAAAGGTCATCTTAACTGGAATGAAATGAAAACCTCATTCTGAGAATCTCAGCCTAATTTCATTCGCGCATATCTGTTTGGAACGATTGTAGTTATTTATGAGTAACTATGCGAAGATCGGCATCAATCAGCAACCCCGATTTACAGATTGTTGATCGAAATTCCTCAGCTCAAGATCAACTTACATCTTTTGGTCAACTGAGATTGCGAGCACAAGAGTTGAGCATTGTTGGCCTACCCATTTACAATGCCAAAAGAAAACTGGTCGAAAAGGTTATGCTAAAATTCTATTTATCATTTAATTTAGAGAACTTTATTTAGAAAATAATTAAATTCCTTCTAATTTTGTTCTCTATTTTCGTATAAGTAATTTAAAAATACCCGGTTTTTTATTTTTATTACGCTTTTTTTTTTTCTATAAATTTCCATATGTAGGTCGTAGAGGGAGTAGCAGAAGTAGCGCGAGGAGGTTCACCAACAAATCTCTGTTCTACTCTCGAGATGTTGCTCGCCGATGGTTTAAAAATTAAACATCCTTGGGATATGATTGTTACCGTTACGGCACCTGGTATTCATTTAATTTACTTTACAAAAGTTTCAAGCGTATAGTTTGAGTAAATGTTGATTTTAAATCTCAAAAAGAAAAAAAAAATGTTTGCAAGATTTAAGGGCATTTCAGGTCCAGCAACGAACAGTGTATATTCACTGGTGCATAAGTTAGATAAAAGCGAGAAGCCTTTAAATTCTCGTGTGGAGGTTTTCTTCAATGAATTAATCAAGTAAATTTTCAAGTTTACTTTCGATAAAACTCAGATCTTTCCTTGAAGTTCACTGAGGCAATGCCTTTGTTCAGTGCCTCCAGTTTTATTTTTAGCGAAGTCTTATGGTTTATTGATTAATATGTTCTCGTATCAACATTCAATTTCAAAAAATTATTTCCCATTTTAATTTCAGCGATTGTGGAAAGGCTTGAACGTCGAAAGTGGCCTTATTTTTATTAATGTGTTTCATGAATTTCGATATTTCACTTTGAATCGGTTCCTTTCAGATTAGGATCTATTGATTGCTGGATGTGTTATGTGGTGCTAAAGGAGAATGTATTGGCGAGAATTTACTACGATGGTGCTTTCATGTTACGGGCAAGTACTGCATATCGAAGTCTGTTGTGGCGGCTGTTAGAGAATTTGGAACTGATCACATTACTTGAGTATCGATCCTCGAACAATGTTTCATCCCAGGAATGGCCCAACACGATACTTCTGGAAGCTTCACGTCTTGCCAGCGATTCGCGAGTGCCAAAGAGCTCCTCAATGCCTGCTCGTCTGTCAAATCAAAAGCTGAACAGCATTTACAATGACCGTACCAATTCAGTACATTTCGTCCATTCTAATGACACACAGTTACTGCGACGAAGCCGGATTCCCCTACTTAGTAAGCGTCCGGTACGAACGAAATCAAGCGTTGAAGCATGTTTTAATTCTAATCGTTCTTTAAGATCGTCATCACGTGAGGGTGGAGCTCCTTCAGCTAGTGCAACGTCTCCATCTCAGAAGTTGCATTCACGTGCATCAATAGCAGATGGCATCAATGCCGTTTGCTATTTAGCATCTGCTATTGATGACTTCAGTGGACCCGGTATGCTCGAAGTATCACGGGGCGAACGATTACGCATTTTAACAACAAGAGGCCGTTTGGCGCGGTGCTGCCGCCTGAAGCCGCGTCATGATCGAGTTCTACAAGGTTTGGTGCCAACTTCGAATCTCACTGTTAACGGTTTCTAGTCGTATTCGCTCCCTCTTTATACCATTCTTTTCATTGTTCCGTGTATTGCTGATAAGTGTGAAATTCTCCATCGAATTGCTTAGCGCGTGTGGCGTGTGTCTATTTGTATAGCACTTCCGTTATTTGACGTAGTAAGCTTACTGAAAATGTAGTTGCAGTAGAAAATCTGTATTTCCATACTGAGCACTCAAATCACACAGCACTTTAAGCGAAAATGCATACTAAAAATGATTGAAATATTTCGAGCTATAAAGACCACTTAATACCGTGACGCTAAAACATAGTTACATATGTAACGGGTAATCATTATTTTTGTTAAATAGAAATGCCATCATTTCTTGTGCAGCTGCTGATGACTTTTCATTGTAGCACAATTTGTGCATTCAATATCTACTTGCAATACATCTCGTTCTGTCATGTATTTTACTCAGTAAATAATCCAAAATACAGTTATGTTCCATTTGCTTACATAATATTAAAATAAATTAGCTCCACATACTCTGTTAACATTTTATTGTGGGTACTATAGTTTCTGAGTTTACCCTCTTTTTATAAACTGGTACCAATTTCGCAGTTTGCTACTGTCCAGCTATCGTCACTAGCATGAAATCATTGGGCGCTTAGTCCCAATGATTTCATGACGAACACAGAACCGGTCCACGCGATCTTGTTCAATAAAACCTAAGATCTGCAACGGGATCCAGCAATCAGAGGGGAAAATGATCACAAATTAAACAGCATAAGTAAACAGCAGAACTGTCCCATAAGGGAAATTTATTCCACAGAACAAATCAAATGCAAAAGAAACTATAGAACGCTTGGTAGATAGTCAGTAGACGAGTTTATTAAATCACAACTTCCTTCACCGTCTCTTGACGTTTGAAATTGGGGAAAGCTACTGTAACGAAATGTGGTTCGTGGATGACGGGCGGTGAAGAGAAAATAACATCAGCAGGATAACCAATCTCATTCTAAGAATAACTGCAACACTCTAAGCAGTCCTGATATCGTTTCCTCAGGTCTAGATACAAAGAAGCGGAAAAAACAATTCGCATTAGAAATTAAGATTATCGTACACATTAAACGAACTTACTGAAAAAAATGGTATTAATTCTTCGACTACTCCAATGAAAACCTCCTCTTGATGGTAAAAATCGATTCTGGTCCTGCCGAAAAGCAGCAATATGAAACTTCGAAATAATCCATGCTCTTTTCATTTAGATTCGTATTAAATCTATTTGACCATTTTAGTATGATCAATTATTCACTAGTGTAAGATCAGGGGTTCGACAACGGCCGACGAACTAATTCTCAGGTCTGTCATAAGCACCCGAAATATAAGTAGGCAGAAGTCACATCTTCCTAACGATTGATTGATATTTCAGCTTTCGCATAGCAATTTGTTTTCTGTCGAAAAAATATCTACCACAATCGATCAAATTACAGAAAAAAACACAAGGCATATATTCCGCTTCGTCTTGAATAACATAAGACCATTAAGCATAATAAATACTTAAATCAGTAACGGCGGTTGTATTTATCGTAAGAATCGTACTTTTCATACTTATCATAAGTTGAAACATGTCCATGCGTGTCAGCTATACCACCAGCTGACCAATGGTCATCTACAATAACAAAATAAGGTTAGTAAATTGGTATTGACAACGGACGCACAATTGGAACCATCAGAAATTGTCTCTTCTACAATAAGACAAATTTCCAGAAAAAAACAATCTAACAACCTCTTGATGACCAACTATTGCTTCCCAAGCCATGATTCCCATGGCCTTGAGACGCCGATACGCCCGAAATCCATGCATCGCCATCATAATCGCGTGATGATCCTACGTACGTCGAAGATGAACCTCCAACTGACCAAGTACTACCTCCCAAAGATCGCGAGCTGGGGCCATAACCTAAAAAACGAGTGAAACGCTCACTGTTAAAATTATTTCATAGAATTCATGCTTTACTCACCAATACCATTCTCAAAGTATTGTAAACTGACTCCTTCCCATTCCTCTACCAGAAACATAGCTTCGTGAATTTCTGTTGCTATCGAGTGCAGCAAACTAATTTGTTGAACTTCAGACGTTTTATAACAGCTTCAAATTTAGTATTAAAATTAATATCATGAAACAAAATCAAAACTTGCGTTTACACACTTTGAACTTGCGTATCACAAAAATATGCGATTTCGCGACAATTTTCCAATATAGAATAACAGCAAAACTGTGCGTTTTAAAAATCTACACTGTAGTCAGAAGCTATGTAGAATAATTTTTATTTGACTACTCATACGATATTTAGTTTGTTAATCATTATTTGCTCCTTCACACACACTTTCTTGAAGAGCATTTTTTAAGTATCGAAAAATGATGCATTCAACTGCAAAGTTAAATTTGACATATCAAAATAACTGAATAGCTGATTGTTCCCAAGATATACTGAAAAACAAACCGGAATCTTTGCTGTAAGAAGACGGTGCTACATCACGGGAATAAGTACTGGATGAGCTATATGTCCCTAGATCTCGACTTCCATATCCAGTGTCGCCAGAACGATGACTGTTATAAGTGGTCGAATCCGGTCGATATAAATCACGTCCTGAAATTACCGTTTGTCTTTTTATTATATTAGATTAAGATAAAATTGATATAAATCCTTATGTTAATACCTAAACCGTAGATATATATGAAAGCCCATCCATCTAAAATTATCTTTTCAAAAAACTGGTACTCCATCTAAAATTATCTTTTCAAAAAACTGGTACCGATTAAAACGTGTAAAAAGTACCGTAATTGTTGGAAACTGTGGGGTCACCACCACGTGAATATGAATGACTTTCACGACCATAATTAGGAACATTTTCACGAACCACGTTCGAAGAACTGTAGTCACGAGTACCTAGGATTTGTTACATCAAACAAATTCATGAATTTCATGTTCAAACCCAGAGCTCATCTTAAAGATGAGTTCTGCACAACTTATCGAAACAAAGCAAATATTGGAAATCAAACAGAAATAAAGCTGAGATAAAAAGAATTTAATCACATGTAATTAAAAAAAAAAAAAACGGATAATTTAGGCAAAATATGCAGCTGTTTTAAAGCAATAAAAACACATACTATGCCGGTTACGGTCACGGCTACGTTCACGACTTCGTTCGGCAGTACCACGCGACGAAGAGTGTGTGCTACTTACATGTCGCGATGAACTGTGTCCTTCTCGCCGATCCGGTAAAGAATTACGTGAAGAAGTTACGCCACGATGTGATGACGATCGTTCTCCTGATCGCCTTGAATATTCGTTCCGCCTTTAAATAAAGATTATTTGAAGTAGTTCTCTATAATTCACGCGAAAGCACTATCTTTAGTTAGTTTTTTGCTCTAAATCGTATCAGCATCATCATTCAAAGAAAGGCATGGCAATTCCCTCAAAGTTGTGGTGTTTTCAACTGGTTTCGTATCTTTTTATTAGACCCCAAAAACTTTGGAATTCATCAGAAACGTACAGAATGTGTAGTTAAAAGAAAATTCGCACCCAATCAAAACATACTTCAGTTCCTTTTCTGCTTTGTACCTGGATGAATCCATATCACCATATTCATGTGAGCGACGTTGTGGAGGAGCTCCTGGAGACATCATCTGCACTGGTGTCGTGAGAGCAGCGATTTGACGTAACTGTTGCAGTTCGAGACGTTCCCGTTCAAACCGTTCACGTTCGAATTTTAGGCGTTCACGTTCACGTTGCAGTCTTAACTCTTGCTCTTTAAGTCGGTGCTCCTCTTCCTTCTTACGCAACATTTCCATCATTTCACGCTTCTCCCATGAAGAAGGAGGCTCAACACGACGTGAAGAAACTTCACGGCGAACCATACCGCGTAATATATTGCCACGACCAAGACGACTCGAAAATGGTCTACTTCCCAAAGTCCTTCTTGAAGCAGCTGACGAATAACTAGGTTTACGAATTACATATGACCGTCGTAATGTTGAAGAAACACGATCTGCTCTCTCTATTCTTCGACTGGCTCGAAACCGTGACGGTAGACGTGTGACTGTAGAACGTTTACTGCTACTGAGCGTTGAGAACCTTGAGTCTGAAAGAATATAAGCAAATGTCCTATTTCTCATTTCGCCTTTTACACTGAAAACTATAGCGACGCACAGAGACTCCCTCAACATGTGTTCGCAGGTACAGAATCGTAATTTTATGAGGCAAACTCATCCCAGAAACACAACTCTCAAAAGTGTCTTCCAAAGAAGCATTTTGGTCAGGAAAAACTTCATGAGTGTTTCATCAGCACCTTTTCGGTAACGGCTTTTCTTCAATCTAAGAACCAGGGAGCCACAACCATCTGTTGCAAAAGACCAGTTGACTGTTTGGAAGGCATGATGATATCAAAAAGATCAACGCCCAAGTACATACCAGACAACCCCTCTTAGTAATGACAGCATCAAAACTTCAGAGGTTTTTTACACTCCAAAATTAACGAAGTTTGGCTGCCAATTTCAGGAACCTCAACCGGATTTCAGGACCTCAACCAGAATTGTAATTTTCTGAGGTTTCACCCCAGAAATACAATTCTCATAAGTGGTTTCCAAAAAACATTTTAGTTAGGAAAAACTTCATGAATGTTTCATCCGCACCCCAAAATGACCATTTGCGTAAGGAACTCATCTTTTCGATTGCTGAGCTTTTCATACATATAAAATTCTGTAAATGTTACGTGTTGTGCTTGCAGACGGTGCTTTAACAGGTGATTTTTTCGTTTCCGACATTGCTTTCACTGTTTTCTGCTTTTCACTTCTTGTTGTGCCGACTGTTTTACTGCCACTGGATGTGCTACTTTTCGACTTGTCAATGTTAGATGTATCTTTCTTCGACTTTTCGGCTGCTCTAGTGGTTGATAATTTTTCTTCTCCGCTTTTCGAACAAGTATCAAAAGTGGTAGCAGACTTTCCACTTTTGACATCACCTGTCGCGTTACATATCGGTTTCTTGGGTATCGATTTAACAATGGGCATGTTGCAACGGTCTGCCTAAATTTGTAAAATTTTGTACCATGTATGCTTTAATAAAGCATTCTGCCTTCGTGAATTACCAACTCTGGCGTTCCAATGGATATATCGCTTTTGAAGTCACATGAAGACAATACTACTGTAATTTTTTTGATTACGAATATTGGCTTTTTACTAAAAATCAGGACGAGGAGCAAAACATTGATTTGTGAAAATTGTTGGTCACAGCCTATATAAGCACATACTGATCCAAATGTAACAATTAGCTTTCTCGAATCAAAGACATTTGTGGCGATCTATTTTCGTGCATCATAGTAAAATTCGATAACGAAAATGACTTCAGTTCTGGATACTAGAATAAACCACAGCATTTGCTTATAAATCTGAAATCGCTATCTCACCACTCCTGTGCGACAGAATTTGAAGAAAACATACTCGTTCGACTGTAATCGGACGTCCTTTAACATTTGTTTTATGAAGTTTTTGAATACAAAGATCGGCTGCAGCAGAATCGACCATAGTGACGAACCCAAAGCATGCATTTGATGGCTGCTGCCGTCTCGTAAAAATTTTAGCGGTTAACACTCGGCCGTACTTCGCAAACAATGCCTGAAAACGTTCTCAAAACTGTTCTGAATATATTTGACTGAATTACTTCCACAAACCATATATGCACTATGGTTATGTAGAATTAATAAATGTATCTGATAACGCAATCTCTATTCAAAATAACTTGAAAAAGTGAGGAAAAATCGGCAGATATGTGTAAAGTCAATCCATACCCTGTATACACTTTCTAAAAAATAAAACGTTAAAAGATCTTAGAACAACCTTCAAATCTGCAGCTTTTGTGTTCGGGCTGATGCCTTTGATCCACAAAGAATTGTCAGATTTTTTAAGCACTGATGTTGATGCATGTGAAGCACTCTCTATACGTTCCATTGGTGTCGATGCTACAGTTTCCACAGTCGACGTAAATAAATTCTCATCCTCTTTAGAAGCCTTTACTTCTACTTTTCCAGCTGTCTTATTTTCATCCTCTTTTTCTGTCATTTTGCTTTCAATTTCTTTGCACTCCTCTGCTTCGCCTTCCTCTTCATTGATCTGCAAAATTCTTTTAGATCTTCCTTCAACCAAATCAAAGCGAATTTTCTATTATCTAACATCACAACCGTAAAATAACTTTTTAGAAATGTGAAAACTTTTGGCAAAACAACAAAAGATTGGATATAGCAATAAAAATGTTAAAAATGAAATAAAAACAAAATACTCGAGTTGCATCTGGCATTTCCTCATCTTCGTAGTTCACTTCATCTGCAACTTCTTTAACTGCTTCTTCGTCCGGCTCTTTAGTTTCCACTACTTCTTTGACAATAGAGGCATCTTCAGCAACTTCGTTTACTTCCATTTGTTCTTCGATAAGTCCATTTTTACTGCGATCTTCTGAAAATTTACTGCCACTATAAAACATAACTGGACAGTGAAAAAATAAACATGAATTGTGCAACGTCTCCAAATACTAGTTATAAACGACCATTTGCAATGGGATATGCAAAGTATAAATTGATGATAACAACAATTAAATATGAGATTTAAACAAAAAACCCTGCGTCACGATTGAGGAATGAGTTTCCTCTATTTGACTGTGTTTCACTTTTTTGCACTCCGTCACTTCTTCAGACGATTCTTTGGATGTTGTCAAGTGAACAGTCTTTTCAACTGCCCCATCACTGTCTTCAGACTCGATAACCACGCCGACGACAGTATCCGGTTCATCCTTTTTCACTACCAGCTGCTCATTTTCATGACGACCGTTGGAGACTTCAATTCCATGTTCAGACAGAGCTAAAAGAAAATAAAACTGAAAGAAGGATAAAGGTAATTGGGAGAGAAAGCTGATTACAGATATTAAAAAATGATCATTAAACAAAATGAAGAACGATAAGCTCTAACTTTTGTGACTACTACAGCTGAACTGATTTTCCCTCACTGTCTCGTTAAAAGAACCTTTTGAGGGAATCGTCAGAGTTTTGCCATAATCATTAATCAGAAACTTGTAAATCTTTGGGTCATGTCCTTCTTCTCGAAGAGCCTTGAAGAAAAACAGTATACGACTATATTTACACAAAAAAATTTGATTATCAAAAATTTGTAAAGAGCAACTCCCCGAAATTACATATGTATTTGAAAAGATTTGCCGCTTTACGACAACAAGATTATTTTACCAATATTCCTCAATAAGTTATTCCCTTTTGTTTATGACTTACTCTAGAGGTTTACTTTCAGTCTGTTAGCAGCTTATTAATATGACCTAAGAGATCGAACAAAGTGGTGGTGTATATGGCTATTTTGTGTGTAATGCTAATTTCTCAGGATCAATATTGGCATGTGTCATATGTGCATTATTCATAACGATTATCTTGAATTTGATTTTTTAGTGGTGCAGCTTGACATAATGTCAAATGTACAATTTTTTCAATTCAAAGAATACCAAGACCAATAAATTTCTTCCTTCGTACAAATGCACAAAACAAACCTCCTCTAAACGTTCTACCAGTGCTAGTTTAATTCCACTTTTGTCCAGTCCACGTTTTTCTAATTCTTGCTTAAGTTCGAAAACACGTAACTCACTAAGTGTCATCGTTTTTCCCTGTGCTGTAGCAATTGGTGTTGCTGCCATTTTCAATAGCTAATAGGAGCTGAAAAATCGACGAGAAATTAACTATCGAGCAGAAATTCCACAGCATAAAATTAAAGTGACAGAAGAAAGATCGGCAGATAACCCGTGACAATGAATAAAAATCATTTAAATAAACATCATCATTATTTTTAGATCTTTCCACAAGTCGAATTCATATTTACAGAATCATAAGTTGTCTGTAACATCTGTTCATAAAAATTTGGTGGCAACATTTGTCTATAAAAAGTTCCACCCTTCTAACCTATCATGACCTTGCTTAACCTCTACCTACAGTATTAAAGCTACGTTCCAATCCACAGGAATTCAAATTAATTATTTTTAAAAATCAAACTAACTATTTTTCTTTAACTTCAGAAAAAAATTAATAGAAAATCAAAGTCCATAAAAAGGAGTTACCTCTACCTACAACAGAGATATTTAAAAATTTCAAATCTGAAACAATGAATGACAATGCTTTGCTGCTGATAATTATTAAAATTACCCTGAGTTCTTTTTTCATACCCTAGATAAGTTACCAAACAAAACATTAGGGTGATAGGATGATGAATATAATGCAGCATCGATGGTTGCATTACTGTAACTCATTGTACGACCAGTCAATCCATTTATTAGTTCATGGATAGCTATTATATATTCATAACTAATCGCCCTAACGATAAAACGCAATATCAATATGGATATTCATTAGTTTATACGAATGAAGCCTAACAAACAGATCAACGCAGAAATGATAACACATTAAATGGTGCAACAAGATAAATCACACAAAACATCACCAAGATTAAACACACTCTGAATCTCCCGTAGTAACTCCCGCGGCTCACGACCAACCTGCCCACCACTAAACTCCAACAATCAGAAATCACTCATCTGAGAGTAAACACTACGCCAATACTGTAGCGCAAATAGTCAGTGTAAGCTTTGTATGGTCTTTTGCAGCACTATAAATCATTTGTTTTTATCTCTAACTTCATTGCTTAAAAGATAAACTAAAGCTCACAATGATAAGAGTTGTGTAGAAGATTTAATAACGTAAGCTATGAATCAGTGATGATTAATAAAACTGAGCAAAAAGCCTAGCATGTCAGCATGTAGCGATTTAGGGAGGATAAGGCTTTGTAACTGAAGTTCAAACATAGTAAAAATCTCAAATATATTGTACTTCTGTCCTTACTTAATGCAAACGTAGATGATAATAGCAGTGTCAAAACAAATTATGTATATATATTTTTTTATATCTATATATTTGAGATATGAAAGCTACTATTTGGACTTTTTGCAAATATATGGGATTTGTAAGGTACAGAAATAACTGATTGAATGAGAAAGCTTTCCATTTATTTTGTGGGACTCCAAATGTAATATCTCATATGTTTGCAAAAAATCTAAATAATAGATCGTGGGAATAATTTGACATATTTGTATGATAAAAATAAGGATAGCAAAGATGTTGCCAAATGATGAAACCGGTGAAATCTATATCTTCTTATCTAAGTAAAACGATGACTTTATAAACTTTTCCAGAATAATATCATCATTTATAAAAACGAAATAAGATTACTGTCAGAATAACCGAAATATGCTTTTCATACAAGTATGTCAAAGTAAATTGATAAATAGAAATTTTTAGTGTATATTTACAGTACATTTTATCAAAATGATAAAAATGGTTTAGAATATTTCCCAGATAAACGATTCATTATACACAAAAAAATGAAACAAACGTTTCGATGCCTAAAATGATGAATTAATTATCCAACTCCCATCTTTTGGTTTGTTAATCAAATTCTATTCAGTGCTTAGATCAGCAACGCGCTTCGCTTCGGTTTGACTCAGTGCTATTATCTGTACGCTCATTAGATACCCTCTAAATACAACAATCAGTTTTTACTGAATGTTTCCTACCAGTGATAAGAAAGAAGATTCTTTGATAATTAAAAACCATCATCACGAAATATTTATCTACGCCAATCGTCAAAAAAAAAATGCCAGCCTGACGAGTATTTATAGCTTATTACATGATAAAAATGACGCAAATTTATGAAGTGAATTACTGTACTCGCCCAGTATCCAATAATCTTCGAGACAGTTCCCGAAAATGTTGAGATTTAGCTTCTTGCATTATCTACTACTGACACCTGCTGAGAGAGTTTCTAAATCTACCAACAACACTAAAGATTCGCTGTCATATGACAACAATTATAAAAAGTTATTTTTTGAGTTTTTCTCATCTCTACTGAAGTAACATTCCCAGTAATTAGGAATGTGATATTTTCATCTACTCCATATCCATACCGAATTCACTTATCAAATGAACAGCAAGTTAAATTGGCAAGTTTAATTTTGAATTTAATGAACATAAATTCTCTTTAACCTTTTAGCAAGGATATCTTTATCCATTTCTAGAAAACAATCAATACGTAAAATAATAATTTGAAAACACTTTACACAAGCTTGAAAGAAAACAAGAAATCATTTAATTGAGAGCTACAAAGGCTTAACAATTAGCTAGAGAATTTAAAACTTGAAATATACATTTTAAAGGTGTGATAATAGAAGCCAAAAAGTCAAGTAATTAATATTTCATTAATTCAATGATTATTGCAATTATTGTCAGAGGAACAGAATATAATGGGTTGAAAAAATAATAAAATCAAGTAAGGAGATAAATGAAGGTACAATGATAAAAAAATTAAGTTTTGACACTAGTAATCATAGATCGCAACGAATTTGAAACGAAATATAAACAGTTAACATTCGTTGTTTCAAGTTTCGTTCGTTATCTCTGACTATTGTCGAACAACTCTATTTTACAAGAGAATCTGTTTTGGGAATCAAGTCCCACATTATCGCTGAAATTTGTTCAGAAACGCTCGCTAACTAGATGTTTGTCAGAAAAAAAAATTTTATTAATATCTTCTTACTACATTCATCAAATGCCATTTGCAATATTTTCGAAAAAACGCCTGACGACGTTTTCAACTATGAAGTGCATTAGAGCTCAGCTCATTATGATAGATTGTAATAACATTGCTCTGTTGTACTTCTATAAATGTGTCGCTATATCTTGCTCAGAATTTCTTTTCGAAAATTGATTTTCTTTAGCAGAAAAAGTCTTATCAAATTTAAATTAAGCTGTGATTTAAGTAAGGTAAACTACAGTCAGTTCATTTGTTTCGCTTTTTTTCTGTTTTTCTATTCGGGTAAGGTGCTATTATTTTTATTAAAATCGATATTTTGGATGCTCGAGTTTTTCCATTATTAGGATGATCATTTCGATTACTATCATTCGATGACATTTTGTCTCATTCTGATGATAAGTATTTTGATTAATCAGTGCCCTTTTATAAATGCAGTAAAAATGGGTAAACCATTCATGACCTCGCTATGATAACCAGATAACACGTCCTGATGTTGAAAGGTGAATGGATTGTCATATCTTTAACATAGTACTTTTCAGGGCATAATTTGATGGGAAAAAGTTTTAGTGGAAAGCTGTAGTTTTTGAAACAATAAACCTTTATTATTGGGTAATCTTCTTGGTTAAATTGTTGATTATGTGATAAGGGGAAATCCTCGGCTACCGCACGTATAAGAGTATTGCTCTTATTTCTTTAATACATGACAGATCGCAAAGTCTAGCGTTGAGTAGTTTCAGTCTTTTTTTTTTTTCATCTTGCATAGTTTAATAATAAAATAATAGAAATAGTTTTAACAATCGTTAATCAATTGTCAATAAAGCAGTAAAGGCCAATTTCCATGTTTTTGTCTGATGAATAGAGAAAGCAAAGCATAATTATTAACACGAAGTTAGGCTCTGTACTATACTTAAAGGTCATTATGCATTATACATATTAATATAAAATGATGTCACGATACAAAAATGGATGCATTCTTGAAGACAAGCATTGAGGAAATCTTTAAATTGATAATCATTTCACCTTTCAAAGCAGGACGTGTTATCTGGTTATCATAGCGAGGTCATGAATGGTTTACCCATTTTTACTGCATTTATAAAAGAGCACTGATTAATCAAAATACTTATTATCAGAATGAGACAAAATGTCGTCGAATGATCTAATCGAAATGATCATCATAGTAATAGAAAAACTCGAGCACCCAAAATATCGTTTTTAATGAAAATAATAGTACCTTACCTAAACAGAAAAAAAGCGAAACAAATCACAGCTTAATTCAAATTTGATAAGAACTTACCACAGAGACTTTTTCTGCTAAATAATATGGCGGCCTCTTTCTTTTCATGCTAACTTTTCACATGTTCTTCAATTTCTTGTGAGACCTCTCTTTTGTGCTTCCAACAGAAAGAATAAACTTAGTAATAATATCGGTAAATTCATGGGGTTTTTCGGCATGAACCCAGTGTGATGCATTAGGAATCACCGAAAATTGTGTATTCGGAAAATGTTTCAAAATTAAAGCATGATCACTAGGCATGACATAATTTGAAACTCCGCCTGAAACAAACAAACACCTTCCATTATATGCACTCTTATTCTCTATACCAGCGCTACCACAAATTTCTTCAATGTGATATGCAATGGAATCTAAATTTAATCGCCAGCTATATGTGTGCTGCTGATCTGTGAGTACCAAATTCGTCAATAAAAACAGTCGCGTCGTTTTATCGGCAACTGTTGATGCCAATTCTTGTTCAATTCCAGCACGATCAGAAGTCAAATCGATAGATTTCATAACTTCAATGATTCTCGAAAAAGTTGAAAAATTGTATGCCTTTGGAGCTATATCTTCTACAATCAACGATTCCAGTCGTACGTCGCTACCTTTCATCAAAGCAACACGCATTGCTGTTTTTCCACCCATTGAATGTCCAAGAAGATGAACTTTTGAAAAACTTCCTATTTGTTGCGGTATTATTTCGTCGATAAAATACTGTACGTCGTTTGCCATCTCAGCATAGGTCATTGTAGGATGCCATGGGGAATTACCTGAAAATAATAAATAAATTGTCAGAACATAAGGCAGTCAAGGGAGTTTACTGAAAAATCAATTCTATGGAAAACTTTTTCGAGTTAAAATCAAACTGTAATTGCAGAAGGATTATTACATATTATGTGGAAATTGCAAACTGGAATGTCTTCGCTGATAATTGAATAAACTGTCATGAAATTTATCCAGGTGATCCTAATGAAATTTATCCTGATAATCTTACTGAGGTAAGTCACTTAAACACTCGTTTCGTTCTTGAATTCAAGAACAGAGCTCAAATTTCTTCACGAATATCTATCCTCTAATTCGCTTGTCTAAAATACTTTATCAAAATTCAGGACAATAACAAATTTATGTATACATAAAATTTTTATTCTTTTATTGCCTTTTGCCTTTTATTCTGTTTATAAAAGGCAGAATAGATCATGAAATACATTAGTTAAAACATTTGGTTTGTTAAAACTAAGAAATCAGAAACAAACTATGTAATTTGATACCTACGTTTAAAAGCACATTTATTGGCATTACCTTTGGTCAGCATTTTAAAAGCCAAAAAATCTATTTGGGTAGGCTTAGCATATAGACAATTTTAAAGAAAAAATTATCAATATGTTTGTAAGCTTATTCCTATGTGATGACTTGCTGAAATCCATGTTAACTTAATAACATCTTTTCAGCAACTTAAGAGATATCAACGACAACTTAATAAATTTTGCTACAATTTCAATATTTGTTTGGAAAAGCCACAAAAAAAAATTCCAAAAAACTTATAGCTGATATAAATCCAACTATGAGATATAAGTTTTAAGAAATGAGGTTAATACGGTTTTAGTTTCATAAATAAAAGAAGCAAGTAGCTTTATGAAGCGACAATTGGTCATTGGACCTAGCAAACTAACCATGATTCCGTAGGTCCAATGTAAATATAACAGTTCTTAAAAGACGACCCAAATTACTTGCAATTGATCTCCAATTCGTTTTCTGTCCAAATAATCCATGTAAAATGACGACTGGTGACACTTCGCATTCGATCTTTGCTTGGCCACCAAATTTTTCAAATGACAATGGAATGGGAAATGATGACATTCCACGACACGTTTCTATCAACTGACTCCATTTACATAGTCTCAATGATTCACACATTCCTCAATCAATATATACCCTTCACAAACTTTGTCCCGGGTATTCTGGAATTGCAATTAAGTTGTATATGCCTCAAATCTGACTCCTTCCATGTTCAGACTAAAAAGAAGGTTACATATTGAAGCTTATCGCCCATTCTTCACTATTCAAAACGATTTTATCTTGAATGTTTCTCCACATCAATCTAAAATCCAATTCAATCTTCCCATAATTTCATGAAATTCTAATCTTCTGATAAGCAGTACAATCACAACAATGTCCCACAGAAATAGCTAGCAGTACTCAAAAGTTTATTTCGTACGTACATAGAAACAATTAGAACACAATTCTAATTTTAAAACACCAAACACAGAATAGTCAATTCTATAAACAACTTGAACACGCAAGATACACTAAAATGGATGAGGGACATCAAAAACGCAGGGTACTTTTTAAGGGCGACATTTTCTACAACTAAACATAATCTCAATGCATGTTTTTAGATCTAATCCGAACAAAAAAGGCTAAACACTTGCTGAGAAGGCTTGTAATTTAAGCATACAAGAATTGCTTTGATTGTTCAGTATCTACAACCCTCCTTCCCGGTTTCTAACACCTAATTCCACCACCATGTCACCTAAGCCGTAAATACTCATTAAAGAAATCATTGATAATGCATTTCAGTGGGAAAATTGCAGAATACTGCCTCTATTATTTAAACAACTTGAAACTAAAAAAAAAATCAAAAAAAAAAAAAAAAAAAATGAAGTTTTTCAGTTGAGAATAAATTATTAAACAGTAGCAATGGCCAAATGCAGTAATCGCTGAAAACTGGTGCGCATGATCTCAGCACTTGATAATCATGCATAAATGATATTCATGAATATGTAAAGCAGCTTGATACATGCACAGTGATGAAATCCTCTTATAGTAGATCAGCTAGGCCTAAGATCGATGGATTTCAACGGGAAAACGTACACATTATTCCATCAGAATAACCTTTTCTTCCTCTTCCTAATTTCTTTCCTCTAAGAAAATTTTCATTTGTATATCAATAGATAATTATTTCTTAGAAAACATCTGTTGTAAGAAAGCATTCGAAAATTCAAATATACAGCAAACGAATGTAACATTAACTAACACTCGTCCAGTAGACATTCGACAAAACACGCACTGTGTGACTATGCATACAAATCATCATATTAAATTTACATTTAAATAATAAATAGCAGCAATTCTATACAATATGTATATGTTTATGTTGTAACTTCTTACTCAGGACGAATCTTCACAAATTTCAGCTAATGGAACTTAACTGTGTTAATATCTATTCCAATACTTAACCGATCTTTAAAGTAAAAAAAAAAAAAAAAAAACTATAATTTTACGTAGAAACTGTCGAATTAAACAGTTTTTTTTACATTACCTTGAAACTGACTCCGAGATTTGAACCTGCTTTAAAGTTTCTGAAAATTTCAGAAACTTTACAGAACATTTCAACTCTAACTTTCTTAAGTTATCAGAAATTCTGGTACTAAGTGAAACCAAAACTTTTTTTTTCTTTTTGTAAGAATAAATTCTAAGTTATTTCATAGCAACAGGTCGATGATTAATATCGGGCTCGAAGGGCAAGTGCCGTATTGTAGTAGAACCTTCGCGGCTTACAATCGAATCAACAGGTTGACCTGGAAGTGTTACTGACATCGACGGATCAGCTGCAGACAACTCATCAGCTAATGATCGATTCGAGCCATTGCGTTGCAGCACAGACAACAATTTGGGGTTCGTTGTAGCTAGTTTCTGAAGATTTCAGAAACTTTAAAGAACATTTCAATTCTAACTTTCTTAAGTTATTAAAAATTCTCCGCAAAAAAAAAAAAAAAAAAAAAAATCTTTTTCTCTCACCATAGCACACCTATGGCTTACCTATAGGTGGTCGAAATTAGATTTCCAGATGTAAAAACAGAATTAACCTGCAGAACAGAAGCTGTAGTATGACTGAGAACACTTTTCACTGGTGTGCATTCACTTGATAAAGAAATGTCAGCCCTATGTTTTAGAGATTCAATCTGAAATATAATAAACTATCGATGACTGCACTTTATCCATTCCTACATAATTTCTTATTTTTATCAAAAATGTTTATCAAAAATGTTTATTAAAAAAAAATGTTTATCAAAAATGTTTACTTGCATAGCCTCTACTTCACTTTCAAGAGATAGAGAGATAAAATGAACGGCATTTCTCGCTAAGCAGGTCACGAAAAATCATATTGTGTCCTGGCAATTCTAATATTCTGATTTCCGTGAATTAGATTCATTTCTAATTCAATTCTCAAGGATAATAGCATAATAATAACAAAGATAATAACAAAAATGAAAAGAATTCACCTCAGAATTATCAGTATGCAGAACTGGCGGAATTACAGCCATTGAAGGTGCACCACCACGTGTTCGGCTCATAATAGAAACTAACTTAGCTTTGCGCACTTCACGCTCACGTTGTTCCCTCTCTAAAAGTTCGTCTTGAATTCGACGCCTTTCTTCCACTGAATTTTTCTCTCCTACCAATTTCAAATCTTCTGTAATAGTTTCTATTCCGTTTGCACTCAGTTTCGACTTGTTCTGAGCCAATGATTCAAACTCTTCTTTGTCAAATTTGCTGGTTTCAGTGGTAGACATATCACTTTCTTCATTATCTTCCACTATCTCGTAAGGTTTTCGAATGGCTACCTTCTCCTGTTTACTGTTCTCTCCAGTTTCAGGAAGATTTTCATCTGCAACCAATGATTCTTTCTCTACGAAAACCTGAAACAGAAATAATGATAATCACTGAAATCAAAGTTAATGCCTTTTTCTGTTTCATTTGTTTTGAATTCTCTACTAAAGAACAAACCTTCACTGCGTTTGCCATTTCCTCTTGTTCGTCACTAACAAATTCAGCTTCCGATAAATCTGGATACACTCGATTTATACCTGATACTTTCACAACACGCTGCAGTTGGGTTCTCTTCACATTAACCATCATAACTGCAGTGTCCGTTTTCGCCTCATTCATAGAATTACCATCGTTTTCTAATGAAAGATCAAACAAAGGAGCATCTTTAGCGGTTGTAGCTTCTGTTTTGCAATCTAACGCAACATCAAGAATTATCTTCTCTTTCATAGCATTACCATCCAGTATATCGCTTTCCACAACTTCAGATACATAGCCGACATTTTTCGTTCTCTCTTCCTCATCAGGAACTCCCACCATAACGCATTTCTCATTTGACTTTTTAATTCTGTTAATGTCAGGAACTAAATTTACGACTTCTTTTATATCTATATTATTTCTAGTAATAGCTATGTCATCTTGAACTTCGATGTCATCATTTCCCATAATTATGGTTGCTTTACTCATATCATCACTTGGTGATTTATTCATTACAGCTTCGGCTTTGGCTTCATTATTAATTTTCAGTTCAGCAGACTTATGTAGTAGTCCTGGCTTCGTTTTCAAAGAATGAATTTCTGTCTCAGGTCTGAAATAAAAAATTGCTCTGAGGCCTAAAAATTGGCAAAATCAAATGCACTACTTACATTGGCAAAATCAAATGCACTACTTACATTGGCAACATAAAATTAGTGGAACGCTCACTTAGACTGCACAATTCGAGATCTCTGTACATACAGTGGAGGAACATGCTTTTGAACAGGCTTCTCTGTTTTAATCGGCATTTCAGTCACTATGGATGATGTTGTCTTTGTAGCAGCTATTGGACGCTGTATCACTGACTGACGATGAACTATAATTTTTGGGACACTATTTATTAATGAATAATATTATTATCTGAAATGTGAATATTATCTGAGCCATACCACTCCTCATGAAAAGGCAATAGACATTGTTGATTAATAAAAACAATACTACACCAAAGAATTACTTTAATAAGTATGATCTACTAAAATGACGTCCACAACATTTATTGTTACTGTTTTTATACCATCACTCTATCGACAACAAAAATTAGGGGAATGCGCCACACATACTATTTTTAAATAAGTCAAATTACAAATAAAAGTAACTTAAGAAATGAACTATAAGATTTTAAGACTGAAACCATTCAAGATACATATAAGATTAAAATACAAAAACATAAACAAAGGAATACCGGGTTTTTGGCCGAATTTCACCGTGTTGATTGGTTTTGGTGCAGTCATCATAGACTGAGTCATGCAATTTGATATAAGCTTGTGGCATGTCTTTAACTCTGATCGGGCAATACACAAGCTTCCTGTTATTGAAGCCCCGGTATAATTACGTAAGTCATAGGTTGGTGTCAGTGTTGAATGACTAGACGAACCAGACGGTGCAGCTATATTACGATCAGAAGGCATGAGTTTGCGATCATATACCTGAAACAGATTTGATAAACTTTCAGGAACAAAATTACTTAATCCAAAAATCTGAAAGGTATTGAAACCTTTTGCTCTTTAGTGAGATGGGTCAAATATTCCAATTCACGAGGCGTACTGCTACCGAACGCGTATGTTGCTCGTGATTTATATTGTGATGTAAGACACGGCGCCAATTCACGCGCTTTCGTTAACATAGCCTAAGAATGAAATTTTTAAATATAAAATTATATTACTACAACATCAGTATGACAGACTTTACAGCATCAGCAAAAGAGACTCTAACATTATAATTTCTTTTCTAATATAATCCTCGCAGTTCAAATAAATTGTTTGAAAAAAAAAATATTCGAAGAAAAAGTACCTCCTTCTTCTCCCTCTCTTTTTCTGCCAAAATTTGAGTACGACGATCCAAAACCGCTTTTGCTCGCAACATTTCCCGTTGTTGAGCTTTCCGCTGTTTCAGTAGAAGCTATAAAATGAAACATAGGAAGATGAGAAAGGACAATATTATACACTATTTATGCTAAGTAATACATCATAATTTGAATCGAATACTTCTTCAATCACAAAAACACATCAACAACAGCAATATTATTAGAATCTCTGCGGCACCACTAAAAAAATGAGGACAACGAATGAAAGAGAAACACTGAATATATTTGTTAACACATAAGCCTACCTCTTCCTTTTGGGCGACAGCCCGAGCCATTTTTTCATCTTGCAGTTTTCTCGCCAATTTCTGTCTAAAATGATAGAAATTATGTGGTTTATAGACTTACTCTCAGTAAATTATGTCTCTTGCTTGCATTATCTAAATGATCATCGTACAACAAAACATATTACAGTTACTAGGTAAGATTTTTTTATTGAGCTTTTGAAAAAAATATGGTCACTCCATTTGTCAATTACATTTTCTAAACATTAGAAATATTTCATTTGCTATCGTGTACTTGGACACATATGATAACGTCAAACACTGATGAGACCTGATTCCTGAAGCAAGCAACAGACAATATCGATAGCCTTATGAGCGTCAGAGTGCCCAGAATCCTAATTCTATTCAACTTCAGTTGAAGTTAATAAGAGAAAAAAAAATCAAAATAACGATTAAAAACGAAGTTTTGTGAGGCCAGTAAATACCTTTTTACGAAAAAACCGTATTCATACAAATCATATTTAAAAAATAACCTCTCTTCTATTTTTTGTTGTAGAACTGCTCTTCGTTTTGCCACCTCTTCAGCATAGTCCTTCCGCACTGAACCCGTATAGCTCGAACGATTTATTACTGTGTTCCGAACATCACCCATCGTTCATTTGCCTAAAAATTAATTCATTACCTAACATATAAATAAACATCACCTGATTTATACTACCATTGCTATAACAGCATGTAATTTACAACAATTAACGCCTATTCAAAATATCTATGTAGTGACTGCTACTTAGGAAAATAACTACTGGTCTTTGGTAAATCTGAAATGATAATATAAAACATCAGCTGCAGTCTAGCTCATGCAAAATCAAGTTCTTGGAGAATGAGTTCGAAAGAGCTGTATGATGACAGTAAGAAGAATTGTATTGATATTAGGAAAGCTAAACTTCTTCAATGAAACAAAAACCACTTGAATTACAACCAATAACGTCGAAATAAAAAGCTCCATTTAGTAGCATTATGCACAGTATCTCCTTAGTAACTGACATAAGATAACGAATGCAGACATAATATAAAACACAGTTCCACGCATCTATTTTAAGATCAAAAATGTGGTCATGCAGTGTACGCAGACAAATAGTAATTTCGAAATATAATAAATGAAAACGTAAAAATATACAAAATGATGACAGTTATAACGATAATTTATACAGACACATATTATCATACAGTACAATTCAGTGATCTTTTGCGATTAAAAGAAAGAAGAGTAATGGTATGATCAAGGATCAAGGAGGAGCAACCCGAATAAAATAATTTTCTCTTCCAGCCTACATTCTAGAAAACAAATTACATTGTATCTACTGTGATAAGTCGGATCTACTTTAAAAGAAAAACAAGACAAAATTACCAAGATGCAGTAATTCACTTTTTTCAGAAACTGAATTTCGACTATAAAAAGAAAAATCCACTGCTTACAAAACTATTGTGATACTGGTATGAAGAGAAATTAACAACCTGTAACAAAATTGTCAAACATTTTACTCATATCCAAATCATAGGTGAAAATCACACAACGCAAGAAAGACAGCTAATTCCGAATCTTGTTTTTTGTTATTAAGAAAAAAAAAATGTTGAGAAAACATATCAAAACATGGTCAATTGGCGACTGATTAGAAACGACGTAATTTAATGTTTTATAATTTATCTCCACTTCGATGCATTCTCTTATGCAACCTAGAAAAGGTGGACCATAAAAATTTACTTATTCGAAATTTTAACCTGAACAAAAAATCAAAAACGTCATTCTGAGTTAACCAGTAAATGATATTTAATTATGGGTAAATAAACTGAAAAAAGAAATGAATGGTCTTTCAGAGACTAAATGAAAAAAAATTCATCCGAAAAATTAAGTGCAACACTCAGAATGATTTGAGTAAAATAACACAGCAAAGACACGAAACTACATATTGATCATATTGGCAACGGACGGAAACGTATCACGTGTTAAAGCTTTTATAGAATATATTTGCGGCGCTAACGCTTTATAAAAAAAAAAAAAATAGTAGAGAACAAACAGAGAACTTCGACAAGTACAACAACAACAAGTATTCCAAAGAGAATTTAGAGGAAGTTTCAGGAAGAGCAAAGGATGACAGATATAATTGTGTGACAAAAAACTGAAAAGATGGAAAGCCACCTTTGGACTTTTCTCTTTATCATTTTCATTACTGAAAACACAGAGAGTACATCAGAATGCAGAAATGAACCGTCGATATTACCTTAGTAGCCATGATCTGCGAGCAACTCATACCTTAAAACGTAGCAACATAATAATAAATTGAGTTAACCACTTCCATCATGCAAATACCTAGTCACAAGCGTAAAAGCACACCTTCAACTGACTCCAATGATATGTAATCATCAAAGGTACATGATACAAACTGATTGACATGATATATTTCAGTTTTAAAAATATAGAAATTAGAAATGACTGTTCTATTCTAGTTACAAACATCATAGCAATAAAAGAGTGAAAAAAGAAATGGATCTCGATGAGAGGTTTCAGCAGATTTAGTTGAGTTTTGCAAATATGGAATTGGAGAAAATCAGAGGCAATAAATGGATAGCTGAGGATGTCGAGTGCAGAGCAAGTTGAAGACATAGATCGTAACCTGAAAACATGCTCATACAAAAAAGCAAATGAGGCTTGACCGAAGATCATTTTGGACGAATTAAACAAAAAACAAAAGAGTTACTTAATAAGTCTTTTTTCTCTGTTGAAGCATGTAAAAAATGACACTTCTGTTTCACATTTTAGCAGCAAACAACCGCAAAAAGAATTCGATAGTGTGTTGGGTTCCAGTGCTCATATATGTCACTCACTCACACTGATGTATTGTAGCAAAGAACAATTACGCAACCGTCTCCTTCGCCCTTCACACTCCTGGTTATCACCATAACTCTCCTTTTCGCTTCTTGCAGCCAACTTTTCAGTTAGGTCACTTTTACATCTCAATAAACGATCAACCAGCACTTTTTAAGCTAATAATTTAATATTCGCAAACATCACAAGAAACAGGCAACGATATTGCTGAAAACTGTTTATTTGCAACGACAAAAGTAAGCTTAACAATCTCTTAAAGCTAGTAAACCAAGACAGTTCTGTCACTGTCATTCTAATAAACTTTTCTGAAAATGAGTATATAGCAAGTTCTTTATTCACGTTCGGTGCTATGGGATTTTCCGGATGGATTTACTCTTTCGAAATGAAACATTCATTTAAATCTGAACCATTTAACTACAAGTGAAACATATAAAATCTCAACAAACAGTTTTCTCCATTAGGCATTCCATCATGATCTTTCATTATCGGTATTTTTTTTCTGAAATTTTTAAAATTCAATAAGCAATACATCACATATAAGCCACACAACGAGTTAACTTGAAGAACTCTAATCTTACCGAAGTAATGCCCAGGATTATGCTACACTTGCAAGAAAGATCTTGATTATCTTCTTTAATTTCTTTTCGATAAATAATAATAAAAGAGTGACCAATGCATCATTCTGGACAGTGGAGGCAGTTCTGTCATCGATCTACACTTTATCACACAAATTCTATGACTGATTATGACATAACACCAAAGTAGTTCACTCATTAGTTACTAACTCAGCGGTTATATTCTTAAGTTCCCATTTAAAAGCAGAAACTCTGATGGTGATGGTGATAAATGATTACGGCGGAGAGTGAGCAAGAGGCAGTAGCAAGTGCAGTAAGTGTAAGAGGAAAACAAATGTTGTACACATCGCGAAGTGAACAAAACAACACAAACAACATACTTAACTCTTCAAGGACTCCCCAACTTCTTCCTCTGCAAAAGTTAAAATAAAAGATCAAAGATCAAAGGCATAGACAGTATCATCAAAATTATGACAAACAACTAACAACTCCGATCCATAGATATGCATTAATTTTACCGCATTTATGAAATTGTATGGAAAAGGATAGGAGTCCCTTCGTTTCATTTTATTTTGAGCTTGTCCAGTATGCAACGCGACTAACTGCAAACTACAAACATTAATAATGGAAATCTCAAACAAAATGAGTCTATCATAAAATGAATTCGTCAATTCAATCAATTGCATTTTCAGTTCTAAAAAGTTCCCTTCCTTCTACGTAGATATTAGCATCAGTAAATAAATTCTCGGTGGAAAATGTTAACTGAGAGAAAAAGAAAGAATGAAATGACCAAATAATAAATTAATAATCAATCAACATGATGAAACTATGATTTGAAACAATTAATTAAGATGCAAAAAAGTTTGAAGAATATGATAAGGAACATAACATAAGACATTTGACAACTGTCCACTTCAGAGGTTTTCACTCAAACCTTTCTATTGTTACCTACTCTCAATTTGAGAATATCAGTGCCTTCTTCTTAAGTATTCAATAAATGTTGCATTTTCATAGTGATTGTAGGGAAACACAAATGAACATGAGAAGTGAAATAATCTAGGAAGAGAATGAGTAATGGAACTAATGAGAACTAGCCATAAACATTGATTTTGTCAATTTAGAAACAAGCCAAACATACTTGGTTCTACAGGTAAGGCACTGATGTGTGCAATGCCTCAGCAATATGAAAATAATAACAATGCTACCATGACAACGCTATCCTAAAAAGAAAAAAAAAAAAAAAAACTAGTTACTCCATCTAGACCTAGCCCAAAAACAGAATCAATCCTTAGCTGAGAAGGCCTTTCTCTAATCTCTTCTTCGTTTTAAGGTATATTCACTCTATCTGCCTGTGCGTTCTTCTGCTGAAAAGCCCTATTTATTTCAAAAACTTCAATCTTTCCCAACAACTGACATTATCATTTCCTAACAGGCTCATTTAAGTAAGGTCAGAAGAACCCTCACTTTATGACTTTTGTTACTTTCGCTTTCTTGTCAAGCATTGTATCATTTTGAAACAAATGTTCATCGGAAGTTTAGATGGAATAAATGCCGCAAAGCAACAATGATTGTAAGTAACAATAACATACTTCCAGATCATTTTATACCAGTACAAGTAATGAATGCTTGACTTTAGCGCAATGAAATTCTGCGCCTATCCCTTTAATAACAAATTAATATCTAATAAGATAACAATTTTAATTTCAATGCCTTTTTGAACCAACAGCTCAGAAAGTCTAAACAACCGAGCGGTTAATCAGTCCCGTCTTCTTATCTGTGCAATTCTCGGCTGTTGATTATATATTTGACCACTGAGCGACTGGAAATAAAGAATTCTTGTTATCAGATTTAAAATGGATTCACTCCTCACCTTCGTCAGTTTGGATGTTGGGTGAGTGTTCAGTTCACGCTATATTGCAATGGGAAGATAATACACAGACTAGCCAATTAGAGAAAATGAGAACGTGACTTACTCAGCCATAATTTAGACTCGCAAAAAATTACTGCTCTTTGCTACACTGTTTTCTTCCCATGGTAATACTAGTGCAATGAAAATTCGGTGAATGCACAGTCTGCGATGATACGTACGTGCGCAACAATCACGTTACGTCATGCTTTCGTACCAGTAGCGAAACAGCGTGAGTGTAAACATGACTCACTAACAAATCAAGACAACTATTTCCGACGAGTGGACAAAATCGAAGGAATGAGGGACAGAGAGAGAGGGAGATAAATGTATAAGAGATAAAGACCACAGGAGTATTCAATCGAAAGAATGGATGGATGTTATCAGTCTGATGAGATCGATAAGGTTGGATGAATCACACATGGACGTTAGAGTTGAACTGAAATATTTGTGAAATTTTATGCAGAGGGGGCGTGTCATAAGCTTTTGACGACCAGTTATTGTTCCGAAGATGAATTCGTTTCACCTTACACCAATTGAATCGATGTTAATGTTCATAAAATGGAAAAACAAGGTCACACTATTTGCATGACTAAATATGTACCAATGATTCAAACAATCTGTCCTTGCAAAGGATACAGAATCCGAGGGCGGTTACCTCCCCAACGTCCACCCTGCAACTTCGACTTTTCGGCATCAACTTCATAAGACTTAATGCAAGTATTTCGTCTAAGTGATAACCTCTGCCACAGCCTTGTCATTACTATTATACCCTTTTAGATTCCAGACCCAATTAACTTCTTTTTAATAGTGTAATTCATTTATTCTTTCTATTTACGAAAGCATATCACAACAGACATATGTGATATCCATGAAGTGGAAATGATATTGTAAAATTGTAAAGTTTGGAATATTATTGTTATAATATATTATTGTAAAACAAAAAAATAATCACAAATCTCACTTTCGTCTCCGATAACTTCCTAAAAATTTTGAGTGACACAACATCTTAAAAAAGGGCGACAGGACGCAAAAGTTATGAATAGAAGACAATGAGAGAGCTATAAAGAACAAAAACAACAATTGAAGTGTGTAGTGGATTTTGTGATGATTTCATTCTAGTCAGAATTACTGACGGTTTATTCATCAAGGTTATACTGTTTTAATACTGGCAATAGCAACAAGATTGTTAAATAATATATTATAACAATAATATTTCAAATTTACAAGATCATGGGAAGGATTTATATTCTGTATTTCTCGATACGAAATCGTCAGTAATTCTGATTGGAGAAAAGAATGAAACCACTACAAAATCCACTACATTTTGTTGGTTGGCTACACTATTACCGACATTTATTGGCTTTATTATGGCGCTTCTTAATATGTTTCGGTATTTTGGTTAAACGATTCGCGCGCTTTTCTTCCTTTACTAGTCGTTTCCGTTCCTGAAAATAGCAAATGTCGAAACACACATGCATTCTCTGGTTTGATATTCAAATACTTACTTTAAAGGATTGGTTTTAAAATACGTATTCGAATACTTATGAATACTTCCTATTTCCAATTCCTGGAAATGTACAAAGCAAAGATATTTTGCGTAATGTGCCATCAATACCCAATATAAATTGCAAATAAGCATTTCAGCAATAACCAAAGACTATAGCAGGAAAAGTCCGACGGTATACGTTCACTTCGAATAATTCATCAATTTAAGTCACAGTTAGAAGTAACGCTATATTATTTATTCCACAAAATCTAACAATGTGGTAAAGAGATTACCAGTAGAAAATCTCGATAAAAAGTTGGATAAGACCAAAACAGGTAATGGAGCAAAAAAATGCTCCCGTTCTACTCTATTACTTATACTAGCAAATATTACTGGAAAAAATGTTTATTTTGATAAGACATATGATTGGTGGAATATACAATTTTTAGAGGATACATAAAACAATATATAGATTTGAATTTAAATAAGTGAACGCAAACGTATTCAACGTTTGCGTTCACTTATTTAATTTAACAGCGAGGATACTTTATCTTACTCAGACGATTTCACCATTTTTAAAGAAAAAAAAGAAAAGAATATACATGATTTTCTTAAATAAATTTATATATATATATTGTTCTGGGAAAAGTTTGTCAGTAATGGACTGTCTAAAAAGAAGGGTCCAAACCTTGCAAAATTTTTAAGTCACATTCCTAAAATTTATGTTAGTGTGCCGGGTCCTTTAAAAAAAATAAGTACTAATTACGACTGTGTATAGATTTTTCATCGCAAACCTTTTTTGTATTCGGGGATTCATCTCGATTGCGTATATAGACTGCTACTTTGCGATCTTTTTGTTCTTTCTCTTCCGAAGAGGACGATCCTGCTGAGTCATGATATCGAGTTGATTCTCTTTGGTCTTTTAATTCATTTTTAAACTCATTTTTCTAGAGAAAAATACGAATTGAACTAAAATATATCCAAAGGATGAATGAATGCTATCTCTAGCAATGATGTAGAAAACCTATAAAATCAGCTAAAACTATTGTACAAATTGAAAGTGCCGCGCATATATAAAACCACAATATATATAACTATCCCATATATCATTTCAAGAATAGATGCTTACCATCAGAAAAAATAAGAAAACATCATCAAAATACAAAAGTGACTTAAAATGATATTTACCTCATTTATACTTTTATCTCCACTGCTTTTTACTTGTGAGATCATCATCTGAAATGGATTTGGAATTTCTCCACCAGCTTTTTCAATTTGTTGATCACGTTCAAAGTAGAGTACTTGTTCTAACTTTTGAGCAATAAAGGCATTCATAAACAAGGTATCATCGGCTTCTATTTCAAAAGTCCTGCAAAAATAATATAATGACTTTTGTGAGAAAGTGAGAAAAAAAATTCCAAAACATCAAATCCAACTAAGATTATTTTTAGCTTTCCACCTCTAAGATAAAAAGCTAAAGGTAAGACATTATCATCTGTAAGAACCAATATCTGTATAAAAGAAATTCAGCTGCAGTTCACTGTCTTCAGTAAAAAGTGTAATATGAACAGAGAATTTAAAAAATAATATAATAGAATTCAGTAATATGAAACATATTGCACATGTCTGTAAAAGAAACGACGACAACAATGACCTTAACCAGCAGCGGGTTAAAGAGTGAAAATGTCAAAATGAAATAAAGGAAAACTACCTTTTATTCATTGACTCTTGTAATTCACTTTCTGTTTTAATAGATGGATCAGCCACCAAAAGAAAAAGATCTCTGGTTGAAAGTACAGAAACCTACAACTAACACTGCATTAAGTTCAAATTTACCAAATTCAGCAATTCCTAAAAGAGGAGCAAGTCTTCAACAAAAGACTTACGCCTTTACTTCTGAAGAATTTTGTGATATTTGAGCAGTCTGAACGAAGAAATTCCAGCGAACGTGGATGGTCATGCTCTACTGATTGCGATACATCAATTATGTACAACTTCCCCTCTTTAACCATAATATTGTATTCGGATAAATCGGCATGTACTAGTCGACAATCTCTGTACATTTTTCGCATATAGCCCACTAGTTCGATATAAAATGCATCGGCGAATTTATGTGACAGTTCAGCATCCTGAATTCATTAAAATAATCCCTTAATCAAAAAAGAAGTTTGGTACTTCAAAAAAGGAAAAAATAATAAAACGAAGCTTTTCATGCAATAAGAGAAAAAATACTGAATCTAGACAAGAACCTTTAGAAGTGTGGCTGGCCAACCATCGGCACCAATAAAATCCATAACCAAAACATTCTGTTTAACTACCACAGGTTTTGGGACTGGAAGTCCAGCAGAATACATTCGAGACAGATTCCTCATTTCTTTTTCTGCCCACACTGTGATCATTTTCCTTGGATTATGCTTGCAGTAACCATGTCGATATCTGTATGGAAATATATCTTATATTTATCTCGTCATACTTTATTTTAATTGAAGTCTTGCAAATAATTTAAAGTACAATCAATGATAAAAACAGGGATGCAGAGAGTCGGAAAAATGGTGGCTTCTTTGAAGACTTATTAATGATTTTATAAGTACAGGTGTAATTCATATGAAAATATGCTGCGAAAAAACCAAGTTAAACTAACTAACCTGAATTCACCATTAACGTATCTGTCGCGATCTCGAAAAATGAGTATGCTTGTTTTATATACCTTCACAGCCAGACTTTTACCATCTCTTGTTACAGCATGATAAACATTCGCCTCCTTACCAGTACTAATGCATCCTTCGATTTCATCGAAAATATCTCGTTGCAAAAGTCGTCTTAATACAAGCAGAGTACGTTTATCCATAACCTTGAAGAGAAAGAAAAGTCAACGAATGAAATCAACTAAAACTAAACACAGATGTCTAGTGTTCAATATACTTCTGTTTCGACTACATATTTTGCTCCCAAACCATTCCAAAGGGTTTCATCCTAAAAGAAAAAGCTCATTTTGGAACTCTTCTTAATGTAGTGAACTATACTGTCGAATAAGAAATACAACAGTAGATATGTAAAATAACACTTTGTTCTCCTCTAATAACATGAAAGAAATTCAATTGCCTGTTCAGCAGTTGCTCGGTCAGCACGATCCTTATATACGGTATTGATAGAGGAAAATTTTTCAATTAACTTTTGGTCCCAGAACTCACCCAGACAAGTTCGATCTGCAATGAGTGTTAAATTTTGACAGCAGTTCTTCAAGAACTACTGTCAAAATTTTCAAATTTATTGCGAAAAATACAGCAAAAAAATGAGATGGAGAGTACCAGTTTATTGGAATAACTTCGCAGTCCCAAGCTACAATTTAAACGTGATTTTTGATAACCTTAAACACCTGTATCATAATAAATTTACCCAGATAAATTTTATGAGACTAAATTAATGAACATAAATCATAAACAACTTGCTACGTAACTGATTACAAAGGCCCTCAATAATATGCCATCTAAGTAACAAGAAATACATCGAAACAAGATGAAAACTCACTCGTAGCTACTTTCGACACAGCATTCAGCGAATTCATAATTAGCTAAAAAAAATAAATTGCATGTTTATTGCAAACAATTTGCACGTCTTCCCAAGAAAGGATAAAATCCGAAGTCATACCTTACTATTACTGCCGAACTTCGCAATAAGATCTAAAAAGAGCAACATTTAATGAAACAGTGAAGCATCAAAAACTTGAGTGCAAGTTGATAAAATGTCTTTATATCCATTTCTTTAAAGAAAACTGCAACAACCACTCAAGCTAATTAAACGCACCATCTCCTACTTCCAAATTCTGCGACTGTGCAAACATCTTCATTTTCCTAACTCGCTTTGCAAGTGTCTTGCGCGGATATGGAATTAATCTATAGATGTTTTCAATAGCAAACCAATATGTTAAAGTTAATTTCTTATTTCGCCTAAGAAATAAAGCATAATACACCAAAATAACTCAACTGATGACGTAAACCTACCATCATAATCATCGCTATACATTCTCTCCCAGCCATCATCATCTTCAATATCGCTACCATTACTCTTTTCACTGTCAGCAATTTGCTCTTTACTGACGAACTCACAACGGTCCTTACCGACAGTTGAGATTTTCGCCATTCTGCGCAGCAGAGCTTTTAAAATTTCGATGTTAATCCTGTTCAAATTTTAACACTGTGATTATATAACAGATGCTGCAGCCATTTATGCTAAGCTCTATCATCGGTTATTATGAGTGTACATGTTGCGTGTCACCATTGATGACATAAGATATTGTGGATAAAAGCAATGTATCAGTTGGTCAACTCAACTGATCATATAGAAATCGAAGAATTCTTCCTTTACGGTGAAGGATCATTTCTTCTATGTCTGTTTTTCAGTAAAATAAGCTTTGAAAAAAAAAAAAAAAAACATGAGAGCTGTCATCCCTCTAGCTTCACAACAACGTTACTGGGTTGATCATTCAAAAGTCTACGTTATGCTGGACTGAATAATGCAGATGCTGTCAGAGAGATATGAATACTCGTGCCGATATCGAATATGTTTCACATTACTGTAACAGCAGTCCTTAAGCTGAACTATGAATAGGGGAAACACTAAGCATATTCATTAAGCATTTATCAACAACGAAAAATAACCAACAAAAATAAACCCAAATGAAAAGGATGAATAGAGGGAAAAGTACCACTAAGAGTTCACAAAGCTATGATAATATATACAAAAGTCATGCAATAACAAAAGGTATATGTACAAACTAAACGATGCAGGCATAATACAAACATTTGAAAACACTAAATGTTTTTTTGCTTCGAATATATTAACTGAGCAAAACAATTCATCTAAAGTGAAGCACATCTACTCAATAAGTCGGTCATTTTGTTGACGCGCAATATAAGCTTAAACTAAAGGTTCCATAAAATAACACCTCACATTATAAATACAAAAGTGAGGGGAGGAGAAGAAAGAAAGAAATATAAGGTGTTAGAAACTTCAGATATTAAGTAACCCCACGGAGAGAGTGCTTGGAATACAAGGACGTATTTTCTATAAAAAAGATACACTATTCGTCAATAAACGAATGAATTCCTTCTCAAAGTATTGTTAAACGACTGCCTTAGTATCACTCAATACTTCCCCACTTTACTAGCATAATTCAGAATTAACGAGTTATTAATTCATAAAAACCACCAATCCGAAAAAACACTCAAATTCGAGATCTCGCATGACCTAAACTATTACGATACCGAGATATCCGTCACTGTGCAAACCGACCGTCTCATTACACTCTTGCACTTTATTGCCATATGTTCCAACCATTCACAGTATCTGCGTAGGATTGGCCATTCCATTCATTCCAGCAACAGTTCTTCGATACAGGAATCACTTCGTAACCACGTTCAAACTGAACGCTTCTTCTGCTGAGCACCATTATACATAATTAACAGTTATGAAAATCCACTAGTAATGAGCAAAAGAGGAACTTAATCAATGTATTAGTACAGAATATCGAAAACAGAAGAGTGATTAAACAAACATTCTATTGCAGCTCGTCTTCGAACGATTTCATTTCAATTTTTCCTTAATTCTTGAAGTCATAATAATTCTTCCCTCAAATGGTTCATTATTTTTCCAATTCACAATAAAAATTTTATATATGATCCGCGAAATTTTTTCGATGAATAATGATATTAGAACTAAGCAGTGGCTATATTTAAATTTAGCAGGAATTACATTGCCCCAAAATAACCAGTTAATCATTGTATATCGGTTCGGGATGAGTAAAACCATAGGCCCTTCTTCGTTTTAAAAATTCCTACATGTCCAAAAAGTTCTTTCTTGATGAGCTGAACTGATTGCTATTCTAAGCAATTTTGATCCTAAATGTATAAATAACAAATCCAACAACGTAGTTGTTTCATCTTTAAACTAAATGATACTTCAATTTTAAAGTTGAGTAACAACCTTTGAAGTAAAGCTGTACAATGAATAAAGCAGATTTAAACTAATTATAAGGGACAAGATATGGCACAAAAGGATATAGAAAAATAAAGATTAATATGGGAGACCCAGCAAAGAATCCAAAAACTATGTAAATCCGAAAATTAAACTTAAATTTATGGCACGTTTTTCAATAACATTAAGCTAGAAATAACACAAGAAGGAAGAGAACTAGCAGCAAATAAAAATTAAAACAGAAAGTCCAAATACATCACCTTAAATTACCACTTTAAAAAAAAAAAAAAAAACTTTACAGAAATATTTATTGTTGCCGAACCTCATCAAATGCATACCGAATCATTTACGGGGTGAATATTTTGGATTTCGAGGCATTTCCGTGAAAGATTGGAGTTGGTATTTGATCATATCTTTCCCCAATTCAAAATTTAACGTTTCCAGTTCATTTTTCTGCGAAAATAACATTTTAATATCGGTATGAATATACAGTCTACCTCGACGATCTGTTGCCAAGCTAAAATAAGTTATATACATTTAAGTTCTTCCTTGACATAGGAAATTAAAATTTCTAAATTATTCCGCGACTATAAAAAATTGGAATGATTCATTGAGAATGAATGTAGGCAGAACAACTCAAGGACACGGCTCATTATTTTCATTATAGAAAAACCAGAGGGAGACGTGTTCGAAATACGCTTTCTTTAAAGCACAAGACTGGTTAGGATAGAGCAGGTATCGAGAGAAGTAGAAGACATTATTTTTTTTAGAAGACAGACGTTATTATCAGGACTAAAAAATAGGTTCAAAATAAATTTAAAATACGAAAATTCAAATTAATAACCTTAAATGAATTAGATATTTAAGCCAAGAGCGCAGCACACAATCGTATGTACATCCCACTGGCATGAAAAATATACGTTGTCGTAAAAAGGTTTGTGAAGAAGGCGGCATGTCACTAACGTCAAACTTGACTACAAACATTTGCACCACAGTACCCTGTGGGTTGAACAACACCTAAAACAAAATGATTTCAGTATGTGACATGCAAATGCATATCAATTCTTAAATCAAGGATGCAAAATGGAAAATTAGCACCAATTCTATCTCCAATATTTAATAACAAAAAATGCTTCATAAAACTACCGACTTTTTCCATTCCATCAAATACTGCGAGTGAACTGGCGATCCTACAATTTTTTTCTCTATTGGGTGATGTGCTCCTATGACGGTATGCACTACCGAAGTCGAAAAATGAGATTTTTTGCGATTATTCCTATACGAAATTCTGTGCTCCATGACGAGCTTATTATTAGCTATTTTAGAAGATTTCAAGCAGCTCTAGTACAAATTGCTTTTCTCAAAAAATGCCGCTGTAATGATTCTCAACGACTGTTCGGAATAAGAGAATCCATATAAATAATTACCGCCTGCAAAATGCCCTTCCTAGGAATTCTGTAACCCTTGCGCATGTTTTCCAATGAACAAAAACCCTGAAAATGATTAAAATTACAAATTAGAAAAGTAAGCAGTTTCAAACTTGCACAAAAAAAAAAATTCAACTATTTAGAAATTCTCCAATAGTACCGGAATTTAAATCAGTTACGATAAAACAATATATAAGACATAGTTTCGGGATAAAATTAATCAACAAACCATGTAGGGTAAAGGCGCTTCATCTTCAGACATGTTGAAAAAGAAAGTTGTAACCGGCAATGTAAGATGGGGAAAACAAGTTTCATCACTTGCTGCTACAAAATTTTTTGATTTCATTCGCTAAGTGATTTTATTGCTGTTGTCAACATAATTCAAATTTAAAGAAGAGTGGGATTAAAAATTACAGCCGAATTTTATGAAAAGGATAATTTTAACGGGACATAACTTTTAATTTACCAATTTGCAGATGGAAACCGTCCAAAGATATGATCGGCTCTAGACGGCCATTCAGTGCACTTTCCTCAAAGTTGCACAACAAACCACTGCTTGAAGACGTGTTTCTTTTAATACATCCAGTTCCATAGCAATTTAGATTATTGTCATTGTCATCCATCGGCATACTGTAACAGCCGAAACTTTTAAAGCATTATTTCGAAATTTATTATCATATTTTTATTATACTCCATATCCGTCATAGTAGATGACGGTGTTGAAGATATAGTTTCTGGTACATTAACGACGATATAGTGTTAATAAAAATGTTCAAAAACTAGTTATAAAAAATGAAAAACCTTACTAAGAGTGAACTGACATTTACAAAAACCATGATATGATATCTAAAATAGTGAAATGATAAACTACTAACTTCGGCAATATATGAGCTCTTGTTTGTTCTTCAGCTGTCTTCCTTTCTCTATTTCTGGTACTTTTTACTGATTCATTCGCAACAAATTTCGTTGCGCTGCGGTTGAATGGTGCAGGACTAGAATGTAGAGGCAGACCTGTTGTTTTTGAGAAGGATTTGGATGCTGTTGACATGAAACGAAATGCTGACGCAATAAGACTTCGACGTGGCAGGGTTTCTCGACGCGAGGTAGGCGATGGTGGAACTGCTTGAATTGTAAATTCAGTCTCTGTTGAGCGTTCTGATGTTGGTAGTAGACTCTGAACAACGAGTAACTTAACAGTCTGATCATTTTCCAACAACATCTCATCTGCAACTATAAACAAATCATGAATAACCTAACCAAAAAATCACAGCAAGAATTCATTAACGATAGATATGTGCTAGATATATGATATATGCAATCCATGAATTCTATCAAAAAAAGTCATTACCAAAAATCAGGATACTTTTCCATTTTTTTATTTTCAGTTAATTCAAATCTTTTATATTTTTTCAGAAAGCGAAAAATCGACAAAATTTAAATGAGGTGACTTGCAAGCATGAATATCTTCAGATTCTATCCTTTCCTCCTCACTGTTTTGCTCATACTCAAATGGTATGTAAAAAAATGAAATTCTCGGTGACGATGAAGTAAACTGTCCCTCAAACAACGTCGGTGAAAATAGCCAATCATCAAAAAATGACCTGAAAGAACTGACTTGATATCTGATATATGACATGACATTGTAGAAGTGGTAGTAATTATAAAAAGCTAAGAGCGATGTTAATTATTACCCAGGAGATTCAGAATATGACAAATGCGGAAGTGGAAAAGCACTATGTTTTCTCCATTTGACTGTTATGTAAACACTAGGAGAAAGATTAAGTCGTCCAAGAGAAAATTCATGAGTTTCAAAATTTCTTAGCTGAATATCTGAATAGACACCATTCACAAAAATCCTGAAAAAAAAATTATAGAGCATGGTTGTAATGATAACTAGATCGGAATTAGTTAAAAGATATCTACTTATGAGGTTTTCAATGCTATTTGTAATTTATATTCCCTAGAAGAATTTTAAAAAGAATTTTTTTTTTTTGAATTTAATGGTCACGTTTAAGAAAAGTAAGCACACCCGTATTTCTGTAAAATACATTTCGAAGAGCTGAGATACTTTTTCGACAAAATACTGAGAAGGATAGCCTGAATTACAAAAGAAGCAGACCTATATTTACAAACTGCATCATTTGACAGTTGTTCTCTAATACATATTATCCCGGAATTAAGTTGCGAAAAATGCAAATAGGACTGCATTGCATTTTTCTGAAACAGATTATTCAGCACTTAGCGTGAACGACATAAAAAAAGTTAGAAATGTGAGCAAAAGTTTCAAAAAAAAATTTTTTTTCTTATAAATTCTTGAGCCATAAGAATAGTTCAGAAATAGGACAACACCATACAGCGTCAAACAGTGAAACTTGCTTACTGCCATAAGTTAACAAGATTCACACAAACTTAACTTTTTAAAATTTATGTTTTCAGAAACTGACCTCTTTATCACTGCTTTCTCTTGAAACAATTTTAACTGTCCATTCATCAAATAAAACAAGGCCTGTGCAAGAAGAGAATTTCAAATAGCATTGTCGATGTAAGACAAAAGTATGTATTGAGAACAGAGAATCGGTCTCAATGATTTCACGAGCTCTCTGAAGTATCTGTCCAGTATACTTCGAATCTCCACCACTATCGATCACCGAAGGTGCTATCTCCAAATCCAACTCCATCAGAAATCATCTGACAAAAAATTGAAAAGGACAGCTTGATATGATAAAAAAAATTCTGAAAAATGAAAGTGAAACGATCATTAGATATTTAAAGTAGTGCTTTTCAAAGTTTAGCGTATGTAAAGTAAAACTTTCACTTACCACACTACGCTAGCCTCTGAAGATAAATACAAAATAATAACGGAAGGCCGTTATTATTTAATTCCTGTTCTTGCTAAGATTTCTTGAACTTTTACAGACGTCAGCGATTCATCACTATCATCAGATTTTCGTTAACAATTGAGTGAAAAGGTAATTACCTACAGAAATTCCTTAAAATACATAATTTAACATCTTAAAATCTTATGAATACACATCCTTCTGCTTGTTTCTCATTTGACGTCGAGTACTTCAAAACCACACTTAGCTTTTATTCACTACACAAACTTTATTCAATTTATCAATTGACGAAATTACATTAATCGTTAGATATATTCGTAAGATTTAGCCACGTTCTAGGTTATGCTTGTTCCCAACTTGTCGTTGAGTATTTTAGTGGTTCTGTGGGCAGCCCAGCAAGTGTGGATTGTGGGAGAAAGAATCTTTTTTCTCCAGGGTATGTGCGATATCGTGGTTTGCGGAGTGTATTACACGTGGATGGGCAATTAATGGTGTTTTCCAATTTAAGTTTGGAATTCATTACTGAAACTGTTCATAATTACTATTAGAGATTCGTTAAATAAATCTCCCATTTAATGCTAAATCCAGCGGCAATAACAAACTAACCTAAGGCTTCAGGTAGTCAAGAAATTGACATTGATGTTCAATAATACAGTGATGAAATATTTCAATTGACCCACATTTCTGTAATACAAACCGTAGAAACGAGATACACTGGAAAGAAATCCTTTCCGTTAAAAAATGATATTTCTTAAATTTCTGATGTTTCTGGTGATTTCTGGTGACATCAACCTTTTCAGGAATGACATCAATTTCTGGTGACATCAACCTTTTCAGGAATGAAAACACTTCCAGGGACAAAAATTTGAATAAAAAAAAATTTGAAGTAATGCCTTTTTAGAGATAAAAAGTTGAAATAACACAGTTTTTAGGACTGGAGATAACATATTTTCGAAAACACAAAGAACGAATAACTTGTGGAATAATACAGAGTAATGAAAAACATTTTTATTGCACCCTGAAATACTACAACTGAAAAAAAACATTACTACTTTATAATCGTCAAGCATTTATGCCTATTCTCATCTGAAGTAAAAAGCAAAATAACACTAGGACTCGGTCTTGCGACCAGCATCATTCATAGATACAGTTTGTTAAGATAATAAGACGTGGAAAATCTCTAAGAAGTATCAGAATTCAGAGTTCTATAGCCCTGCCTGAAACATGAAAAAGTTGCATCTTCTCAAACGAAACATAGCTAACTGCATCAGCACATTCTTGACTCAATACCAACTGGTAAATCCGTCTTTTGAGTACCTTTGCACCTGTCATACGAACATCTGCGATAAAATAGAAATATCAGTGGGTATGTTAAACTAAACTACTCGCCGATGGCAAAATTTTTAAATCATAATCGTAGATGTTTTTTAATGCTTTAAATCACCAGAAAAGAACAAGAAAATAGAAAAAGCATCCAAATCTATGTCAATAACTATTAACACCATAATTTCCTGTCAAGAAAAAAGTACAATCAGCACACGCAATACATCAATTGCTTCAAACCGGTTGATCTGTGCAGGAAAACAATCTCATTCATCCTCGTTTCATAAAGTCAGCATTAAAAAAATGATATACACATTGATGGCATTAAGTCGTACTTGAAATTAAGGTTTATTATATATGTATATATGCTAAGCCATAAAATAGAGCTATTGAGGAGACAGAAGTTGCGAACTGATCCCGACTTTCAATGGGATGTAATAATGTGATACTGAATAGATTGTCACTAGTACTACATCCATCTATATGTCCAGAAATGTACATAATGGTTTCTTTATCCGTACACCTAATAAATCCTTGTACACAAATTTCATCTATAAGACTTGTGAAATTCCTATGCTCAATTTATTAAGCGATTGGAACGCTGGTAACTTGAACTTAAATGCAGAGTTAGCAATTCCCGAGAAATATTTTTCAGCGTTTCGATATCGAAGCAACGTGAGCACTTCATATGTCAACTTTTTTTTTTGGGAAAAAGGAAGATATTCCGAAGGAAATTTAAGACAAAAAAAAGAAATATTCTTTTATCACAATTAATAGACAATTCTAAATAGAACCGATTTCTTATTAACCTGAGTAAATCAACTTTTCTTAGGATCCTAAACTGAGAAAGGTTAATCATAAATCATCCCTTCAAGTCGTCGGGAGATAATAAGCAACTGATAAGCGCGAGAATTACCGATAGAGGCATAAGAAAACTGAACAAATGATTTGATAGGATAGCAATATGAAACAATAGCTTTTACAGTATTTCGAGAAATTGTTTTAAGTGTTAAATTTATAGAACAGTTTTATGCCAAACTTTAAGACCAATTACAACAAATATATATATTAGGTGTAGAAGCAGAAATTTATAAATCATGGATATATGGTTGTTCAGCAGACCGCAGTATTTTCCTCTTAGTTGCACCGGTTTGTTGTCTCTGGATTTCAAAATCGAGCATTTCCTGCTCAATTAGCAGTTCCTCATCAATGTCAGTCATTATTTGACGATAATCGGCTATGAGATCATATTTGCGGAGGTTAGTGATCTTAAAAAAAACATTTTAATGACTTATATTTGTAATAAAACCCTTTCTACAGAGAATATTTCTCCAATAAACTAAAGACATGGCGTTCGTTTTGTTTCCAGAAACGACATATTTCGGTTTTGCAGCTCTAACAAACCTGTATTTTTGAGGAAAAAGCGGAACTAACAAACTAAGCATAACTTTAAGTCTGTTATACTTTCGTTTTTTATATAAAGTATATAAATAAATATACACACAATAATGCAATTAAAATTGCAAATATTTTAAATTATTTTCTTACAAGTCAAGAAAAAAGCCAGCAAACTCACTTTTGTTCTTCTGAATTTTTTTTTATACCATGGAGTTTGCTCACTCCACACATCTTCTATTCCTTTGTAATCAAAAAGTTCCCATCTCCTTGTCCACGGCGGTGGACGCAATTTAACCAAAAAAGATATAATTGACCAAAATCCATTAATGAGTTAATAACTGTATACAAATAATGACCGAAATCCACTAATGAGTAAATAAGTGCAGAAGTTTTTCTACATGGAATACTTACTCCACTAGCAGGCAATAAATGTGTTTTGTTTTTAAAAACGCTAAAGTCCAGTTTTGAAAAAACTTAATAAACAGAAAAAAAAATGTAAACCCTGTTTTTATAAGAAAAAAAAAAAACCAGAATTATAAGTAACATTTCTGTCTGCTTCGGATATGACAATTAAAGAAACAGTATTAAAAGTAAAAACAAGAAGCACCTTCAATTTTTAACAACTATTCGTACTAAAATTAGATTTAGATTGCAAAATATAATTTTGTAATTTCATATTTTTTTCAGAAACCTTATCGTTCTCGGAGTTTCTAAAATTGGTCGAAATTGTGCTATATAATATTTGTCATATCGGAGTAAAGTGAAGATTAACCTTTAAAGGATTTATGGGAATAGGTTTACCAACAACATGAGACGTAGGTTCCATGTGAATATCGAATGTACTATATTCGGGATAAGCATCAATTAAATAGCTTAAATCATCATCCAAACGCTTTTCCAGTTTGATTACTTCTATTTTCGTAATTGTTGGTGTGTACATTTCATACATAACTTCCACTCCTGTAAGTTTTTAGGACAGTTTATTAGAGAACCAAACATCAAATTGGTCCCAAATCAAAAAAAAAAAAAGAAACCTATTCCTTCGATGACGTTCCGCAGTGTAAACTGTGACTTCAGACCTTCCAATCTGCGATTAATGCATATGCCCAAAAATCGATTCCTCAATCCGATCAATTTTTTATCCGAATAAGTAACAGCAACAATGGAACCTTCAAAAAAAATGAGATCACATTCTCTTGTATTTTTACTATAAAAAAAAATTCTACAATAAAAACTCTACAATAATCCGCTTCAATACTTAAATGGTCTAAAGGCTGATTTTAGCAACTACCAATTTTGATAAACACGTTAGGAAATTGTTCTGCGGAACAGAAATGCGAAAATGAAAAAAATTCACGTACCAACATAGAATTCAGGAATATCTATTCGCAAACGACGCTCTAACATGTCTTTTCTTTCCAGTTCCTCCCGCAACAAATTTCGTCTGCCATGGATAGAGGAAGGCTGGAAGTCTGGATACACCTCTCTATAAAACTGAATCCACTCAAAACCTTTACAAAATTAATGCGTTGCAAAATTTTCAAAATGAAATATGCTTACCGGAAATTCTGTATGTGCCTTGCAAGTTTGATTTTTCTTTCCTCACCAAAGATAGAACGATATGCACGTTGACCCACTATTTTTGCTTCCAGAAGTAGTATTCTGATATTGCACCGCATTTTGAAGCTTTTGGGCTACAGCTATCTTAATCCAATCTATGTTCCAAATAATTTCGTAAACCTCTACATTCAAAATCACCCGAAAATTTCCTAACATAGAATTAAAACCCAGCAGTCTTTAAATCATTAATTTCCTTGAAGCTACTCTAGTAAAAAATAACGACTGGATTTAAATATATTTTTAGGGCTTGTCAATGAAACTTTAATATATTTCACAAATAAAAATAAGAGTTTGAAATAACGGTAGTCGACTTTTGACTTTATGAAGAATAGTTTCATAAGATTGTTACTTTTATGCAAATTCAGTAAAACAAAATAATTTATATAAAAAAGGAAAAGGCATAAATTAAAATAAAAAATCGAAACAAACACAAAATTATTACAGTATACAACTTCTATATTCAAAAACCACATAGAATTTCAATACAATTAATAAAACACGGAGAGAAAAAATAGAAAAGAAGTATATATATATATATATATATATAAAAAAAAAAAAAACAGCAATATCAAATTGTAACCAAAGATAAACCACACGGACCAAAGACGGAATATACATTTTATAACAGGTATAATTTTTAATTCAGTTTATACAATGTATTTGATCAGATATGAGAAGAGCACTCAGTTAAATAAATTTAAGTAAATAAGAAAACAATATAAACGCAGTATAATATCTTGAAAGAATGTAAGGATTGAAAATATCCATGGTCAGCAATTTCTGTGGTAAATCAAACAATACCAGTGAACATTCTTGAATTGTAGTATATAAAACAATAAATATTTTAGCTAACATTAATTAATAGTATATACAGAACCACTCAAAACATCCCAAGGAAAATACTCATCTTCAGAAGGATTTTCAGTACCAAATGACTCGCTATTACCATCTTCTATTTCTTCTGGTGCATTGAAATTGTGACGTTCTTCCAAAAACAGCTGTTCAAGCGCTTCAGGAATCTTACATTTACAGAGGTCTGAATAACACAAAGGGCACACCTGAATGAATTAATGATTGAAGATTTTCTAAAATAAATAAAATTTTGTCCTTCCAGAAAAATAAATTCTTCTCAAGCATAGATAGCATAGACCAATAAAGTATCTTCAAAACCAAAAGCTATAATTTCCAGAGAGAAAATAAAATACTAGTTATCTAAAAAGTATTTACTGGCATATTGCTTCCGATGTCAATCTTCTTTATCAAAGATAAATCGTGGACCTGTTTAACACACAGCCATTTTTTTAAGCATTCACTATGGAAAAAATGATTGCAAGGTGTTATGCGTGCATCTTCCAGTATATCAGACAAACATATAGCACATGCATCGCGTCGTTGTTGCAATGCTTCTTTGGATACACGAGGCAGTCGTGATAAGCTCGAATATGCTGCACGTCGTGATTGCACCCTAACAATTCCAGCTTGTAGTCGCCTCCAAACACTAAAATACATGTAGAACACCAGAACTGCCAGACTTGTTAATGTCCAATGACCTGCAAAATAGTTTTGTTCGACACCCAAGATTTTTATAAAAATATACGCAATCTTGAACAATACATACTATTTTAACAATAGAGTCTACAAAACGCACGGTTAATAGAAGTTAAAAATCAGCTGCATCCTATCTTACTAAAAATCGAATTACTTTACTGTGAAGTGAATCCACCTTTTAAGGATGTCAAAATACCGAAGCAAACAACATTCAGTGCAAGTAATACTTCAACACCACAAGTAATCGTTTTGCATAGGAATACGACGTAGTCAGCTTGTCCCCATGCATCCATAGACTCTGTCTCCAATCTATATATGGCATACACAATGAGAGCTGATAACGTATGTAGTGCCGTCAGCAAACAATTTGAACCTATTATTAGACACCTGAAAAAAGAATCAATTCCTGATTAGGGAACTGACTGTTAAGTAAGAAAACACACAAGTCTGAAAATATTAAATGAAAATTCTAACCACAAGTCAATGGGTAGAAATCGAGTAACAGCAATGGAAGCACAAAGGGATGCCACAAGTACAATGATAGCCAGAAAAACAGATCGCATATGTTGACCTCGGTTCGTCGATCTATTTGCAGCTAACGCAAGTATTTGTGGTTCAAGAATTTCGTATAACGATTGCAACAAGGCAGACACAACTGAACAAAATTGATATTTAACATGTCAAGCTTAATCAGTAATATTGAAGGCATCGAAGATTTCCAAAAAAAATTTCACTGTCATTTATTGAATGCAAAGTAATTTTACATGAAAACTTTCAGTTTCAGGAATTTTTTAACATCAAGCTTCAACTTTGATAGAACTTTGTTTCAAACTCGGTTTATTAAACTCATTTGTACCGAAATGATAGATATGGAACGAAATAACAATCATCTCAGATTTAGGCGATCTGTAAAGGCGATGTTTCTCATGCTAGTGGAAAAACCGAAATAAGCCATAATAAAGTGTTCACCAATGAAAAGAACTAGCCCAAGTAGGAAGGCTTTCTGCTCAGTTCGCATCCCGAGAACGCCTGTTTGTGCACAAAGCAATGTAAGTGTTAGTGCTCCAGTATAGCCGCCGTTGGCCAGAACCTGTCTATGACCTCGTTGTCCGCCAACAGTACACTCCGCAATAGTCAAAATTTGCTTACAAAAACAGCTCACAGTCAATGCCAGTGCTAACAATGACAGCGGAGTGTTTGTGCTTTCTGCCACTGATGCTAGGAATATTGCACCAATTTCACCAAAATCTCTTCCTTTTCCAGTTAAATGTATATATACTCGAACAAAAAACATTATTAACCATGCTGAGATTAATATTTCTGCGAGCCGTAAACGATACCACAAAATAGCAGCACCTGCAAATCCTTACGGCTTCATGAATTTATATAATTATGTTGTTAGCAGTGAACAAACTTTTTAATGCTTCTGCTCAATTAGAAAAAAATCTCAAAAAAATATCTCACATTCAAAAAAGATGCAGGAGTTACATTTGTTTTTGTCATAAATAAGGACGAGTGAAGAGAAAGAAAACAATGTTACTCGTTCTTCAATAATGACCGACAAACATGGACTACCCAAAGATTTATAAATATCAAAGTACCAATGACGGCAGTGACTTTGAAGAAATGTATATTGCATAAAGTTGAACCTCATCTTTAATCTTCTTAATTAATCAGAATTCACTATTGGAATATGATGTCTTTATTATTCTCAAAATCTTAAATTCGAAATTTTAAATCTAAGCAAAAGGTAATTACGACAGGATCAAAGAGTTATAAATATCAAAGTACAGAATTAACACTCACCTCCTCCAATACCCTGCAGAATTACGATAGCTTTAAGGTAGCGCACTAAATGACGCATAGACAGTAGCAGAACTGAAGCTTTGTTTAAAACATATATGCAAATTACCAATACTGCCAGAAAACAAGCCACATTATGAGCAATGATTAAGCGATCAATAGGCACTGAACACATTCGAGCAATTATTGGTATCAAAAAAACTGCAAGCGTAACTCGTGCAATATCATTTTCCAATCTTAGAAGACAACTTTGAATTACACAGAGCACCAACTGAAAAGTACTGATCTTTCAAAATTAAAAAGCATCTAATAACCAAGTTTTTTCTAAGCAATTGCACATCAACTTATATAATAGAAAGCATTAATGAAAGGAAGTATCATCCTTTTGATTAGTAGAACATAAAAATAACATATCTGGGCCAAAATATGAAATCCGTGCCGTTCTAATTTCGTGAAATCATCCAACTTCAAATCAGGATCACCATTCTGCTCCAGTTGAACATATCGAGATGAGAGATAATGTGCCACAGAAAACAGCAGTAATGAAAGTATGTGGAAATAAACTTGGACAAGTTTGTAGAGAGGAAGAAGAAAAAACATAAATGATATAAGCACAACTGGAACCAACAAATTTTCATTAGTAAAAGAAGTGTATTTTTTGAAGACTTATGCCAATTAGTAGCTCTTAACGAACTAACTAAAAAAGAATTCTAGCAAATTGCTATATAGGATTGAAATAAATTAATAATAATAATACAAAGGTAGTAAAATAGCACTAGAATAATCATATTAATTAAAATCTGGAATTTAATGGTCACCTGTATAGCTCAGTATCTGTGCCCCAGTTCGATCAAAATCCCCCACTTGAATAAATTCAATAATTTGATCCATTTCCAAATATGATGAAAATGACTGCTTGAATAAATCAGTACTAAAGTGCATATCTCGACTACGCCACCAAAGCTCGAATAGAAAAATGCCAGGTAATCGTATGGCAACTTCCATGCAATGTAAAAATACTATTCGAGGATGAACGCTGAATGTTTCCACCGCTTCACCAACGTCCATTTCATTAGAAATTCATCAAACAAATATTGCCTTAATTTCTTTATTCATTTATATGCTTAGATTTGAATTTTTTGTTAGCAAAAGCATAATAAACGAATGTGACCGTAAGCAAGACAAATTCTCACTGAGAAAACTCTTTCTTACATAACAATATACTTATAGAAACATTTGAATTATGAGAAAAAGAACTGTCTTCCTGATGTATTTGCAATCAGTTATCATTAATTATCACCACAGTCATTTTTCACTTCAATGTCCTTTTCATTAACTTACTAGAAACCTTTGAGTTCCTAAAAAAAAAGTATAAATACCTTTCAGGTCTCATCGACAATCTTGACTGCCATTTTTATGTATTCTGGAGTTTTCTCAGTAGTGTAATAAAAGTTTGAGAAAAAGAGTCCTTTTTAAATTCAAAATAACAATACTCAAAAGAGCAACCACTTTTCGAAAAACTTTGATTTAATGAAATTCAAGCACCATTAAAAAAATTGTAAAGCTTTATGGCTTCCGTGTTTTGTTCCTTCTTAACCATTTAGCTTAATTGCTTGCAAATAATACTTACTGCGCAAAACATTCAACACCAAATAATAAAAATAATGAGTCATGTGAAACACGAAAAACCACATTAATATAGTCTACAAGAACATAAGTACGCGTATGTAATAATTAACAGAAATACCACTTCTTTCAAGCAAAAACTTGAAAAAATGCTGATCACATAAATAATCCACTGTATTATCAAAACTTCGAAAGCTCGATATTGTATAAATCTCTAAATATCATTTTCCCGATCCTCTGAGATTTGAAAGGATCTAAGACAGCCTGTAAAGAAGGCATAAAAAGTAAAAGAACACTACGAGTTTTTATTTCGGTAGCGCTATAGTTACTGTTTAACGCAGAGTTAACTATTGAATTAAGTCTCACTTTTAATTTCAGTACACTGAATTCTAAGGCAATGGAAAGTATCTTCTCTCATCGTAGTAATGTTAGGCTATTCAATACATTTCTAATTATAAGCGAATAATAAATCACAGCAGTTAAACCGAAAAATCATTATCGAGCAAATAATTGTTAGCATTTTGAGGTTCAACGACAACTAATAACTGAGCTCCCTTTGCTAATAACGAATCTGAAAATGCAACGAAGTCATTAATTGGTGCTGGTTCGTTCAGTTTTGAATCGAAATTGAAAAATCCAGCAACACCTATTTGCCGTACAGTAAACCAGTGATGCCCTGTCCAAAACGGTATAAAGCCACGTGATGTGATATTGAATATGAAACCGAAAATTTTCGAAAAATTCAAGCAAGCAGTGGAACGCCTCGAATCAAACCAATTCAATATTAGATTTCGTGTTTCCAATGCCGCGATCAGTACATTGATGTCATAATTACCAAAACCGAACAATGAACGGTGTCGATTGAACCAGCGCGACCTATGTAAATTTTCCGCAATACAATCCAAATCAATCTTTTTAAATTCATTTCTCTGCAGCAATGTATTCAGCGTATGCATTAAACAGAGTTGCATTTGTTGTTTCTCGTGATATAGCTGTCCTGTTGAGACTGTACCTCCGAAGGAATCATAAACATTCATCTATAAGAAGTTATTTTTTTGTAATATCGTAGCTATAAATTATGGATGTGTAACTAGAGTTATATGTCACACGTCAACGGGTTGTTGACCTTAGAATAAAATTTTGTAATCAGGCTTCATGCTTTAGGATGCAAGTACTGCATGTTGATGGACAATAATTTACTCGGAATATTAAGATGTTAAGATCATCGTTATTTCAACGAAAGATATACAGTCGGCTATACTGCACAACAGTCTCCAATAACACTGAAAACAGAATAACATGACAGTATTAACAATTTTATTTCTGATATCATTACCAAAAAATGATACTTGGAAGTAGATTAAATTATCCTGACAATTTCTTACTTTTTGTTATTTTTTGTTCAAACAAGCCGCTAAACATCCTATGCACAAATTCTTTCCATTTATCCAAAAATTACAAATGCTGACTTCCAAATTAAATGACTAAACTAATTCCTTTCCTCCATGCAAGCGAGCACTTCAGTAACGTTAAATTCTAAACAGATTTAAAAAAAAAAAAAAAAAAAAGATTACTAGGATATTCCGCCGCTTTTCATTTCCTAATGCCCAACCTTCTTCTTTTTGATAAAGTCATAAAACCAATAAAGTAACACGACAAAATCACCAAGTAAAGAAAGCATCTACTATTACAGTTATGTATTAATAAGATAACGAAATTTTTTCGGTATGCATAATTATTAAATCAAAGAAAACTAAAGAAATGTTAACACCGTGGTTAGAAAGAGACCTGAAATTTTAAATAAATCTTCATTTTTTTTTACATGAACAATATATTCACTGGAACAATGTATTTGAATCAAACGACGTTGAAACAAAATTTCCCTTGTCATTATATTTATTTCTTCTCGCCTCTGAGCTGAGCCCTTTTACCTTGCCCAATTGGTGGATAAAGCATTTTTCCTCGTGCTGATTTCAATCGATTCTGAAATATACAAAAACCTTACTTTCTCAAATCTTTGATAAGCATTATCGAATTACGATGAAGAAATCATAAAATCTGATATAAAGCAAAAATAAAAGTTTTCTTCTGTGATGAAGAAAACGAAAGCACTGCTGCTGTTTTGCAGAATTAAAATTCAATTTAGTTCAATTTCAAAGCTTTACAAAGTATTATTGCAATATTTACCTGCACTTCTCTCCATACAATGTGTTCATCAAAACAAAGACCATGGAAGCGCAACATTTTTGTCAAATAGTGGAACATTGGTTGATTAGGATAATAATCAATCTAAATTTACATGATTCCCTTTTCTCCTATTTTTATTCAACTTCATCTATAAGTTGTAGAATTTTTAGAGCTCTGTTTTTCTTTAAAATAAGAATCAGTGCTGGGTATCCATTTTATCCTATTTATGCACAGTACATTGGGGAAAAAGTTGCAGCATCAATACCTGCAATAAGGCTTGGTGGCTTATACTCACTTATTCTTAAAAAGTAATCATTATCGACTGAGATAGGCTGAATGCAATTGAGCAACATAACGAAAAATATAAAACTAATGGTAAAGGTTCGATACTGATCTTCACTGAAATGTAAGGAACACTTTGACAAGAAGTACTAAGCAATCATCAACCAAACGAACTAACTGCTTTGAACGACTGTTGCTCCAACGGCTCTTCTGACATAACCCTTACAACTTTCAGATTTTTAGATTCGGTTGTTCGCTGTGGCTCAGTGAAAATACGTCTCGATAAATCATTCATATGTCTCCCATATTCTGTTTCACAATTGATTCCTCGAGTAGCTAAATTGATACGTGACAACATCGTTTTCACCGCAACTCCTACAAAATTTGTATGAGCCATTATTTTCTTCTTAAATTTCATGCATTACTCATTCATTATTTTCTCCTTTTCTGAAAATGCACAAATGCAATGTTTTTGAACTTACATAACAACCAATCCCGTTAAGAAATGCTACTCTCAATCATTCTACACAAAACTGATCATATATTTGAAATGAATATCAAACTGACAAAGCAGCACGCTCAAAGAACTTATAAAACACATAATGACAGCAAAAACAACCAATTCCGTAAAAGTGCTAATAATCCATGTGTAAAAATAACCGGTTTTTGATAAGCGCAACGTATGGTTCGTGCGTGTCGCCAATGTTTTTGTTCTCATAGCCATTGTTCCTGAAAATATGTACAGTGATATATTTTCAGCATGTATTTTTACGGCAGAAATTAGAACTGCCAATAAATTTGTGATCAATTTGTCTATTTGTTTCATTCCCTAATAATCCATATTTCGGTGGATGATGATATACGCCAGCAATAATGCAAACAGAAAACAGTGAATTGAAATATCTACATAATTCTTTTTTGTGCAGTACTTTTTAAAACTAAAATACTTAACAAATACATGAGCTATATTTTCATATTTGCAACAGCTACATGTTTCGAAAGTTCTTCAGTAAAATAATTGTGTAAAATAACATTCAGTATAATAGATCATATCAAGAAGAATTTTTATCCTTGATCCATTGTAAAGTTGTCCTCGATTTTAATTTTTAAATACTTGATCGATGATATTGGAGATCCATAGGCAACTTCTCCCATTCCCTTCCTGATGAAAACCATATTTCTTACTCTTCGCACCAACAGTCAGCCAAGTTTTTTTTACACCGATCTTTCATTCCTGTCCAAGTACGATGTTTCAAGTTACATATCTTGTCATCCCAGAGAACTACCCAATTCCGAAACTCACGCAAGACCTAAGGTAGAACACTTACCCTGTCCAGTTCGCATACATTAATGGAACACCTGATACGTGGGGACGAAATTTTCACTGCCGCTCCCATCATAGTGAGATGAAATGGTGGACGGTTCATTCCTAGATAGAAGTTAAAGAGTAAGAAGGGAAGTGGAGTAAAGTAGTATTCTCTCTGCAATGGAATATGAGGCTGAGGTATTTTTACTTTAACTCTCCTACACAGAATTGATTCGCAATCGAGAATTTGTTTGCATTCATTACAGTAATGGCATTCTATTATGAAATATGAAATACAGTTTGTTTTTTTTTTGCATCACTGTGACAAATTTAGGAGTTAATTATAAAATCATATTTTATATATTGTGCTTTTTGAAGGGTAGTTCTGTTGGAAATTAATATTTTCAGTATTTATTGTTAGCAAGCGAAACAAGCGATCCGTATGCAACACTGCTAATCAGCCCAAAGACGGGTGTTTCCCGTTGGTCTTATAAAGGAAATGAACTACAAGGAGCTCGAACAGGTTAGGTTCCAAGATTTTCGCCTAAAAGAGTGGGAAAATTGGGAAACTAAAGTTTAGTATTTGCATATAGGCAGTTGTTTGCAGGATCCGTTGAGATGGTTGGTAGCAATCATTTTATTGTAGCAACCAAAGACAAACCGTTACTTCATTTCCTTTCTATGGATAATAGTAAGCGCCTCCATGTCAAGAGTGTGCTTCCCAAGTCGGTGCATCACTTAGCTGTAACACCAGATGGTAGCTTACTGTTCGCTGTAATCAGTAATGAAATATACATATGGATTGTAAGTCAAATATACATATTTTTGATTTAAATTGCATGTTTAATTCACCTTTTGTTACCCTCTATTCTTCTCAAAGTTACAGATAGCCACAGGCGAACTTATTGCTATAATTAACGGTCATTATCGATCAGTATCTAGTTTATTACTGAATTCCGATGGTTCGCTCTTAGCGTTTGGGACGGAGGATGGCAGCTTATGTGTGTTTGTTGTTGCTGAGTAAGTTTTACTTATAAAAGAAGGTTTTTCTGCACGGCAGGAAAAAATCAAAGTATTTTTCATGTGTGTCCCACTTTTTCATAGACTTTTTCTCCTTCAGTATTACTTATATTTGCAAAAGAAATAAAATAGAATTTTCCTTTCTACAAATTCTTCACTCTCCTAGAGCTATATGGATAAAAATAGTATGTATATTCCATGTTTTACATAGTAAATAATCACAAAGCAAAACAATATGTTAAGATATCATTAACTTGAGTGAAATAAACCGCTTAGAAGTTTGATATTTCAAATTGCTGTTTTAGGCTGGTATCGAAAAACCCAGCTTTTGAACGTACCGTCCCATTCCGTCAATGGCGACCACATTCTTTACCCGTTAGCGATATTGCGGTAACACGTCATAGTAATGCTCGTATATTATCGTGTTCCAAGGACCATACTGCCGCACTACACTCAGTTACAGCTAATATTTGTTTGTTAAAGGTAGGTTAGGGTAGAAGTTGGACAATCTGCGTTGCCTCCATATGTTTTGCATTTCCTTACTTGTAAACTCTTAAACACACATAAAAAACCATATTATTTAAGCAAAGACATCAATAAGTTCCCGATTTATGAATCACTTGTTTGAAGATTATTCTTTTTGTTTTTGCGTTCCCCACCATTTGGTTTTATGAAATGGACCATTTAACATTATGTAATTACTGACTGGTTTGGTTTTGTTTTAGATCTCATGTGACATGGCAATATCATCCTGTGCAATTGATCCCGCTGAATGTCGATTGTTTTTGGGCACTGTCGACGGATCCTTGGTGCAATTAGATCTTTATACTTTGGTATGCTCATGAGAGGAATTGATTCATGGATTATTGGGAAAAAGAGGATGCTTTGTCATTTCAGAACAAAACAGAAGTGTCGCTTGTAATTAGAGAAGAAACTAGTGGGAATTTACAGCTGTTCAAGGGCCATTCTGCTGAATTGGCACGATTAGATGTAAATCATGATGGCTCCTTGTTGGCATCCGGTGATGTATGTGGTGTTTACGTGATCTGGGATATTTCGAGTCGGCAGTGTTTGAAGACGGCATCTCTAAAAGGTATATTCCACGAAATCTTAACTAGAGTTCTGCTGTGTATCTTTTTCTTTAAGGACCCATTTGCAAGTTGAAGTTCAATGCACGATGGAAAGCTACAGAAACAGGTGGCAAAAACAAACCAACACTCTGTGTCTCTAGTCTCAAGCGGCAGAAAGAAAGAAAACTACCCGCTCTTGTACCGTTGCAGGATGGAATATCCAGTGAAAAGGTATCACCACTTCCAACTTATTTCATTAGTTGTAAAAATACTTTAGAAACTAGCATTTTACTGATGACTTCCTAGAATAAGTTAATATAATCTAGCCGTGATACAGAAGTCTGTAAACTTTAATTTTTTGTTTTTTACTTTATTTGTTTTTTTCCAGGATGAATTTTATGCTTTAGATCTGGACAGGATCATATCTAATTATGCTAAGGTGGAAGTAAGTATTTAAAAATAATTCTCTTTCACGTCTCTCTATACTTGGAATTGGTATCTGACTCCATTGATTAGTTTTTTTTTTTTTTTTTTTTTTTTTGTTTGTTTCTTAATGAATTGTATATTCCCAACAGAAGCCAATATAATATAATTAGAATGGTAGGTCAAAATTGAAAGTAATTAGTACAAAGAAACATGGAATCAGTCTTCAGCTGTAACGATAGCCCAATAAGATAGGATTACACTAAAACAAGAGAAATTAAATTTCTAAGTAAACTCTCTTTAGGTTCACGTTAATACTTCAAACGACGATGAACCGTACAGTGAATACACCACAGAAGACTTAAAATTAGCGGAAGGCGTGGAGAATTCAGATTCAAAAACAATAGAGGGCTTGAAAATGAAAATAGCAACCTTGGAAAAAATAAATCAGCAAATTTATGATTTTGCGGCATCATTAATAATTAACCGGAACTAATTCGATCATAAAAAACTTCAAAACAATACTCCTCCTAAGTCAGTGCGTAACTGGAAATAAGTCTTTGTATACGTGAGCTAATACTGTGAAAACTGGACGAATCCAAATAAATGTTCATTTTATAGTAACAAATTGGTTCCAGGTCGGTTAGAAAGAGACTGGTCTTATACTATTTAAATGGCTATGAAAGATAAGCTTTTGTAAGACGTTGAGTGTTCTTCAGCTTTTTTTTCATATCTTTGTCTTGTATTGTTCAGAAATTCTCCTTACTTGCTTACGAATGTTTGTAAGAAAATCTTTTTAGTGCAAAAAAATTAAGACTATACATAATACAGTCAATATGTATATGATTTGGCTGTAGTTGTTATCCCAAAAAAGGAAGGGATTGTGAGACAAACCAGTGTCAATTAAAAAAAGGAGAAATGGTAAAACATATAATAGCAGATTATGTCTCCGAAAATTTTTTGAACAGAAACAGTCATATTTTAACAATGAACCGTAAGGAGAGATCCACAAGAGAAACCAAAGTAAAACATTTAAAAAAAGAAATGAGCACAGCTCAAGACGAAAACAAATGAAATAGTTATCAGCAATTGAAATAGGCCCATAGAAACAAAACAGCTAAAATATTTGCTCATATGAAATTTCATTTCAATGAGAAAAATGATCTGTTTCAGTGAGAGATTAATGTGAATAGCAGTTTTTTTAGCGCATTTCAGCTTTTTTTTTTCAAATGCTAGATACGTTTCTATGGTATTTCTGGTGTTGTGGAGTGAAGCACGATAAAAGAACGTCATCGAGCAAGATCTATATGTATGTATGAGGAACAAGGGCTTTTGGGGGTAAGAAAGTAGGTAAGGAATAAGTTGGCCAATTCTAAAATTCACAGCATTCTGGCGAGTGAAGCAAAATTCCAAGTTGTTAAGCTCCAAAAGAAACCCCAACAAAACCGTAAAAAGGTGACAAGGAAAATAATTTTATGAAGTCCAAATGTCGCGGAGCTCAAATGAGACGGGAAACTTTGCTTGAGATAACGACCACAGTAGTGTTTGCATCGGGTAATACTTCAATCACTATGGATACATATGACACCGGAATAACTTCATGTACAAGAAAACGTACGTCACTAAAGCATTGAAAGTAATCGAACTAGATGAAGATGAAGGAAAAAAAACCGGAACGAGTATCCGAATGGATTCTAATTGATATTTTTAAGAACTACAATAGCTTACGAATTTTTTGGAGAGCTGGTGTTAGTCGATGCTGGGCTAAATTTGCTGTTTGTGAAACGAAAAGCGTCTGAACTGACGTTGGGGAGACATGATGACGGAGGTGGACTCACCGAGTCTGGCGGTATCGTAGAAGTCTGGTGGGATATCGTGACTGGACTATCAAACAGGGAATGTTCATCATGAGATGAGTGTGTGATGAATGTATATGGCCTAAAAATGCTAGATATATGGTTATCACATAAAATACAATCATCAAGTGACGACCACCACTTTGCATTCTAAATTACTGATAATTTTGAGCGAAGTAGAAACAAAACAATTTCAATAAAGAATTTCAATATTTCAATGAAAGAAGTGGCCAAATGCAGCAAGGCTAGATAATATTGATATATACCACATATATTATTTGGAGCCAGCAAACTTCATCATGAACTTCATGATGCATTATTCTTAATGTGAAAGTAAGCATAACTTGTCACATCTGAAAACACGACTGAAATCCCCCTTACGGTATACGTTGTTATCCCTTAGTGAAGTATAATGATAGCGCGGTAATTCATTTAAACATTAAAGATAAAGTACTACAGTAACAACACTCACATGTAAGTATTGCCTGTACTGTTGAAAATGTCCTGTTCTGTTACTACATGTGGTTTCATAATGCCGCTAATATCACTGACAACAGATTGCATAACAGCGCTACCTGCTGGACTGCAGCGTGTTGTTTTCACTTGCAGCTAAAAAAGTTAACATTTAAAAACTTGGAAGCTGTTTATTCATGATTCATGCAACATAACGTAAATTATTAACAACTCCTTAAAGGACATTACATATTACCAATTTCATCTTTCAGAAAATAGTATAAAAGTCAAGAAGTATTCATGAGTTTTAACAGTGGATTTTCTTGCACTATGTTATATCAAATATTTATTTAGTTTAAATTAAAAAAATATACCGATACTCGATTATCTCCAGTAGGTGATAATTTTGATTGGTCATCTGTACCACTTCCAAATCGCCCTCGCAAATTCATTAACTCAACATTTTTCAGACGCAAATCTGCTTCCTTTGCAAGAAGCTGTTCTGTAACATAACTTCCAACAGTTACAGCCTTCATTTTCGAGTCTCAAGTTATAATCTTTATGTTCGATATTCAGAACAACAATTATAGAAAGCGAGAAATTACAGATTTCTGCAAACTTCGCTATTAATAACTACATTAGCACACATAACTCACACTGTGATGATGAATAAAACCTCATCAGCTTATTCTTTCATTTTCAAAGCACGAATGAATCAAGTGGCTTATGAACAAAAATTACTGAAAAATAGAAAGGAACTGACGCCGGAAATCAGCCATCTGTCCTCGTGCTTCATTTAAAGCATAAAATAATTTCTGTTTTAGTCGATTCTCTGCTGACAATGAGTTCTCCAGATGGGTGTTTTTCTCACGAATAATTTGAAGTGTAGCATGCAGTCCCTGAAATATGTTTATTAAAAGCAGTTAGTCCAGAAAATAGTTAAATTATGAAAACTTCCAATTTGACCAAATTTGATAGGTTTACTTGCTTTGGAAAAATTCACCGTGTGGAAGTTGAATTTACAATAATAAAACATCTAATAAATTCGATATAATTTTGACTGCACCGGAAGAAGACTTTAAGGAAATATTTCTCATATATTTTAATTTTTTTTATTTATTAAATAAACCTGCAAATCATTGCTTTCTTTGTACTGCCGTAACTGCCGCAATTCCTCTTCATGTTCACTTATAAGTTCCTCCTTAGCCTTCAGTTCACGTCGAACGATCCTTAGTTCCTTTTCCAAATCAGCCTTCCTTGTTCTACATGCTTCACCACATTCAATAACTCTCAAAATACAATACACAACTTTTCAAGAATGAAAAACCACAGAACTGAAAATATACTGAAAAATAGACTGCTTATTAGCCTGATTGTAGAGAATATACAGCCGCAGCACCACAAGAGAGACCGTGTTAGCAATCATTTCCTTAGAAATTTGCATAAAATTACTGCAAGAAGTAGCGATGCATTTACAAGCTAACTACAGTTAGCGACATACCTGTTTGACTGCGCTGCGGCTAATGCACGCGCAGAAGCGTGCTCTTCCTTAATTTTGCTACGCTTTTCTGCATTTAATTCTTTTTCTAACTCATTTTTTTTCATTTGTATATCAATTAATTTCTTTTCTAGTAACTGCATCGTTGACTTATCCTGTTCGCGTGCCTTCATTATATTTGCAAGCCTGGAAAAAAAAATTCATCCACTTTAAAACAAGAGGACGTTCCACTTTAAAAGAGAACGAATTTTTACTTTAAATTCAAAAGTTGTTTCAAATATTTCACAGAGAAACTAACTTATTTTCACTGTGCTCTTGCTTCAATTTTAACTGATGTAATTCCCCTTTCAATCGCTTTTCTCCATTAACATACTGCTGTAGCATGAAGCGTAATTCCGTTTCTTGTGTTCGTGCCACACGTAAGTCATTACGTAATGTTTCCAATTCTTCAGCACTAAAATATACATAATCACATAATCATCTATGAAACTTCATAACAAATCAGATTGTATCAGATAACTGACTTATTACGACTACAGTTTTGTGGATAATGCTTACAGAATTTCATAGCAGTCTACTGAACAACATAACATGAATAACAAAAAATAAAAAAAAAATACTACTGAACAACAAAAAAATTAAAAATTATACATATATGCTTCAAACTAGTTTTCTGTAAGCACAACTTCACTTCCATCTCGAAATGAATGGTCCGCATCCTTATAGTGGATCAGTTGAGATAAGACAAAAATAAACAAATTGATGTTACGATTTCTCTTAGTATATATGGGTTTATATACTAAATGTTGTGCAGGAAAACTTAACTAAAAACTAAAAATTAAAATGTCACTAACTCATATTCGCTGGCCTTCCTATCAAAAGCGGTTGCATCGCATGCAGATGGATTTCCATTTTCAACATTAATACCGCTAATCGATATACTTTGATAACCTGTACTGCTAGCAGAATTGTACATTTGCCTATCCTGCTGTATACTACCAGCTGCCAGATTTAAGAAATTATTATTTAATGCGCAATTAGCGCTCAATGTTGATGACGATAACGCAGTTGCAGGTGTCAGTGGCGATAAGATATAGCCATTGTGATTTTGTATATGACGTCCCCGTGAACGTCCACCTTTTGCTCGAGAATAGTTTCCCGAGCTCGAAATGAATACTAAAATATAAATGAATTTTCGAAGCTCAGAAATTCATGAAAACCCTTCAGGACCAGATATATTTCAAAATATTTGACACTTGTTATAAGAAACTGAAGTACTTTTATTTTTTTTCGAACTGGTTGAATGCCGATGAATAGATCCTAAACGATTAGAACTTGGTGAAGCATCGTCTGGTTGAGATGATGTTTCTTCTTGGTCCATCATTTCATCCTCGCTTTCCATTTCATTTGAAGACAGTGATATACGATCGTCTAATGATGGTGACGGTGACTCAACAACACCACCCAATATGTACAACATTATGCCCCAAAGTAAATCCCATATTATGCGCCATAAATACATTCTTGGAGTGACCGACAGTGAAACTGTAAAAAATCGACTGTCACACACATTCTCACTCTTTCCAACCTTTGAAGGGAACTGTGTCAGTAAACATCATAATTTTCTGGTAATGAATAACTCGTCAAGTCACGGCATTTAGAGTCCACGGTTATTTTGCTCAGTTGAAGTTAATTAAAACAGTGAAATGTTTCAGAATTTACGAGTTACAACTGTGAAAGATTGTCCATTTAATCATTATTGAAATCCAGCTATAAGGAAAATTATCCCGGCACCATAATTTTACGAAGAATGCCTAATAAATTTATTTCTCTTTTAGAAGACCTCATTTACTTTTTTTTTTGGAATGAGAGGATTTTACTATTAACGAACCAGAACTAGCTGTATCATCATCATCGTTATTTTCTCTTACTACTCTTTCCTTTCGTATTGATGATGACCCATTTGAGGGAGCGCAAACTTTTTTGGAATTAATGGCCACATGCTTCCAACTATTTTGCTTCCAACCCGTCCCACGTGAGTTCTTCCGATGTGCTATGACAGCTGATGAAGGTGATGCACAAATAGCTAAATTTTGCAACGGACCAGGGCAAATTTCGGATTCATACTCTGAAAAGAATGGACAGATTTACTTCACTCATTTCAGTAAAAAAATAAACTTTTGCTCGCATCTAATTTAGTGAAAACATACAGAAATAATTTAAAACATTTTTCACAAGAGACGATAATTAGCTCGTTTTTCACTCATTAACACTACCAATGATCGATGAATTTCACAAAAGTAGACTGATATGCTACACATAATCCGCCTTCCTCTAAAACGCTTTTGAAATGAAATCAAAAATGTGCATTACAGTTTTGCAAAAATTGTGCAACAAAGGCAAAACTGAATGCAAAAAAAAGCAACCTATTTGTTCTTGGTCCTGCAATACGGTACCGTTACATCGCGAATATATTTTCGGACCTTCATATAACGAAGGTAACGCCTCCATTAGAAGTTTACAATATACTTCGTTAGCAAGAGACACTTCACGCTGGCGTCTTTTCACTCGCCAAAGTCTGACAACATGTTTTCAAATGTTTTCATAATAAATTAACAATGATGGGTCAACATATAGTCTAAATACAGTTAGAAAAAAGTGAAATTCGAGAGCAGTTATGTTACCAAATAATTCCATACCTAAAATAAGTTTTGAGACCAAATCCAAACATAACAACTGGATATCCAATGCAGTGTGCGGCAAAGGGACGACAAATATCTGAAGTCAACGAAGAACTGTGTGCAAAAGCTGCCATTAATGTGACACCAAAACGACCCAAAAAATTACCGACAGGATTAACAAATCGTGCTGGTGGATAACATTCTTTCGAAGAATCACTTGTAACCTCGCCATTGGTTGATAAATCACGTAGTTCTAGCCATTTCGTCAATATACCACCTGAAATTTTATTAATTTAAGTAATTAGTTCGATCAAATTTAAACTCAGTGCAATGAAGGTTAAGAAATATCAGATTTGTGTAAGCTTATTATAATAAAAGGAAAACGAAATTTCTGAAAAAAATACCAGTTAGAAAATTGAGTGCCAACCCAAGCGTCGAACCTTTTAAAAGCTGCAGCGGCGAATCTCCTCGATAACGCCAATTATACTCGAACGATATTATAGCGATCCACAGAAGCAAATGAGCTGAACCAATACCTCGTTCTGCTACAATTGTTAATGAATTTTAAGAACGTCGAATTGTAAGAGATTTAAAGAAAACAGTTTAAAATATTGAATCCAGAAAGATAGAAAATGTATTCCACGAATTTTCTATACCTGTCTGCCAAATTAGAAGGATCCACACATATGTGCTTGCAAGGAAGAATAGCAGCTGAACGGGAAGAAATATAAAACATATAAGGTCCGTTGTTACTGTCGCACATACAAAAAATGCAGAGAAAGCCTGAAGACGATAATTTTGAAAAATTGGTATTTAACTTAAAATTTAGAACATTTTTGATACACTTCTTTGGTAAAAATAGGTAAGAAACATACAGAATATTGCAATGAGCTAACGAAACCCTGGAATCGAAATGAGTCGTAGCAATTGCGCATAAGTAACCAAACCGGATATAATAACTCAAAACGAAATCCGATCAATAAATCAAGCGCAATACAACTCAGCCACAGCAATACAAATTTCACGTATGCGAATCCACCGAAATGTCTGTAAAGTGTCATTTTAGAAGTGGTGAAGAAGCAGCAGCACACCATCAGCGATACATATCTCGGGCCAGAGGCAACCTGGAACTACACAATTCTATGTTTCATCATACATGCAGAAAAGTATCCGGCAGTTAGCTAATACGAGCGAACCAATAGAGGATCATTCCTTGTACAAAAATACATGAAAATTTTAACAGTCAACTTATTGTATCATGGAAACGAAAAATGACCTCCGCACGTGAAATATCATTATATGAATATAACAAAGCTCACTAACCCACAACACATTGTTTCTGCGATACGGCCGCGTCCCTTCAAATTTTTGCGTAATTTTGGCACATCCATCGTTCGTGTTGTTCTCTTCATCATTTCTGAAGACCAGCTATTCTCTCAGACAGTAATTAACTAAAAAATATTGAAAACTCTTCAACTTTCACACATTTAGAAAGGAAACATTTTAATGTAACTTCTTAAACTACACGAAGCATAGCACAATATGACATCAAGTAATACAGCCGACTTTTTAAATATATTATAGTTATTTGTTCCTACTTTGACTGTATAAACGCAAAATAAACATTAAACCAGTGAATAACGCATCCTGCAGAGGTGGGAACATAAACGTAAGTTAGGCGAGTTTACAGTTGATAATTATTCTTAAAGTTATATCGAAACAAGTTTATAGTCTTAATAGAAAAAAGTACCGCAAAAGTCACTTTGCATAAGCAGAAAGCGAGGTTGTCCCTTTATAGTTTCAACATAACAAAAATGTTGTGAATCTACGAATGAGCATTATCAAAAGAACCCACAGTGCTATGTCTATACGCAGTTATCAACGATACTGAAAGTAACATCTCTACTAACATTAATATGAGTCCTATGCCTATAATCAGGTAAAGTGTATATCAAGATGACGATTTAGCTCACTGTCAACTTAATGTAAGTAATCTCATGACATTCATGGCTATCACGGATATTAGCTGCATTGCAAAATAGGATGAATCTGTGAGAAAACAAATCATAAGAGATTATCAACAAAACGGAAACAAAAATGATGGAAAAAAGTGTTATCGACTTAGTCTTGCTTCATTGCAAGCTTTCAAGTGCAACTGACAGCAATCCCTCAACAAGCCTCTACCCCACTGCCACACTCTTCTTCCCCGACCCTTCTCTTCGCCTGGACTTTGTCATCATCACCACCATTATCATTATTATTATCATCATCATCCTCATCTTTATCATCATTTCATAATGACCATTACCATCATCCAGGTAATCCTTCCTTCCTTCTAGCTAACTCCCTGCTGTGTCCAAAACTACCCATCTTATTACTTCAAGGCCGATTCCCTCACTGTCTTCCTTTTCCAGATGCAGATGAATCAGTAGTAGCAGTTGGTAAGCTTGCTATTTTCCCCTCTCGTTTCAAGTTCAATTCTTTGCAAGTCTTATAAGGCCACGATCCAGTCTCTATCACAATCATCAGTCAAATTTCAGTCCATTCCATTCCACGCTTCATATCCTCTCTTTCGTCCTTCGTGATACATTCATCCCTTTGAGAGCCTATCCTTCCTTTAGCTCGTCTTTAGCACATCCACGATTTTATAATTCTTTATCTTTTTAATGCATTTCACCATGTACAACCTCTCTTACCTCGGGAATTGAAAATTCTTCTCTTCCTACTATCGAAATCGGTCTGAAGCAAAACCAGTACATTTTAACGCTTGATGACACGCCATGCCACTCATGTGTGTTTTTCGGTGTGTCACCGAGAAAGGAACTAGAATAACCATAATGGAAATCCACATTTTTGATCCTTTTGTCTACTGCAAAACAGAATTCAGCCTAAAGTTCTTTAATGAATACCAACTTAACGTCATATTCCCTCACTCAACCGTACCTTATTATAATGTGACATATGAAGGAAGGAACATTTCATCAACTTAAAAATACAGTGAAGCTGCTATACTCAGAACACTGCTTTGTGCTGAGAGCTCAGTCGATTTGGAGCAGACATCAAAACATTCTACTTTCTAAATGCTATTTATAAATCGAATAAATTCATCAGCTGACATATAACCTACATGTAGTTTGTTAATAGCAGAATGAATGACATAATGGAAAACGAAGATTCAAATCAAAATAAAATTCAAAAAAGTTTATACGAACATAGCTGAACCTACTCTGTGATACAGATAGAGCAGTGATGAAATCAAAGGATGGTGAAACATTTATAATGGCTTTTTTGTTGTCCTTTATTTTCCTCCGGAATTCATTTAGTGTGTGCCCTGTTTCACCATTCCCTCCACTGATAATTTTAGTGGTCAACTTTTAAAAAAATCCCCTGTTTGCAAACTTCTCGTTGATGAACCATTTAAATTATAAAATTAAAATACACATCTGATGGACATAACTAAAACTTCAGATAAAATTTCCAAATGTAGTGATTTGTTGATACTGTTGGCTTCCTATGGTATAAGGTCTTTAGTAAACATATTTTAACAACCTCATCAGAAGTAATTTCTAGCACAATATCACCATACACAGAACTGATTAGAAGATATCACTCTCCAATGTACAATGTAAGTTGTTCCAGAAATATAATTTTACTAGTAAGGCGAATACCCAGGAAATTACAAAAACAATTGATGAGGAATTACATAGTACATCATTTAATCAGTGCTCCAATCCCTAACTATACCTGATATTAGCAGTCCTACATTCAGTAAAAAATTAACTTTGCTTCTGATTCTAAAAAGCTGTATAACATGTAAAAAGCGATCGTCGGTTATAGATTACACATCAACACAAACAACAGGAAACATGGAGAGAGATGGATCTGATAAATGCATTTTCCAGCAACCATTTGTAGCATCGATAATTTTATCACTCTCTCATCTACATGTAAATATCTTCCAATCTATGGCTATTCTAAAAAACATTAGTAACAACGATATTTTTTCTTCATTTAACTTTTTCTCCATTTAATCATATTTCATTTTTTCATTATTTCATTCTGTGTTTGGCTCTTTAAAGTGTTTTTCCAAGCCCACCTTATTACGAGAGCAGTGGATACTACTGATGATATTCTCGCAGGACTAATTTCATGAATTAGAGGTGCATCGCTTTTAATAGTCCTTATTCATAATTTTATGATTAGATTACGTATTTTTTCGCCTGCAGGAAAATTTTGACATGAATTTCCTAAACTCTAATTAAAACATTACTATTACAGTGTAAAACTTTAGATAGCATTAAGTGAAAGATTCCTTGCTAACAGTGTTCAGATAGATTCATTCATATCACTGTTATAACATCGAGTATTTCACTTTTTTTCCAGTTATACCACAAGTGTACAATTTTGTTATATAACAACATGAATTACGCCATTTAGTGGTAAAGGGCAAGAATCCAACTGTTGCAATCTGACAAAAACGAAGCAGAAGTAAATCTACAACATTCGGAAAACTAAACAGATGCACTAGAGTGGTAGTACCGAAATATTATCCGGTTATATACAATGGTATGCCGGTCATTCTGTTTGGTATATGTGAAACATTGGTAATACACAAAAAGCTTTTCAAAATTTCTCCGAACTAGGTTTACGATGGAGTGGGGTGTCGAAAGTATACAGATACAGTATGACATATGTTCACATACCTCAAATAAATCGTGTGGGCGTATGCAGTTTGCAGGCGCAAATGCAGGACTCACTAGTAATAGCTGACGTCATATTGTAAAAAATTGATACACACGGCACCAGTTCTTATATCTCCATATTCTAATGGGAACTAACCTATGCAACTTCATGACATGATCTCAACAAAAAATATAAAAAGATCTACAATGATTACTGATTTCTAATCTTTTCTGTTGCATATCCAATGACATTTAGAGGACGCTACTACTTATTAAGTTATCCTTGATAATGTCACGTCAAATTTATAACCTCACTGAAGTTCAGCATGATGAGTGCTGGAGCTTACAATACAGAAATGAGTGGATAGCGACTGAATTATAGGTTGGTCACGCTGCTACCATTATCATGAATACTAAAAATCTAGGTACATCAATAGGAAAAACTGAAGCATTACCCAAGAGCAGTTAGGTATCTTCTTCAAACAACAATACATTTACCCACTCTTTATCGCTTAATAAGCTTCCACCAGTTAGTCATTTTCAATACTTATGATAGTCTGAGTAATGACAACAAAAATGTGTCATACAACAGAAAAGCAACTGAGTAACTTGTAGAGAACTTCTTATGTTTCATATCGTGGTTGACACAAACCATATAAGCCGCGATATTTTCATGCCTCCGATATTTTCATACCGCCGTTTTTTTAATTTTAAAAATTAGAGATTTAAGAAATTTGCTTGGCTCTGTGCGTGAGGTTCTGGGATTGATAAAGTCATCGTTTGGCACCAAACCCAGCAAGCGGACCATCAAACCCAGCAAGCGGACCACCAAACCCAACACACCAAACCCAGCAAGTGGACCACCAAACCCAGCAAGTGGACCACCAAACCCCGCGAGTGGACCACAAAACCCAGCAAGCGGACTACCACTCATAGTAATAACTAAACCACTGACCATTAATTATAAACTGATCTGGTTTATAATAATAAAGTTTGCATCCATTTCTTTTGTTAGTTCGGTGATGTAGATGGGAGGTCAGAGGTGTATTGGTGGAACAAATTAGAAATATAATGGGGGGTAAGATAGTACGGTAATTAGGAACAGACTGGTGAGAGTGTTGCCTCATGTGATTATGCTATGGTTGAATATTATGTAATGTTATTCCTAAATAAAATTAAAATATTCAGGATGAACAGAATTTTGAGATCTAATGGAGCGTCACATCTGACAACAAGCATTGCTAATCGTAGTGCAGAAGAGCAAAAGAGTAAGGAATAGGATCCCGTGATTGACAATATATATCAGTTGACATGAGGCATTCCTCATCTTTGATATATGCCGTGAGGAGTCACAATTCGAGATATGCTAGAATGCACTGTGATAATTTTCAGGTTACGGTGCTCATAGAATTTTTTTCAAACTGATATATATGAGGATTGAGAGAACGAAAGGTTGAAGTTCATTGGCCCATTGATGTGGCATGTTTCCATGACGATTGCTTTTTTCTCTTATTATAGAGACGCTTATTATAGCAATATTTACTCTCAGGATTTAATTCATATAGTTGTGTGTTGTGGTTATTTTAATATCTAAAATATGTAGAGCATAGTACAAATATAATCACATATTTGTTTGTGTACCGTTCATTGTTTCTCGAACACTTCTCACTGCTATCTGAAATTGTTTGGATTTTGAAATAATAAAGAAGGAAGATCAGGAAAATTGTGATACGGTGTATCTTAAAAAGCAGTGTTAGTGTGCATCCGATTCATCTGTCAGTTTACTTTCCAAGATGAAATGCCTGATTATAATGCCTCTGTCATTTTAGTTTTAATTATATCCGATTTGAGGTTATCCTTGTTTTATATGGGGTCAGTGTATGCTTAACATTAATTTAAAAAAAAAAATAAAATTGTATATCATTTCATTATTTCAACATTCAAACATGTTTCTTGTTTTCCTCTATCGATAAGTTATTGTAGAGCAAAATGAAATAAATAAGATCAGAGCTAGTGATCCTCAAATTCATAAGAAATTTTGATGCATATTTTTCATAAACTGCAGTAATGTGACAAAGAATAAAAAACCAATCAGTGAACATTACATCAACTGTGATAGCAAACAAGACGCTGATTTTCCGAATATACTGAGAAACAAAAATTCAAATTTCGAATTGAAGTTTCAAATATTTTAGTAAAGGAATAATGCTACATTAGGTTCCAGTCTCTCCAGAATTTTAGAAAATATAATTTCAAATTCTTCTCAAAGTCTCCCATTGAAGTATAAAAAAGAATACTTTATAAACTGGAGAATTGCTGAGGTGGGAAGTGATTAGTATTCTCTACCAAATCTTTTAAATAGAAAACATTAATATTAGACTGTTAGTAAAGAGTCAGAACGGTCCTATACTAGACATTGAAACTGTTTCATTGTTTCCATAGTTGTAACCATTATTAATATCTATCCTTTTAGATTGATTTAGAAGCGAAGTATTTAAGCGATTTCAATGGAATGGAAAAGATGGTGTGAAATACTTAATTAACAATGTGAGTAATTTATTATAGACTGAATGAAGTGTAAAAGCAAATATTATAAAATTAAGATGTGGTAAATATTTTGTTGAGATACAATTTATGCCTTCATTCACCGAATAAGCTTCTAGAAATAATATCATTTAATAACATGATGCTAGCATAGGTACGCACACATGCTATCTACGTCACAAGTAATTATATAGTTAAAAGAAAAAAATTGACAAATAAAGTATACCAATAACTACATTCATACAACATTATCCATCCTATGAATTTCAGCAAGTTATGTGATCGTGGGTACCTCTCAAAAAAAAAAAAAAAAAAATTCAAAACATAAAACCTGAAGTGAATGTTTTCGGTAGTTAAACCTCTTCATTTCTGTTCAAAAAACATGTTCAAAAACACAGCAATAATTTTACCTTATGACTTTTGCAAAAATGAACAGAAGGACTATCAGAATTACCGAGTAGAATCGAATTTGTTCCAGATATTTTACCATGCACTCACATAAAATTCATGAATTTGCTTCTTGGATGATGGAGTCGGTCTATTCACTAGAAGTTATCCTCGGCAAAAAAATCAAGGAAATAAACGATCATTTAAACTGGGGCCTTCTAGTACTTTTTGCTTGCCATTATTAAGCACTCACAAAAGGATGTTAACTTCAGAAATTCTCCTTAGCTTTTATGTGATGAATATTCCATTTTCTTTTGACAAAAAACAAGAATCAAAGATAGAAGGGAAACGTACATTTCTGTTTAGATTTTATTGATATCTGTGAACAAAATTTTGGATAAATGGAAGTTTGATAGGTCATTTCAGATGAAGGTGACTGAAAAAGCAAGTAGTATGTTGCTTCAGTGCTGAGCTAATAAAATCAGATGCTTTTAATTTTATTAATTGGGTATTAATTTTCGTTGCGATAAATATAAATCAGTAATAAATCCTTTGTCTTACGGAGACCTTTACTTGGCCAGAATGATGAAACTGAAATAGTTTTGTAATGCAAACAAAAGATCTTATATTCAATGCGAAAAAAAAAAAAACTCGCATTTATCACTAATAATTGATACATTAAGAGAATATTAGCTGTTAATTTTCTTTAACATTACATTTGAAACATAAGTGTAAGAAAAAACAATGGAGAAAAATTCAAAAACAGTTCTTGAAAAACTCTGCAACAAAATGACGAATCATAATTGCCTTCACTGTTTTATCGAATTTATCGAATAAAAAATAATAAGTAAATGGCAAAAACAAATAAAACAAGAATGAATGTGAGATTTAAACACAAAGCGAATTTCAATAATGTAAAAATCAGGAATAACTTGTCCCATACAAATCCATTACATCTGACAGGTTATTCACAACTTTGTCCTGATGAAGTTCAAGATGAATTTCCGCATTTTTGAACCATCTACAACAGATTATAACATCATTAAACAATGTATCACTATTAAATTCAAGTGATTGAACCAGTAATATTTGTGGATCATTTATAAACATGCTTATATGGCAAAAAAATCAACGATTTGAGGAAAAGAAAATTGAGTAAATTAACTTGGGTATACATGAGATGAAGCAATAATTCATCATATGCATTTAAAATAGTATAAGTGTATGCTTATCATTATACTGAACAATACAAATAATAGTTTAGATCAGTGACTAGGAAGATCAATACTTACTCTTCGTCACTACTTTTACTTTATGATTACCACATACTGACCAATAATAAATGACTGTGTTCCCACATTATAGAAAGTAAAAATACTCTGTTAAAAGTAAAATGTCACTAATCACGGCAAGCTGACTTTATTTGCTTGGTTCCAAAATGTTGTCTTGATTCCAATTTAATTCCTTTCAAAGACTGCGGTCGAATAACGAAAGCAATTTTAATCCACTGAAACTACTCCCTTAGCTTACTTTCTATAAGTTTTACCTAAAAAATAGAGGAAGAAAATTAAGAAAAATGCTTCAAATGACTATTCTTCATTATTCTACTCCTACGGGCATACTTCGCTATCAAACTAGTAAATCTATCTTGGACAGTGAATGATACTTTGTCATTATTTTTTATTGCATAGTTTAGATAGATATAATATCGCGGATGCAAGTACCATCATCACAGTCATTTCGATATGAATATATGAAAAGTTAGAATGAAAAATAATAGAATGCAACATTAATTGTTCATTGTTTACAAGTGAAGGCACTTCTTAAATGTGTTTCTGCATAAATTACAAAGAAGTTTGTACAAGTGGCAATATAGAAGTATCACGATCACATTGTGCCAAAGGCGCCTTTCGAATCAATTTATTAGCACTCCCTGAAGAATTAATTCCCAATAATGCTTCTTCCTTTTGGAGCAGTAGTGATTTCAATTTCTGAATTTGCGATAGTTCACTGAATTCATTTTGCACTGATGTCACTTCCAAAGTTGAATGCGCTATTGGTTTTGCTGCCTTAAACACTTCCACTTCCTTTAACTGATTGCTGGAAGTTTCATGATGATTCTGAATCTGATACCAGCTAATAAACATAAAAGTGCAAGTCACAAAGAATAATACTACAGCAAATAATACAACAGCGAACAGCATCAGCTGCCCTATGGACCAATTTTGCAGTACTGCTTTCTTCCATCCTCCATTTTCTCCCCGAAATTCCGTGAAAATGCTAACAGTAGTATTAGGTGGAAGCATTTGATCATCCTTTTCATTTGTATTCAACCGTCTCATGGAACTAATTCGTAAATCAAAACGTTTTGTACTAACGAGGAAACCTGTGGTAGCTCTGCACCAGTAGGTAGCCTCATCTTCGGGTAGCGTTTGTCGAATATGCATCAAATGATACGTTTCATTGCTGGATGCGGCATCTTCCACAGCAATTCGATCATCGTCGGAATAGAGAAGCCGAAGGGCAAATCCATTTTTATACCACTGTACCACAGGCTTAGGGTTACCCCAAACGATGCACAGGAATGATATAGCTTCACCTTCCTTTGCCTGTAGTTTCTCCTGAAGCGGTCCTTCGATTACTGGTCCACATGCGAAATCCTAAAACTATTTATTAAGTCCTGATCAAATTTTCATGAAATCTAAAATCTATTTTAACTTGGAAAATTTGCACAAGACTTCTGGATAATTCTTCTCTTAAATACAAAAAATCAGCGTATCAACACATTAGGAATTTCAAATAATTTGTGTTTCAAACATTTTCCAGTCACATCGAAACGAACAATTAGTCGTTATTTTTCTTACATGCTATTTTTCTGTCGTATTAACATGTATTAAATCGCTGCGGTAAGATTGCAGTCTTAAAGAAGCAGCAACAATAAACTGTCCAAGTATTATATGTCCAATATCCATTAGCGCCATCGCAGAAAGGTGTTATATTAAATTACGTCAATGCTTCTTATATGGCGCACTGAGAAACCCGCCATTTCTTAACATTTGTATGGAAAATTTATATTATCGCTTTGATCTTAACTGTTGCCATTCAAAAAGGCGAATATAAGTTTTAAAATTTATTCAAACAACTTGAAACAGAAAGAAGTGAGACTTTCCTAATAAATAAAGCATGTGAAGGAAGTTGTCCATTAATATACACTCCTATTTATGAATGGTTAGGTTTTCTTTAATTTCACTTGAGATAGAGCAAAGTGGTGATGAGATTGTTACTAAAATCAACAGCTTTGTTTAAAATGAATTTGTAAATTATAGCCCAGTTAATACGCTTGTGCCATATTTAGATCTTATTAAGTCGAATTTTGCTTTTTTTATTTTGAATTTGTTGCTGTTTCAGTAGCAGAATTTTTTTGAAATTTTTCGAAATTATTCCTAAAATTTGTAAAAAAGAATAAGGAATATTTGGAATATTAATGCACTTTATAGTCAAACTCATTTCATAATTGGGCTCATTGCGGAGCTGCAAAATAAAAACAAAAATGGATGAATATTTAGTGATTTAGAAATAATTTGTAAAACTGAAGTTTCATTTCATTTAGTGATATAAAAATCGAAATCAAATAATAGAATTTATTGTTCATTAATATGTTCACAGATAAATACTGCTTTCATGTTTGTACTTGACATGCAGAAGACAGTGAAGATATGATATATAACATAAACCTGTATGGAGTAAACAAATTTCGGTTATGAATGTTATATAACCGTACAATCAAGTACATAAGTATTTATCACATCAAAAAATATTCGATGCTTCATATTCTATTTCTCTTTTATGATAACAATAGTATGAATTTTTCAAAAATATTACTGGCCTTAATTTCTACATCGGTCGATTTCTCTGATCAGAATAGTTTTCGATGAAAGACAGATAGATAACTTGTAAACGGCTATCAATTCTCAGAGTGTGTCGTGAAAGACGAAATATTTAAATTATTATATCCAAAACTAACAAATTCCTCTTATCTGATTCCTTTTCCTCACACAACAAAAACCCTTTGTTAGCAAAAACCCTTTATTAGCAGTCTTTGTTTCACATCAGTTAAATATCCTCTGCCGGATATCTGGTCAGCTCAGTTCTGCATGTAAATCATCGTCCTCCATACGGTGGTTCATTCTGCATTTTGGGGTGGTTTTGATATCATTTTAATGTTTTATAATTATATCTTTCGTTACGCGTTTGTTAATCGGTGTGACATCCGTACGATATGTATAAAGCGCTATTATTTGCTTCATGTTAAATAAAGGTTTAATTACCCAAGTTTGAGGTTTCACGACAGAGTGATTAGAAGTAATGTTCCAGAAGACAGGTTAGAGACAATCAGGTAAAATATTCCTTTCTGAATGAGAACACATAAATGACTATTTTATGACTTTTCAGAATTCTTCACTTATGTACATATCAAATAAATGTGTTATAAACAAGAAAAAACCAACATTATTCAATTATTGGTATGACTAATCACCTCTCTTAACTATGCAAATGCGTTATAAAATCTGGTCTCTTAAAACTTGAAGATTGAAAATTTGGTTCAAAATGCTAAAAAAAAATTTTTAGATTCTAAGTGAGATATTGTGTAGTAAGAGTCTGTATTTTTTCAATGATGATTGAGGAGCTATCCGGATTGATCAATGTTAAATATTCTTTGAAGTGTTCACTGGCTCGGAGACTGTTCGAAGAAAATTTACGAACAGACAGAACCAATTTCGTTTTGGGTGAAAAACTTTGCTTACCTCTAAACTAAGATCGTCCCAGCTGATACCATGAATTTGTGATGGTTCATAACACTGTGATGATTTGGCGTTTAGGGTTTTTCGTTGAAAAGATATAAAATCTCGCAGATGACAATCGCATCGCCATGGACATCCATCTAATTCTATGACCCGTATCATATTGCCGAAATTCGTGGGTTTCACGACATGCAGCTGATTATGAGACAGATCGACCACTTCTAGCTTGGGTAATAATAAATCATATCCATGGAGGTAGCGAATTTTATTGTGTGAAATATCGAGATATCTCAGTTGTTGTAGGGAATACAGTAATGGAATAGTCATAAAGTCATTGTAGGAGATAATCAAATTTTGGATGAAAAAGGAAGAATCACTTTTGAACTCAAGAGTTCTAAGCAGATTATGTGACAAATCAAGTTTCCGTAAATTTGTTGCAAAAATGAAAGCTTCTGGCGAAATATCCGATAAATTACAAAAATTCATCATCACCGTCACAATTTCAATATTATTTAGCAAAGATAATTGCTTTATCATAGAATTTAAAATTCTGAGAACCATCGTTCCAGGAGGAACTTGTAAAATATTCTGGAACTTGACGTTTATGCATTCATACACACGTCGATTATTTTGTGTAAACTGTCTACAGTTTCTTCCATTATTAGGACCATTATTAATAATATCACTCCTTATTAAAATTGTCATGACACAGGACAGTGATAGAATAATGGAGCAATAATAAAACAGAACTGAACGATTAAATTTCCAAAATAACATCAGCAAAGGAACAGGAAAAAGCAAAGCTGTAGTGTTGCACAGAAGTAATCACTTCCAGAAATTTAAATTAAAGGAAGGCATAGCAGAAAATTCTGAAATTCAGAATAACCAGTAAATAACTCGTATTTCTGATTTAGAATTCGTAGCTTGAAGGGCAACAAATTTCAATTCTCTGACGAATCCTTGGAAATCTACAAATATTTAAACTTAAAATGAAATCCAAAGTAGTGATAATTCAGGCGGAGACAATTATCGATTGATGGCAGACGTTGTCACCACTATTATTATTACTTTAGCTGTTTAATTAGTGCAGAATTTTATAGACTTGGAGAGTAATGGCTTGCTGAAGACCCAGTCTATGCCAACCCAATGAAAAACAAATTCGTCCACTTCACCACTTAATATAACAACTTTCCATTCATCGCTGCTTGAGAGATAAATGTATGAATAATTGTCCGCATTACTCCCTTATTCAGTTAATCAATGGTTACGAGTTACTAGTTACTACTATACACTTCATTTCATAAATTTATTTTATTCAACTCAGATTCATTGCATGCTGATGTCAATTTACTAAAATATATCTGGACGACTCACTCTTCGCATAAAGAAATTGAAATGTTGGAATTTGTGTTTAAATGGAAATTACATATATCAAAAACACCAACCAAATGCAAATAATTCATGAAATTTCAGCTATTTTTATGCATTAACAGTTTATAAGAGTAGCTAATATCAAAATAAATTAAATGTTAAGCGTAATTAAATACACCAATGGTCACTTTCAAACTCCTGTGACATGTTAAGGAATAGAAGAGAATTTATCTTGGAAGGTTTTGATTTGTTTAATTAATAATATTGGGAGAGGTGTTTGATCGCAGGGAGATTGGTTGAATGTAAATGTAAATGCGTGAGGTAACAGAAATATAATCCAAGTTCTTTATTAGCAGAAATAATAGGACAAAACGTTGATAGAGAACAATTGAAATTCGAATCGTCGGTCCTTAGCGATAAATTACACATATACTAAATCTTTTAACAAGGGTGATCCTTATATAGCAGTTATCTTACATTATATGTGTTAAAATGTGGGAGCGGTTTGTAATTAGACAGTTTTGTACAAAGGATGATAGTAAGTAACTTTAACAATAGGTTTAAAAATGGATATCACGATGAATTGAATGGATATCACGAAAGAGAGTACAATGGTTTGTCTAGACATTATGATAAATGGCTACTATGAGTTGCAATAGACATTACATGATAGATGCTCATAGTATATGAATTGATATAAGATCAAAAGTCAATTAAATCATTATGATGAACTCAATCAATGGATTGCTATATTAAGCATTGTTAACATTTGTTTAGTGTTTCGCGATGTTAAAATCCGCGACAGGATTAGAAAAAAAAATAATAACTCGTTGCGCATAATTTTCCTCAAATATCTCGTTTGAACTTAATTAAGATTCAGAAAAATCCTAATAAAAGCAGCGGAAGTTATATTTCGAAATCTCTAAATTTAATTTTGAATATTCTATTGAATATATTACTAATTTTGATAACCACTTAAATTAATAGGCTTATAATATTAAGGTTCGTAGCAAGAAAGAAGAATAAGCTCAAAATCCAATGGAAAAGGGTAAAAGAGAATATAAATGAACTAAACTAAATTGTATCAAATTACATTGGAGATATAACATTCAGTAGATAATTTTCGAATGAAAATTGTTTCGAACATTAGAAGTCGAAATGCGCAAATGAGTTGTAAATATTAGTGAGAAGCCACTCGAGGATGAGAGAGAAAAAAAACTTTCCGTTGATTGGACACCAATGAGCAGTAGTAATAATGGTAACATTGAGTATAGTGCTATGACAATTATAGAGAAGAAGAAATAATATATTTTCAGTTCCCACCTCACTAATGGAACCAAGCAATCAGAAAAAAATTCAAATAGAGTTGTTAGCAAAGAACAACTTCCTAGTATTGTGCAGCGATTTTTGCCTCCAGAAGAAAGCTTTTGGGATCGAAGCGAATAGGACGGATACACGGAGATATACCGAAGCTAAGCCAGTTAGCAACTAGTTAAATGAATATTATCATGTGCAAATAGATAGAGTTATCCATTTCTGTCTCTCTTCTCTTTCCGTTTTATGTTTACGCACTATTTGAACCGGAATGCATGCACACGTAAATGTATATATACGAAAGTAGCTTTTTTGCAACCCCATATCTTACTTTGAAGAATATTCAATGTAGTAAAAGAAAGCTTGACTAGAGGCTGCTTAACGTTAAGTGTAATGGGTTGCATCCGGACTACACTTAAAAAAATAATTTATTAATTTACTTGTTAATACTAAACTTTTTATTTAAAGAGTTTAGGAAAATAGTAAACTGCTAATATCTCCCAGATAAAGAAATAGAAAGCAAATAAGTTTTAAATATATTTTCTAAAATATTCTGCACTTTTAATCATCTTTAGCTTTCCACATCTTTTTTTTTAATAATGAATAACAATATATTCCCCTACTTTTTCGCCAAATTTAGTGTTTTCACTTTTACTGTTCACTGAAGTTTCTCGAAATATCTTTGAATCACTTTTGAACTACTTCCAGAAAGCCCGACTTAAATTACATGGCTATGAAAATAAAAAGTTAAGTGAAATTTCAAAAATAGGTTACTCTATATATTGCATGAGATATGAATAGCAGGTAGAATTTAATGTGATTGGAGAATTAGCACTTGAACCTTCTTCAGAAGAAAAGGGACTGTTAAGCTATCTTAGTTGCCAGACTGTTTGAGGATTCTCAAATTAAACTCGTTAACGAATGAGTGATCATTGTTCGGAAAATTAACATCATGTGCCACACTATTCGCGTCCCGCTCGTCCGAGAGATAGAAATGGAATGTTTCACTAGCAAAACAAATCATATAGCAGCAAGATCAAAAGTAACTACAGCAGCGGATTTTGTCATCAAAGTCGGTCACAATCTTTCCGGGAAGTGTCCAACACATGAGAATAAACGGAAATCAATACTCAACAAGTTAATCATTAACGCTTTATACGTAGTAGCATCAAAGGATATGAAAATCTTCAACGGTTCCTTTTTTTATAAAGGAAGCTGCAAGGAAAATGAGTCGAGAATGAATCATTTAAAATTACATTAACATAGCCTTCGCTTCACTTTACAGCATACCACAGCACTGGAATGAAAGTTAACAAAGGCACTAATTTGAGGAAAAGGGTCTAAAAAAATATCGTTTAAAAGTATTGTTCGGAGACTTTCTAAAATTTAGTTTTCCTGTAATTGTAAGAAGCATCTGATGGACTGCGATATGATCAGCTCATTTATTAAATAAGTAAAATATGACGTCATGCAGTACCAGGTATGAGACAGACATGTATTATGTATAAACCAAGACACATATCCAGGAAGCAAAGTAATCAGTGGGCTACGAAAAAAGGTCTCTCTACGGGAATTATTCATGAAGTATAAAAAATAGCCCGAACTGCAAAAGCAGCGCAGTGTGGGCAATTCCTAACACCATTGGGCATGAAGTCTTTTCTAATAACATCTAAAATGTAACGAACGATGATCTCTGCGATTAAACCATTCATAGCTTCTTCTGCAACTGTTTCAAACATTATAACAGTTCATAAGAAATATTAACAATGGAAAATAGTATATCAAATAAAAGCAATCTTTGGCTAGAAATCGAACCGTGCAGAAATTAATAAATCCGTAAATCAAAACAACTTAGAAAAATCAATAACCACACAACGCACTCACGTCTATGCTGACAAATTTGCATATCTTTTCAATAATTAGCGAATGACATACAAGAATAAAAAACAGTACAAGCTATGAAGAATTTTTCATTTACAGGCATTTCAATATACTTATATCAGGATAATTCACCCTCCTCCTGTATCGTGGCTCCGAAACTTCTCTTAATTTAAAAAACTACACAGATCCGTACTAGAGGCACAAAGAATTGGAAGAGAACTGTCAAAGAATGGGAGACAGATTGAAAAGGAAGCAGGCATTATAGCTTGTTCATTTGCTTTGGAAATTCACAAGTATCGAAGAACAGGTCTATGCAAACCCTAGGATTACAGAGATCGGAATAAATTGAGAATACTTAAATCGCAACAAGTATTTATTCATAGTATGCCAAAGTAATAATTAAATAATTATTAGCAATATAAAAATCTTTCATTCTACAGATTATCCTTAGCTTAAACAGGGCTCCTATACTGATAAGAAGACCAAATTCCACTTTATCTTTCAGAAGAGATTAAATTAAAAGCCATAAAAGCAAACCGATTTGCTTCACATTCGTTAATCAAAACATTTTTAACGCGTTTATAAATCATTAACACAATTTTTCATCAACAATACAATTTTAATCCGGTCCAGTAAATTTTGAAAATTTATTAAGTTCGCAGTAAATATAACAAACTGTTCAACATTAAAGAAACCCGTTCAAAAACTACTGTCGATGTTTTTTTGTGACAGATTCCGTGGTACCTGCAAATTTGCAATTCAAGAATTGAACGAACTTTTAAAAACAAATGAAAACCAGTAAATTCTACATCATCCTCACATTTCTTATCTTTTCTTTTGTTTTTATGTGCTTGCAATCAATTCATTATAACTCGTTGATATTTGTTTGAAAAACGTGAGAATCACGGAATTATTCAAAGCAAAACCCACTTCAACACATTTCTGTTCATAAAATAACGATGCTATAAAATTCGATGAAGCCACTTGCTTCCCGAAATTTGTTGCTGCTCGATCCCTTTCCCACGGTGCTCTAAAAACAGGCTTTCAGTTGCTTATTCCCTAATACATGATATATGGTTTTCGGATTTATAAATAAGAGATATGCACTTTATCCAAAATCTAGTAGCTTAATACTCAACCAAACCGAATGAAATAGTTTATTAACTAGATAATGAAGTCCACTTCAAGAAGCTCTGAGAGTATTCATCATCAAAAAGTTCTGACATTTCATAAACTTTGGTTTCACAAATTTCTTATATGGTTAGTACAAACATATTGACGAAATAAATTTATTACATCATTTATTCCTCTTTATTTTACCTATAAGTTTGATTAAAATTTAAAGAGAAATCTATTTAAATTTCTGACAAAATCTGTATACACACGCAGCTGAAATATTTGTACTAACTATAATATGAAGTTTATAAAATCACAAATTTCAAACTGAAATAAAAAATTTGGATCTTCCGCTCACAACGGCATACCATAGGAAGTAAATAGAATTACAATACAATATTGCAACATTTTATTTTCCACCTCTAAGTTAAGCATTTGCTCGGTTGAAATTACTCTACAGTTAAATTTTGATCCCACGACGGCAATGAACTAGGAAAAGACGACAAAAAATTTAGGTGAAATTACCAAAAAACTCACATAGCATTATGATTCTTGGTTGCTCCGCACGTGAAATGTTTTGTTGTACTGATATGCAGCACTAACTCATCAAGCGTATTAAATCGTTGAGCACATCTTAGACATGTGAAAATATTACTGGTGATGCTGTTAGGAACACATTTATTAGGCATCGGTAATTTTGTCGCACCAATTCGATGTACCATTTGCGACAATTCACCTAGAGCATCTGCTGCTGATGTCTGCGTTGAATCTGAAATTATCACATCAGCTTTCAGAATCTATGCAGCATCTACTACAGAATACAGCCTGCTTGTTTAAACCACTTACTGCATGTCGTTCTCAAAACAGTTTTAGAATGCATTTATTCATCTGATTTAAAAAATTGTCAGCAAATTATTAGTCATATCGCGTTGTTAAAAACATCTGTCAACCATATCTAAGAAATGAAACGCAGTGAATCAAAAAAAAACTCTGATGACGCAATTTCAACCAGTCTTTAGGTATATTTTTAAATGTAAATTTAAAATACGGAATAAGTATGCTGAAATATTACAATAAATAATGTTCAAATTTATTCAGTAAGATGATTTCTATTCTGGGAATGGTTTTGGATTCATCTCCTCCATAGTGCCAGAACACAAAATTCAGAGTTATAATGCAATATTAAAAAGTAAATTTACCGTATTCAAAAGGCAATTTCATAGAATTGCTGCGTGAATGTGTCAAGGCATATCCTGTTGACATGGAGAGTCTACTGCTTCTGTAAATCTCAAAAGTTGGACTGTTTGCAGCTTCACTGTTTGCACGTACACACCGTTCCAAACGTTTCAGCGGAGATTCCGAATCCACTGATGAAGTGTATCCGTCGACTCCGGAAACACTTGCAGAGGGACTGTCAACAGAATTTCTACTCCCGGTGAACACAGAAAGGAAGGACTTGTGGTAATCACTGACATCTGAAGTGACGGGAACTGAAGAGCTTGCAGAAATGCCGGAGCTGAGTCCACTGAGGAATTCACAATGAGCAAACTGCGATTTGGAAAATCGCGTGCACTCCCCGACATGACAGTATCTCTGAAAGTCATCCAGTTCATACTTAGGGACTTTCAAAGGAGGTGCATCACCGTGAACTACTGCACCCTGCATGGTAGAAACACAAAAAGGATTTCCGGGTAAGTAGTCCGGTTCTTCCATTGTTGAGGTTGCTCTGCTATGAGGAGGAGAGGATGACGGAGAGTGCCATACCGGAGAAAGCCCCTCTTGGGATTCCCCTGCTGAGACATCTTCCGGAAACACTCCACCGGCAATTCGCTTCGCGGGTCTCGCCTGCTTCTTCCTCATTTGTCCATGCCGAGAGATCTGTCTATATCAGTAATGACGATGTTTCCCATGGTTAGTCAGGGAGGATCCCTTCCTTCCTCTTTACACCCTGTCCCCCGTAATCCCTCCCGAGCCCTCTCCCCGCCTGCTCTCCCCAGAATTTGATGTGGCACCCTGAACCCTCCGTATTTCTCCCTTTCCTCTCCACTCTCCTCCCAAAGAGATAGAGAAGGGAACTGTCTGCCCGCCTGCCACTCCACCCAACCCAACATGATTGATTGATTGATGGCAACCGACACCACGCTGATACATTCCTTCTTTCAATTTTATTGGCTACAGCAAGTGATCTCGACAGGAAAACTTGCCAGCGGTGTTTTTGGAACCTGTTCATTCAGTTTGACCTTTCGTGCTCGTTAGGTGTTACGTGAAAGGAGGGATGTTGTCTGTGCAGTTAATCTGGTCTTTTGCAGGCTGTGAAGATGTCAGACGACAGACCGAGACGAATAAAACATAGCGGATCTCTCCAGGACAACGCGGTAACTTATTTTAGTTAGATAATGCATGTCTAAGAGTGTCTTCCCGGGAAGTATGTGACAGATTAGTTTAATAGCTTCAACAGTAGAGAAGCACGTACTAGTTTGCTTATTTTCATGGTTGATGTGGATACCTAGTAATTTGTATCACTGTCGAATTTTTGTTTGAATATCAAAGAATGATCTTGTAAAACATTATAAAATTTTTTATAACCGAATAATTTTGTCATTTGCGTTATACGCCTCTACTTTGTACATTCTCGTTGTCGAGACAATAAGTTGTCATGTGCTACTGCTGTTGTGAAGTAGTAAAAGATAGAAATGTTTCCTTTTTATCTTTTATGATCCAAGAAATAAAAAAATTCAGTTCTTTCAATTTTTTCTTGTCTTTTTTATTTTATATTTTTCCTTTTTTTTTTCTATTTTTATATTGCAGAGAACTTGTGCTATTGTTAGCTGAATATAGTAATTTTCGTTTTCTCTTCTGCATTTGAGTATTATATTTAGCTAGTAATAGCAGAGGGTCTCCAGTTTCTTGCAATATAAAATTTGTATTATCACTTGAAAATCAAGCATAACAGTTACTCACTATTTGTCAGTTGCTACTTTTATGTTTTTTGCCTTCTGAAGCAACCGTATAAGATGAATAGAAATAGAGTGTCGATAAGGTTGTCAAAATATAACTGGTAATATTTTAAGCATGTGATGGTTTTTTTTAAATAATTTATACCCCACTTGTGGCATGTTCTGAGAAATGTTAGATATTTAAAAAACACAATTACTGTAGCATATGAAATAATGCTATCTGATTTTTTTGACAGAGTGCTTTACTGTTGAACATGATTCGAACATTGACAAGTAATTCCTCGGCAGAACAGAAGGAATTGGATCGTAGGCGTTTGGAAGCTGGATTTACTGAAACTTCAAAAGAAATAGATGACCTGGTTCTTGGTAAGCACTAAGAAAATGAATTTGAATTTACTACGTGACAAATATTTCTCATTTTATTTTAATTTCAATATTCAAAAAGATTCGTAGGATAGTGTTCAACTTTTTCAGTATGGTTCATGACGAAATCGCAGCTCAGTGATTCATTGAATTTTATAAAGATGTAAGGGTTGATCAAAAGATAAAAATCTTTAGAACATGAGAACGATGTGGGAACTTGTTTGGAGTCATTCAGAAATGTTTCCACTCGAATTACCGGTCGGTTTCCTTTGAAGTTTAAACCATTGTCGTTTTAATAGGACCACGCTAGCAGTTTTATAAATAAATATTCTTTAAAATTGTCTTCACGATACGCTTGTCTTATCTTTTTTCCAGCTTGCCGTGAAAAAGTACACAGTATACGTAGTAGTTTGCTGACATGTCGTTCTCTGCTGCAATGTAGACGGGATGACTTAAAAAGACTTTGGATGGAAAATGCTCAGCAAAAACATGTCAGCACAATTCTGGCTCAAATGTATTGTGATTTTCTCGTTTAGATGATAGTTGAAATTGTATACAGGAACTTTGAAATTATGGAAATGAGAAAGAAATTTGGTTAACAACAAAGGGGGATGAGTCGTCAATGCAATATTTGATATAATAAGAGACAGGTAGTTCACTTAATTATATTAGCGGATGAGTGGCAGGAAAATTTATCTGGGAATGCTGCGCATCTTTCTCGGTAGAATCATAGGAAGTATGCAGTTTTGTGATTGAAAAATTTGCTGATCATTATAGTATTTCAGATGATTTTTTTCTTTACAGAGAAGGACTGAATCGTTTAGGAAATGAAGTTGAAGCTGCTATGGCCACTTCAAATTATCATTTAGCTGCGAATTCCTTAAACGAAGCAGGTTGTTTTTCATTATGCTTAATTATTTCAGAAACAACTGATTGTTTTTGTATTATGAGTCCTAGATGTTCAGATCTTTTGTTCAATGGTCCATTTTCAAACATCGATGGATTGAATCAATTGCGCTCACAGTTGCTTGATCTATCCAAAGTAAGTTGAAGTTTATGATAATTGAAGTCGATGAACAATTTTGGTGAAAATTTATTAGGACATATTTTTACACTTCGCAGACTGTAAATTTGTTTTAACAAGAAATACTTTTCCGTCTAGTTAGTGCTTGAAAATTTGTTTTTTTTTTTTTTTTAATCTATTCTCTTTTTGTTTTTCTTGTTTGTTATAAACTTGTGTCGCTTTTTTAGAAACTTATAGAACGGATTGTTAATGACATTACAAATCATTTAATCATTTGGCCGTTCGAAAACCATGTAAGTTTTAACATCTGGTGCAGAAGTGATTTTGGTCAACATTTCTGATCCTAGCAATGTCTACAATTCATGGATTGTTTTCGAGTGCTCTGTATAACATTTCGAGACGGAATAGTGCTTATAATCCTGCTTGAATCTGAATCTCAAAAATTTACTTGTTAAGAACTGCTCTGCATATAGTGATCAATTTAGAATCTATTGATATAATATCAAGAAAATGAACTTTACAATTTTTTATGGCAGCAGATAATATTTAAAAATATTAAAAATAATTCGCTTGGCTTCTATTTGCGTCTCTCTAAATCAGTTATAGATTTCATTACCTAATTCATTTCCATGCCATTATTTCTTCTCGAAAGTGACGTCATTAAATTCCTGGAACTTGCATATATTGTTAATTTTAAGCTTGTTGAAATAATCAAATCGCTGCCAGAAAATAAAGTTGCGGAATCGGCGGATTGCGTTGGAATTATGTCTCAGCTTAATGTAAAGGAAAATTTTACCATGAATAGCACATATTCCATAGCTGCTCGTTGTGCTGAGGACATTCATGCATTATGTGTGTTCGGCAGACTATCAACAACACTTCGACGCTTTTTACATGGTTCTCCGGCAGTATTTAACCGTCTGATACATACGTCGGAAAATGTAGTATGTGTTGCGTTTGATGGTAATCAAAAAGGAGATGAACAAAATTTGGCTCAGTTTATGCAATTGGTATTGTTTTCCGTTGTTACATGTGAATTTTGACAAAATATCGCTTTTGCAGATGAAACCCTAAAGATTATTTGGTTTTTGTTGTATTATAGTAACCGGAAAATTTGGGAGATTGAAGGTTTTTAGTGAAACAGTTAACTGCATTAGGTTGAATTAAATACGATATTCAGTATCTTTACGTTTCGGGTTCATGATTTTTAGTTGTGTGTTTGCTGTTTTAATTTTCCACACTTATTCAAGATATACCTTCCTCCACATGAAGTAATTTTCGCTGTACCATCATGCAGGCTGTTTGTACAGGTGCTAAATCAGTTTCGTAGTAGCTATGAAGCACATATTGTAATGGATGCTGAACTTAAAAAACTTCGGCAAAACGACCAAACCGATTTGGGCGAGGACGAAGAAATGATATCCTTGTCCGAAAATTTTTGGGAAACAACGCAGGCTATAATCGAAGATCTAGTAGACAAGTATATCGCAGATAATGGCAATACGTCTAGTTTAGTTATGCAGAAATCGAATACATCAACTGCAGAAAAACTTATCTTGTTCAGATTTGACGCTTCTGCTTGCGCACTTACTGCTCAGTCTAGACAAACTTTTAAGCAGGTTTGGCTTTATTTCTATGATTATGGAAGTAGTTTTTTTTAAAAACTGCAAAAACAAAATTACAAAATGACAGTTGAATTTTTGTATTTTTTGTTCCAGTAATCATTTCTGTAAACCCAATTTTTCATCTTCCAACTTAAGTCTCTGATATGCCCTTCATCACCGTGGAACATTATCGCTCTTTATCCACAACTTGAACGTTTCTGCAACGAACGCGAAGCTGAAATGAACGGTAAACCCTGTCGTTTGCGTTCTTACTTAGACTCATTCATTGTTAATGTCTTCATCGACCAATTCAAGTGCAAGCTTGAAGCTCTTACCGAGCAGGCACTCAATGAACAGGATGCCTGGCGTGTTCTTATGCATTATCCTAATCCGGCAAGTTTTTAACTTTATATGCATTTCCAATGAATTTTTCATTATAAGTTAATTTATATATGTTCTGATTTTCGAGTAGATTCTTCTGTGCTTCATGAATTCATTTTTTGCTTTCAGAGAATTTTGGGAAGTTGTTGGAATGTTTATTCAATCTGTGACCAAATCGGAAAATTGATCCTTGCCATGGATAAATATACAGAAAGATTATCAGTATTGTGGTTACTTGTTATCGATGAGTTTTCGAATAGCGCTAATAATATATATGAAAAAGTTGTAACTTCCTGGAAACCTACTTCAGAGGGAAAGGATTCGGTGGTAAGATGTTACCCTTTTTATGTATAAAAAATTTTCTTTTCTGTGATATTTCCACTTTATAGTTTGACATGATAACGCATTTCGAATTAAAACATTTTGTAATACTGCTATGTAACTCACTCAAAATATTCTCCAAAAGTATTTCAGTTTTTCATATTGCGTATTATTAAGATCTTCGGGTTTATCAGCAACTTACTTTCTAACAGCTTGAACTTTATCACTTTTTTTACTTGATAAGTTCTGTTCAAGTTCTGGCTTTGGTTTTGCAAACTTATTTGTACGATAGAGCAAAAGAGAGTTTTACATGGTTGGTAATGGTGTTTAGGTTTCCAATATGAGCTATGAAGATGGATTCAAAGAAAAGCGTAAAATAAGCGCAGCATGGGCAGTGGACGAAGACATATCACGTCTTTTAAAGAGTTTGCCAAACTGGTTCATGGTGAACTGTTATGAAGATGCTTCAACTTCCTCGGGGAATACGCCTTCCGCATTTTCACCTTCAAGTGAATCGGAAAGTGATGTATGTTACCGAAATGAAAGAGAATCTGAAATTCTCATAGGTAAACTTTCCTATTTTCTCTCTATAACTCAAGGGCGTATAAGAACATCGATGATTTAAGTAAAAAAAAAAAGTTTGTTTTTGATCGTCATTCAGTGTTAATTGCTAAGCTTGTATCTTAGGTAATCTGGGAACAGCAAAACAACTTGTTCGTGATGAACTGATAACGGATATTGAAGTAATTCGTTCTCTGGCATGTATACATGAATCATTGAAATGGTTTTGTAGAAGCATGCGTTCTCTTATCGAAAAGCTTCAGGAATCATCTCGTAAGGCAATGCGTAAATGCGTTGTACAATTACAAAGAGTAGATGAAAATGGCATTGTTCACCAGTCGGTAAGAATGTCTTAGTTTATAATTTACCGATGATAGCAACATTTTATGTTCTTAGACAGATATTAAGGTCTTTGAATATTATGTTTGGAAAAATATGTATATATACTTGTTTTTAAAAGAATATGCATACATATTTGTTTTTAAACTTCAAAATAGGACTGTAACGGTGGTATGGTTTTTTTGACAGATTTTTTATTTTTTTAAAGCATTAATGCTTCATCAAACTGTATATTTTTTAATACATCAAGCTATTTATTTTTATGTTGCAACTTCATATGAAAAAGACTGAACGAATACTGCACAGCATTCAAAGAAAATTTGATATAATTCTTATAGTATAATTGATTCAATTAGAAAAAAATTACTTCCTTGAATTAATTGACTTTTAAATAATTTTAAGGAAGAACATATTGCTGCTGCACTAGATTCCAGATTAACCGATTTGGATGCAAAAGCTGATACTTGTTTATTAATAATTCACCTTGAGCTTCGTGTACATTGCTTTTTCCATTTGTTACCACTGGCTCGAGTAAGGCCATCATTGCCTCATGATGAGCTCGATAATGAGGTAATGTTCGTTATTGAAAAACATGTAGGAAATCAAATATTTTTGTCTTTATCATTCCTCAGTGCTTGTTTCATCTCATGTTTTGCTTTTTTTTTATCAATGATATCGCATAAACTGACAAAAAATTGTCTTTACATATAGAAAATTTTTCAAGTTGTACATAGTTGCAGGTAATTGATTTTGGGCGCGACATGGGCCATTTTCATCAAGTACTAAGCACGAATCTTCCGCCACATAAAATGAAATATCTCTTTGACGGCTTAGGACATCTTTCAGCTTCTATTTTTATTCATTCCAGGTAATAAATTTCTGTGTTGGAATTTAATCTCTTAAAAGTATTCCACCCAGTCCTTACAGTGAATTCTGAAAGCAACATATTCGGATTTCTGCTTGGTATTGAAAAATACATGGAATGAATATTAAAGATGTCATCATAATCTTGATAAGAATAGGAATTTTCAGTCAACATATGCAAAAATTGAACGAGAATGGAAAGAAACGTGTCTGTCGAAATATTTTTGCAGTACAGCAGAGGTTAAGTCAGTTGACAGGACATCGTGAAAGCGAGCTAGAAAGAGCGAGAATTTTTTTCGAATTGCTTAACCACGATCCTGATCAATTGTTGGCTTTAATTCTTGAACGGGGAGCAATATTTTCACATCTGGAATACACCTATCTTCTTGCACTTGCTCTAAGGTAATCCTCATATGTTTGAAGCTTACCAACTTTCTAAAAAAATTCAAGATTTGTTACAAAATTAATACTGTGATAAAAAGTGTCGCTGTGCAGGTCACATCCGATACTAAGCGCACAACCTGGTGCTTTGGAACAAAGGATCTCCCAGCTGAAGACGATTTTAGCACAACTGAAAAAGTGAATACAAATGTGTTATTGAATTTTATGGAAAAATCACTTGAAAGTCGTTTCTTGATTGATAATTTCTGCTGTTCACTTATTAATGGAACATTTCAGCATTGCTTTCATCTTATTCGATACTGTCTTCATTAGCTGAGAAATAATTGTTGTTGATTGCAAAAGCATGAGTGTAGATTGAAGGTTGATATATGCTTTTAATTTTGGAAAGCTTCTACTTATTAATGTTGTTCTTAATCTTCGCTGTCACGAATATTTTTACTCTATTCATACTAATGCAGTGTTTGTTTTATTAAAATATATTTTGCAGATGTCAGAACTTTCTCAAGTGAAAGTCATTACTTATCAATTGTAAAAGTTTCTTATTTCTTGAACGTACAAAATTATATCAGATTTAGAATTAAAAATTTGATTAACATATTAATCAAATTGTCTGTTTGGGTATTTGAAGATCAGTCATGGAATTTTCTTGATTTTATAATATTGACATTAACATTGCGTATTGCATATTTATCATTTTTTTTTAAAAGACCATGCATGTTTGTATGTTTTATTTATCGACGGTGATTTATATTCATATGGGTGATTTTTGTATTTATTCGTTTTTTACATTGTAAGATATATGGTATAACTATGTTCTGAAGGTCCTATATTTGATGAATCAATATTTTCAAGATTTTATAACACTGTGCTTTTTAATAATACCTTTTGTCTGAACTATTATGGAAGTTTTTGTTGGTAGGATATCGTCCTCCGAACTATCGATGTATTTTTATTTTTTATGTTTTATAGTAATGGTTATGGTATTTTGCTATTTTTTATAACGGCATTTTGCTATTTTTTATAGCGGTATTTTGCTATTTGATATTAGTCACTTCGTATTTTTAGAAGTTCTGATGGTTTGTAGAAATGCGAAATTGCGAATTTATTTTTGTAGAACTGTAGGACTGGCGCAAATGGAGGGAATCCGTGCTATCTTTAGCAGTTTCATCTATCTATGAAACAGCTGGAATAACAATTTAATAGGATTACCAAGCCTCCCTACATTTAATAAGTATAATGTTAAGTGAGACATTGAACTTTATATACAAAATCTCACGAGTTATTCAAATTTGATGCTGGAGAGCCCACAATTACCATCAGTCGCTGACTTATCGTTTGATTATAATGGCAGCAAAACACATTTCAATATAGTTCAGCTCGCCAACGTTAACGTTGTTATTATTTCTGATATCGAAAAGATTGGGCAAATTGTACATGTAAGTTATGCCTTACGTTCTAACAAAACATTAATTTTAAAATATTAACTTACTTTGTTAAGAGCTGTCTGAAAATTTTCAGGTAATCTTTCCTGAAGCAGTCATTACTTCTAGACTTCAACCGACGCATAATATTGATTACGACACGAAAGTCCTTCTAGGGGCACCACTGGTAATATTATTACTCAAAGTAGTACATCTATTGCTGGTAGCAGAATTGCTGCATACCAATCACTTTTGAGCAAAGTAGGTAATTACTCAGATCGATTATTAATTTGATTAAGCATGTTAAGCACATTAATCATTGAGCAAATTGTACATGTAAGTTATGCCTTACGTTCTAACAAAACAGTAATTTTAAAATATTCACTTACTTTGTTAATCTTAGATGTTGAGATTTTTATTTTCGATCTCTCTTCGTTTCATTTTAGTAACATCCATTTTTCATTTGAGTTGTTTTTATTTATCCTTAACATTTCAGATTCGTGCAGTTTAGTTTTTTCAGGGTGATTTCGATCTTCTTTTGAATCGCTTTGTGAAAACATTAGTTGAACACAATAAACGGTGTGATTTCCTGTTTTCATTGGGTCTAGATCATTTCGACATAGATCATGTGCGGTGCATTGTGGAAAAATTCAATGAATACTTATCACATTAAAGTAAGTTAAGAAAGATGAAAAACTGGGGAAAAAGAAAGAATGAAGATGACGCGAAATAAAGGAAAATACGGTAGGATTAATATTACTCGCAATGTAACCTAACCGGATGTTCCAAGTCGATTTTTTTTCAGTCACTTGAGTTCTAAATTTACAATAGAATGTGGAGTCAGTACGTATTTGTTTATTCGCTCACTTATTTGTTTATTGTAGCCAGTTAAAGGCATTTATATTACTATTTGACAAAATAAGCTCACTTTATATACTGAAATAACAAGCTTGCCTTTATATACTGAAATAACAAGCTTGCCAACATAACTAATGTGAAAGAATTTAGTTCGTAAAAATTCTCAGATTTTATCAAAAAATCATATCTTTTGGAAAATGTTTTCTCAAATACAGTTCCGGCGATTTTGTTCTAAAAGTGTACGTGCCAATTGTATCTTCTTGCCTAAAACTTCGTTCAAGAAATTCATAAAATCTCGTGAAAGAGCCAGGCTGGATTCAGAATTGGCATGTTTAGCAAAATTTGAAGAATTTTATAATTGGCAGTTGAACGAATCAACCAGGCAGTCATTTCCAATGTTAGTTTATGAATTATGAATACTTTCAGTGCAAAATGCAGTTGTTTTGAATTGCTGTTTTTAAGTTCTGCTTTCTTTTAGTTTGTTCATGAGTAATTTATTGAATTTTAGATTTGAACTTTTGGATGGTCCACCCTACGCAAATGGTGACGTGCATGTTGGACATGCTATCAATAAAATTTTAAAGGATTTTGTTGTTCGTAGTCAAGTTTACAGTGGGAAACGTGTTTTATTTCGTCCAGGATGGGATTGTCATGGACTTCCAATTGAATTAAAAATAGCAAGAGACAATCAGCAAAAAGTTATTACATTGTGTTCTTTTATAAAATGGTATATAAGATTTTATAGTGAGTTGCTCATTTATTTTACTAGTTTTGTGTTGGAGTATTTTAAAATATCTTATTTCTTTTAAGAAATTAACAAGCCTTATTTCTTTTTTCTCTTCAGCTAAGAAATTCGATGCTTAAGGTTAAGGACACTTCGCTCGTTGAAACGCGAAAAGCAGCTCGGCAGATAGCACTGCATTCAATTGCGTCACAAGAGAATTCATTTAAGAGATGGGCAGTCACAGCTGATTGGACAAATCCCTACCACACTATGGATAAGAAATATGTTGCGAAAGAACTCAGGCTTTTCGGTGAATTGTATAAGCTGAAGATGATTTATCAAACATTTATGCCGGTTTATTGGTGAGCTTGTACTTGTTTTTACAAAATAATATGAGCTTTTCATTGCATCCACAATTTTTTTAAGTTTAAATAACATGAAAAAATTCACTTAAATTATGGAGAATTTTAATCATCAATTAAAATAATGGAGAAGCAAGAAAACAAGCAAATATGATACACTCCGCAAGACATTTCCCCTCATTTAAATTTGCGTTTATTAAGTGGCTAATAAAGTACTGCCTTTTTCAACAGTTCTGTTTTGGAATGTTTGTTTTTTGTTTGTTTGTTTGTTTAAATAAATATGGCTTAAAAATAAGCTCCGCTCACTGTGTTTTATAGTACTATTATTTTATATAATAATTGTTTTTTGTATTCTCTTTAAGTTTTTTGGTCAGTTCAGTGCTATAGAGGATTTAAAAAAGGGTACTAAGGCATATTTTTTAGACAGGTTTTAGATAGGAATGAAGTGGAAATAGCAGTCTTGTTTTGGAAATTTTCATATTTTCAGGTCTCCGAGTTCATTTACAGCTTTAGCTGAATCAGAATTGGATTATATGGACCACAGCAGCACGGCTGCTTTTTATCGATTTGCGGTAGTTTGTAATATTTTTAAGCCCTTAACTGTTACTATTGCTATAGCAATTTTAACTCTAGTTAGTTATCTTTCATCAAATTAGTTTCAAATTGATCTTCCCCTAAGAAGCTGAGTAAAAATGCTTACAGATAATAAATTCTGGATTCATCCTTTCTAAATGTAAGGAAGAGGAACGACCAACAAAACTCTATGCATTAGTTTGGACAACAACTCCGTGGACATTACCAATGAACAATGCAGTTGCTTATAAAAAAGATGCGATTTATACAGTGGTGGAATTGCTTGCTGATGGCCACTATCGGTTCAAACTTACATGGGCTTAATGCAAGGAGGATCAAAACTTTAACTGAGCATTTAGATAATTGAATGACTTTACTAGCTGATTAGTTATTTAATTGTAATCCACAAATAATTTTGCAGGCGCCCAACCCGTCATTTATATATTTTGGCTAAGGATCTTATTAGCAATTTTGAGAAGGAAACAAAAATCGTGACTAGGATATTACTCACTTTTGTTGGTATTGAACTGGAAGGACTTGTATACCGAAGTGCAATGTTCAGTGATTTAGCACAGCCATTTATAGAGGCGAGCCATGTAACTACTGCTGTTGGAACTGGTCTTGTACACCTAAGTTATGCACATGGCTTAGATGATTTTAAAGTAAATCCTTTCAATTATTTGTGAATATTATTTTAGAAATTTAGAAAACTTTTCATTTTTCAAGTAAGAAGATTATGGAAAGTTTACTGTTTTACTATAATTCTTGTTTGTCCAACATTCTCTTTTAGGTAGCATTGAAACTTGGTGAAAGAGTGCGTTGCTTTGTGGATGAATGGGGATGCTATACAAGGGATCTCGGTCATGATTTAGAGGGTAAAAATGTTTTGAACGAAGGAAACGATCTCGTACTGAAAATGTTCAGGAAAAACATTATCTACACACATCAGTACAAGCATCGATACCCTTATGACTGGAGAACAAAGCAGGTGTCATATAATTCTATAAAAAAACTATTAGTGAGGATTTCATAGCAAATTAAGTGGTTGCGGTTTCCAATTAATCAATGGTCAAAACAGTCCTGAAATTTGGAGTGGAGTTATAAAAGCTTTTTTATGGAATGAGATTGCAATCTGTAGTAATGTTTGCTGAATGCATAAAATTAGCGCACAATTTTAGCCAGTGATTATACGAAGTAGTAAACAGTGGTTTATTGATGTTTCGCAGGTTGGTGTTGAAGCAGCTAGAAAAATAAAGATCGAAGCACTGCCTATAGGAAGTCCTCATTCAGGTAGTTCTTTTTAATGAATGTTGTGCAAATCGATAGATTATGTTTGTTTAGCTTAGTGTTTTTTTCTTTTTTTTTTTTTTTCGTGTTTAATAATTCTTTGTAATACGATCTTTCATATATTACCTTTTTTTTTTTTTTTTTTTTAAAGATAAAACAGAAGCTCTGTTAACGCAACTAAAAAATCGGATTGCTTGGTGCATTTCACGACAACGATGCTGGGGCACACCGATTCCTGCATTTTATAGGGAGGACGGTAGTGTTGTTGTGGGTGAGGATATCAGCAATGCTGTGGCAGAAAGCATCGAAAAATACGGCACTGATATTTGGTGGGAATGTACGGCGAATGAATTACTTCCTACAAAAGTATTATTTATCAAGTTTATTGTTTAGTTATTTGTTCATTAATTGGGGATACTTTGGTTCTCTCATTTCGTAATTGTTTTTCAATTTATTTTGAAGAAAAAAAATGAATGCTTTGTTTGAATTGAAGGATATAAATAAAATGCCGTAAATCGAAAAACCGGGGGCTTAACTTCTCAGTTCATTTAAGCACTGAAAAAATTGCAGTTAATGAATAAATATGGAATTAGAGCAGAAGAAAAATTGGAAAAGTCGTGCGATATACTAGATGTGTGGATGGATAGCGGTGTTGCATGGGCATCAGCACGTCAAAGGACAGAACCTGTGGATCTGATTCTGGAGGGCGTTGACCAGTTTCGAGGGTGGTTCCAGTCACTTACGTTAACTTCATTTGCTTTGAATGTTGGTTGTAATATGCTTCAAGTAGTTTGTATGCCTCATTCAAATTAGTAGGCCGATATCACAAACCTAGTTGAGCAGAAATGCATTTACGAATGCCAGAGCCAACAGTATTATGTTTAGTGGATAAGTGGATCACTTTTGTATTAGTTTATGCTGCACGATTACTTTTATCATATCAACTGGATTTGTTGCTTGGAAATATATAAAATTTTTAATTTTATAAGTTTCACTTTCTTATTAGCAACTGCTTTTATTTCAGAAAAAATTGCCATATAAGTGCATCTATGTTCATGCCTTTGCAGTGGACGAAAACGAACAAAAAATGTCCAAATCTTTAGGAAATGTAGTCAGTCCTGAACTGGTTTGTTTTCCATTCTCCAAAAGAAAACTGTGAAATATCTGGAAGGGAAAGAAATGTTCATTACGACATAACTCCATTTTCATAAATTACTCGACGTAATACATAGGAATCCACAAATATATATTTTATAGTTTTAGACATTTTTAATGCAGTTTTGTAAAAGGTGTCCGATTTTCATTGTGTAGTCTTATTGAGAAGTATGCGAATGAAAATTTGGTTAAAAGTTACTGAACTGATAGAATTTGAACTGGAGGTTCTAAAATTGCAGTAATTTTTTTTTTGATTTCGTGAGCAGATTACAGATGGTTCATTGAAAGACGAACCTCATGGCGTCGACGGTCTTCGTCTTTGGGTTGCACAGTTTGGTTGCGAAGGCGATAAAGCACGAATAGGCTCTTCAGTTATGGAAGAAGTTAGACGAAACTATACACAGTTGCGTGCTTCGTTCTGGTTTCTGCTTGGTGCAGTCTATGGTTATAAAGGAGTCATTTGCTGTGATGAGAAATTTTATATTGATAGGGTGAGCAGGCCTTACAGTTCAGAGAAATTTTTAATAATATGGATGAATGTAACTTACAGTTACAGAGAAGGAAAACTGCTTATATTATTTTGTCATTCTTATTCTTTTTATCATCCAGTATATTAAATTTATTTGACCGATTTGAAAGGACTGCTTTGTTCTTGTTGCATTTAAATTTATTCAAAAATTATTTTGTCTGGTTTATCGCTGATCTGAATAGATAAATTAAAGAATTTTTTCAGTATATTTTACAAGAATTAGCAAAATTTACACAGCGATGTCTCAAAAACTGGAGCGAATATCGTTTTCCCCTAATGGTTAACGAATATATGCAGTTCTTGCAGCATCCGCTCAATTCTCCTTATATTGTAAGCAGTATTTTTTGTATTTTTGTACTAAATTATATTGAAGAAATTATGATTTGCTGCCGTCTCTTTCTCTTCATACTTGGATCATAGTCGTCCGGTTAAGTAAATGTAGCTTATTAATAACCAGTGTCTTTGCATTAATGCAAACAAACTGTTTCACCATTGTAAATTAAAAACCGGGATCTCCTAAATGGTATATTTAATATGATCTACTGTACTTTAAGTAGTTTTAAATTAAGAAGAATTGTTTTTTTTTTTTTTTTTTTGATATTTGGATTTCAGAATAGTGTAAAAAATAGGCTGTACTGTGGATTGCTTGCTGAAAGACAGAATGCTCAGTCAACATTGGCAAAAATTGGACTGAACTTAGCAGCACTTCTTGCTCCTATATTGCCTCATTTGGTGGCGGAGTTTTTCATGCATCATCCAAGCATTAAGGATGCTGCTGTTGCTCTGAGGTAAAAAAAGATGTTTTTTATCTAGCGATTTCTTTTCAGTAGATGATTGAAGTCTTCGACTGGAAGCAAATTTCGGTTAAATCGAACTTTAATTTTTTTTTTTTTTTGAAATATTGTTTCCATTTTCATGGAATGCAATCAATTTTACTACTCCGGTGATTCAAATATAGATGAATTATATTCCGTCATGGATCCTGCTCTCAACATTCGAACTGAAATGTTGAAACAGTATGGACAAAAGGATCTATCTAGATTGGTATGCAGTTCATAAGTTTTCAGAAATCCGTGAATAAATCAGCTAATGAGCAGAGTGTTGCATATCTCTTTATGCAATATAAAGAGATTGGAATTCCGGTAAAATAATTTTATCAGTTCCAGTAATTTTACTTATTTTTAGGGAATTTTGATAAGAGGGCCCGATCTCATCCTCCAGAAACTGTATCCACTACAAATAGAATCATGTTCGTATTACTCGCAGCTAGTGGAAATTCTTGGTGTTTCTATGGTTCGAATGGAATGTGATAATACCAGTAAACAAATCATAATTCATTCGGTGGCTTGCGAACGAGAATTTTGTAAACGTTGCAGAAGGAACGTTAGACCTAAAGAAGAGAAATACTGCGATCGATGCTCAAAATCGATAACTGAAAATGGATGTTGGGGATAATTTTGCAAAATTTTCATTAATTTTACGATAGGTAAGTGGTCGGTGATGTTTAGTGCAAAATCTGATAAGTTTGCAAAGTGTAAGATGTCTTATTAGTGCTCTGTTTCATAAAAGTTTATCAGGAAAGTGTGGAATGTTCGTGAATTGAATTTCCGATCGATACTTTATCAATTTAAAAAGCTTTTTTTTTGTGCTGCGTAAGTTCTCTTGCTTATTAAAATATCTGGCTATTGTGAATTGATAATATAAATTAAGGGACTAGAAATGCTAACAAAAAATTCCTAACAGATAGGGGATGAATGTGAAACACCTGCAAATTTACAACTGATCGTTGGACTCATCAAAATGGCATCGAATCAGTGGTTTTATGAAGTATGATTATCTTTTGTCTCCATTCAGATATTTGATCGTCTATAGTACTCTTACAAAATGGGAAATAATTTCTCTCGTTTCATTTAGTTCGTTAGCTGAATTTTAAATCTGTTTCGAAGCACTTACTGTTCTGTTTTCGAATCATTTACTGTGATGTTGTGATTATTTTTATCAATCAGATAACACAGTTCCTTTCTTATCAGATGTTAAATAAAAAACTGGATTGAAATAGCAGTTCGTAGTTCTTGATCGTTTCTAGAAATCCATATATTATCACTGTTTTAAAAATTTACCGTGTTGTTCAGTGTATGAAAATTCCATACAGAATGTATAAGCTGGTTATCGAGTAGCTTATTAGCTTGGTAAAGTAAAAAAGTCAATAACTTCCTAGTTTTTATGAAGAATCCGATTGGCCTTGATTGATAGTAATGTTACAGTTACAGGTAAATTGGTTTTTATACATCGAGATATTAAAAGGTATCATCTTAATCAAGAATTTGGTGTTGTAAGAGTAGAACCAATGCAGTAATAGGGAAATATTTGCGATGAGGAGATGCATATAAAGGATATATACAAATGTTTTGGAAGAGAAGCTTTTGGACACTAAGGAATCAAAGTACTGTTAAAGTCGATTGTTTCATTTTTGTCGTGACAGGCTGGGTGAGTGATGGTGATGCGAGGTGCTAACAATCAGTCGTCGCATATTCCGCTATAGTCTGTGTTGCATTACATGCTGTAGGTGCTTCCACAGCTCTTTAATATTTTTTTTTATCTCTAAATCTTCGCGTATATTCAAGTCATGATATTGAGAAACAATGGAAAATTTTGGAAGATTCATATTTTAAGCTTCGGAAGAAGGTAAAAGTAGATACTTCGGGAAAACTGATTTAGCCACGATGGAAATATTTTTCGGCCATGATGTTTCTTGATCGATTGAGCAGTAGCAGTTCTTTATATTCGGAAGCGAATACTTCAGTATATGATGAAATAAATGATGCAGCCTTTGTTTGCCAAGAGTCATTTCTTGGGAAAAGAACTGCCGGAAATTTAACTATTGTTTCCGGAAGGAACACTGTTGATGGACGGTATAGGACAAGGAAAGGCATAATTTCAACTTCGAACACTGTTGATGGGGAGTCAGTAGAATCGACAGTACTTGCTACGAAGGATGTAAGTTATGTCGATTTTTTTTGCCGAGAATTCCGAGCTGAACAACTTAAGAAAGTTATAAAATTGCTTCAGTAATAATTCCTTTGTATATATTTTAAATCTGAATTATTGGAGAGCATTTGCAAAATCCAACATCAATCCCTAGAGTGTGCCATATTTCCTAGTATAGATTTCTAAAACATTTTCTTTATTTTGTAATTTATTGTTTAATACAATCTACGAGTAACTAATTACTTTAAAAAGTCAAAATGAGAGAAACTGATGATAAATTGCTACTGCGCCTTCAGTTTTAGTTTGGTCATGCTTCAGGTATTGGTTGATTTATCCACTACGTAAGATAGGCAGCATGAATTAACTGGAGTACGTAAAATTACAAAAGGTGATCCATGATGCAATACACGAGAAGCAAATGGAATTATTAGAAGATGAATCAACAAGACAGTAAGACTGAATATTTGTATATGTGGATCGTGTATGAGACAAATGTTATAAAAGGTAGAAATGAACTGGCTTTTTCATAGATTCGGCAGGTCGCACATTTATTATGTTGTATTTTGTATATATATTGCAAGCATTTTGCTGTAAATGAAAACTGTAAAGAATAACAAAATGAAGGACAAAGCAATAAAGATGAAGTCGTCTACATCTCTCAGTTCAGTGTATGTGCATGCAAGAGGTCTATCTTATCACTAATTTTTTATGGTGTGGATTAGATATATGTAAGATAGAATTATCATGCGTTACATCTACCCCTACTATTCGATACATGTTTACTTGTTTTCACTGTTCTCCAGCTTATTAGCTCCATTCATGATATCCGTGATGTAGTTATAAAGATTGCTTCTTGTACACCCTACTTCATATGTCACATTCTTACCAACTCATACTTCATATCTGACTATTGGCCACATATATTATTTCTAATCTTGTGGTAATTAGTGATGGCATTGCTTCTGTTCACCTCAGATTATAAGCTGGTCAGTAACTGCTGACCAGCTTGATTTCTTTCTATTGAGGTCTCGACATCAAATATAATCATACCTCGCTGACTCTATACTTCTTCACTTTGCTAGAAAAGAGCACTAGTGGGCCGTGCAAGACGGAGAAAAAGGGTGACTGAAAGTGCTAGATCGGAAGGATCATCACATTAATGATATGGATATAAGGAGGATGCAGTTTAGAGTTTTCACGGGGTACTCTGGCTGGTAGTTTTGACCGAGACTTTTATTGAAACTAGAGGAACAGGTGCTGCGTAATAAGACTAGCTAGTTCTAACCAACTACCGCTGATGTTTCGGAAATTAACTGCAATGGATCTCCACGCTGCAAAAATTCGTTGATCTTTGGAAAACGAACTTTGATAAGATGGACAAATATTTAAAAAACTAGCTGTCAAGCATCGTAATCAGTCGCTTCATATATGGTCCAAGTTAGGCCGGACAAAATTAGTGTAATTTGTATCAGACATAAGTTGAGTCAAACGTTAAAAAAATTGAACTTAAAATTCATTGCTATTTATTATACATGATCATTTACACATGCGGAAATATTATTGCTGTTATATACATTGCCACACAAGATTAAATGAATGGAAATTCTTTTGGAAATGCAGGAATGCCACGAACGTATGATGAGGAATGCAGCTATATTGAACGTATCACAGATGTTGTGTACAGAATCAAAAAAGGATTCGTTCCAAATATGAATGTAAGTTAACGAGCTCGCCTGCAGTCTTCGATGCTGTGCTGTTAGGCAAATAATCCACTAATTCCAATTTCACAGTGCCTGGAAATTTGTTTGATTTTGTCAAGTTTGAGCGCTTGTTTACTTTATATTCTTAATTCAGAAATTGACATGTTCACAAAACAAGTTCAGCAATGTTTTATAGGTCGAAGGACGCTTTTACGTCAACACAGCTTTAGAAAAACTGATGTTTGAAGAGTTGAGAAATGCGTGTAGATTGGATGGTATCGGCGGATTCTTGCCTGCGGTACGCCAAATTGGAAATGTCGCAGCACTCCCTGCTATTGTTAACGTAAGAAGAAATGTGAATATGCTTTTGTCCAGCATGTTCTAAATTTGTTTCTATAATAATTCTATTTTGATATCTTTATTGAATAAATTCGTGCAGTAAGTTTCAGGCTTCTATTGGTTTGCCGGATATACATTCCGGTTATGGATTTGCTATAGGAAATATTGCTGCATTCGACGTTTCTGATCCAGATGCTGTCGTATCGCCAGGTTTTTTGCAAATTTTTAAACTGTGTGATTATTCAAACTGTTTAAACTATGCATTTCATGTTTGAGTTTTTTTATATGCAGTGAGTTCGCTTTATTGTTTGTTTTATTTGTCAATTTTCTCATTACTAACTACTATATAAACCAAAAGTAAACCTCCCTGTTCTGATTTGATATATTTGAGCATTTCCTGTTATGTAGTAACTTGCTTCCTAGAAATCATTTTGTTAAACATTCCACTTACTTTTTTAAAATTAGTTTCTGCCAAACTAGGAGGCGTCCTAATCGAATGATATCGTCTAGGGAAATGATTTGAAATTTTGATATTAAAACGTTTTCAGTATAAATGCTTGGAATTTACACGGAAGATGTTTAAGGTAAAACGTATACTTCGGAAAAAACGGACGGTTAGAAAATGATTTCTTAACTTAAATCTCTGTATGTGTAAATTGGTTAAGTAGTATAAGTTTTTTAGGTGGCGTTGGTTTTGATATTAACTGTGGCGTCCGTTTAATTCGAACAAATTTGTCTGAGAAAGATGTTCAGCCAGTAAAAGAACAGCTCGCTCAATCGTTATTTGATCATATTCCGGTGGGCGTGGGATCAAAGGGTATCATTCCAATAGGAGCTCAACAGTTCGAGGTATGCTAAAATCCAACCATCTGTCTTGAAAAAGTACTTCAAAAAGAAATTTTTTTTTGCCACAAAAAATGTTTTTCAATTTAGGAATGTCTTGAAATGGGTATGGATTGGACTCTGCGTGAAGGGTATTCGTGGGCAGAAGATAAAGAGCACTGTGAGGAGTATGGAAGGATGCTTCAGGCCGATGCTGCCAAAGTTTCACCCCGTGCCAAAAAGAGAGGACTTCCACAGGTTTATCAAACATATAAAGCATATATATAACCTAATGAAAGTATTGCAAAACTCCGGTTTTCTTGATTTCAAAACTAATAAATTTATGTTTTATTAAAGCTATATGTAGTGATATTTGAGTGAGAAAGTGTTGAGGATCATTTCAGTAATTTTACTTTATAGCTAGGGACTCTTGGAGCTGGAAATCACTATGGAGAAGTACAAGTCATTGATGAAATATATGATGAATATGCGGCTAGTAGAATGGGCATCGACAGACTGGGTATATTGTTATTCTCGGTATTTACTGTTTGCAAATTATCTTAAACGAAGAAAAAATGAACTGCTAGTGCAAACAATCTGAAGCTCAATCTCAATCTATCTCAGTCTCTCAATCTATTAATCTGAAACTCAATCTACACATAATGTACATTGAATTAGCAAATTTCAGGTATTCTTTCTGTAATGTTAAGGTTTAGGTCAAGTTTGTATAATGATTCATTGTGGTAGTCGCGGTTTGGGACACCAGGTTGCTACAGATTCATTAGTGGTTATGGAGAAAGCTATGAAACGAGATAATATAATTGTCAATGACCGTCAGCTAGCCTGTGCGAGGATTAATTCTATGGAAGGTAAAGTTTATTTTCGAATTAGTCATTTGCAGCCATTATTTCTTCTTCTGTGTAGTCTACTATTTAATTTCTTTTGTTCTTCAACTTTTTAGGGCAAGATTATCTCAAAGGCATGGCGGCAGCTGCGAATTTTGCATGGGTGAATCGATCTTGCATGACATTTTGCGCAAGACAGGTAAAATTTTTCTTTATATTGAGAATTTAAATCAGTCGTTTTTCAAGATATTTTAAAGTCCTGATTTGATTTAATAACAGTGAAAATGCACGTCGAAGAAAAAATTTTAAAAAATTGTCAAATTCTATTGTAGGCTTTTGCAAAAGTGTTCAACACCTCACCAGATGATCTGGACATGCATGTTATATATGATGTCAGCCATAACATTGCTAAAATAGAGGAGCATCTTATAAATGGAAGGCCAAAACAACTGTGCGTGCATAGGAAGGGTTCAACACGTGCTTTCCCTCCTCATCATCCTCTCATTCCCGTAGATTACCAACTTACAGGTTTTTTCCTTTACTGATTTAATATTGAAAATAATAATGTTGAAAACAATTGTTCATGTGAGCAAACTAGGCAAGTTTAATCGGGGGAAGAAATAACTGTATTTTTTTTCCAATTAAGATCGAATAATTTCGCCTTAAACTGGGATACAGCCCTTCAGGCTTCTTTGTAAACCTGCCTTCTTAAAAAATGCAAATTTGATTGGGAATTCGAGCCCCTATTTAATTTAAATGCGTCAGCACCTAAACTCGAAAATTAGTTTTGTACATTTTACTAAAAGAGAAATTTCTCATAGCTATTGTTGATTCGAAAAAAGGATAGTGTTTAATTTCAAGCCTTCACGGTAAGGTTGTTGATTTTACGAAAAAAGGGTAGTGCTTAATTTCAAGCATTCACGGTAAATTTAAATTAATGTTCATGGAGGTACTCATTCTTTTATTACTCCAAAATCACTTTTTTTTAAAGGACAACCAGTACTAATTGGTGGTACGATGGGTACCTGTAGTTACGTTTTGACAGGCACTGAACAAGGGATGAATGAAACATTTGCTACTACTTGTCATGGAGCGGTAATCTTTTGTGAAAATAAGGACAAAATAAAATGCTACTATATACAGATAAATAATACATCTTTTTTCTTTTCTTTCGTAATTTAGTATAGTGAGCAAAAAATTACACGGAAAGTTCTGTTTTACTTATCTATTGTTGAGTTTTGAAATTTTTAGGGTAGGGCCTTGTCTCGTGCTAAATCGAGACGAAACATAGATTTTCAAGAAGTTTTGAACAAGATGCAGGCAATGGGTATATCAATTCGTGTGGCTTCTCCAAAACTGGTTATGGAAGAGGTAAGCTTACAAAAAAATAAGCAAGTGTATTTTTTGGACAGCAGTACGGACTAATATAAGAAATTGCAATCAACAGATTTTCTCATCAAGCTTCACTGTAAGTTTCTTGACCATGCCAATGTACGAGCATTCTAGGATCCGATATTCAGCATTCCACTCATCCTTTTTACTTGGTCCATTGGTTAGATTTTAACTGCACACCAAACATTAAACTGTGCATTAAAAATAGAAATGTCAGTACAAAATCTGGTTTCAAGAAAGAATTCATGTAAAATGAAAGAAGCACTTGTATGGGTTATATTACACTGTAAATCAAATAAAAATAAAAATAATTTGACGAAACTTGACGGTTTTAGGCGCCGGAATCATACAAAAATGTGACGGATGTAGTAAATACTTGTCATGAAGCTGGTATTAGCAAGAAATCTGTCAAATTACGTCCGATTGCTGTGATTAAAGGATGAGAGGACCATAATTTCTTCTAACATTATCTGTGTTTCCGTTGTTCCAATCGTTAATTGTGACTTTCAATCGAATCTTTTGTTATGCTGGGTAATTGTATGCATGAAACACTCCAAATTATCATTATCAACACCATAAAGCGTTACTACTGTCTTTATTTTCACCCCGTTCGCAGCCAAGAAATACAGCTGCATTTAGCTAAAAATGTCAGCTGAGATTTGTATATGTGATATTTATTGCTGAGTAACGAAAATAATAGTTTTATATAGCTATGTTAGCTATTTGTTTTCAGTGTTAATGTATATCATTTTGTTTTTTGCTATTTTAAATCGTTTTGTTTTAAGTTTCCTTTCGCTTTTCATCCGAATATATTTGACGGTCACTCGAAAAAATGACCAACCTTAATTTCACCTTTTTTTATGTAGTGGAGAAATATTACAAAGTAGAAATGAGAGAACTTTTTCATGACCTCACATAGAGTAGAGATTAATGGTGCAGATAGAAAACATGTAGGAAACAGCGGAAATAAGTTTTAATCCAACAATAACAAACAAAAAGCTTTCTAAAGTAAAGTCGTGCGCTGGGTAATTTAATAGTTGATAAGTGCTAATAGAAGTCCTAGTATTTTCTTAAATTTGAAGAACTATCATAAGTACATTACTCATACCTTGAACAGTCGAACACATTTCTTGAGGTATAAAAGTGCCACGTCTCAAAGTGCGAAATTGCAGAGTGCACGACGCCTCTCGAAGTCTAACTATTGCCACATTTCAGTCTTTGTGATGAGATTGGAAGTGGGTAGTCGTCTGACAGTCCAGCAAGGTCTTTGTTCTTGAAATTATTGATATCTTCAAGGGGTTGCTGGGCAGCCTCAGTCTTGGTAAACTGGAGGAGGAGGTGAGCAGTACAATTTCCTCTGCAGTTAAGCTCCTTGCACTTTCGTTAACCGAGTTTGCCTCTCTCTCCTATACACGGTTCTCTGTGCATTATTGCATGTCTTCGAATTTGCATATTTGCGTGCATCTTCCTTGTACCCTACAGTAGAGTTAAGAAAGTCATGTAGTGGTGGAATGGATGAATGCATGTAGCATAACATTTATATGAACGGGTGATAGTACAGTGTGTCATTGGGAGAACGGGGGACAGTGCAAGTAGTAGAGAGAGAGGAAGGAGTATGAATGTCGAGAAAGGACTTCCTACTTACTTACTTACCTACCTACCTAGAATTGAACTACTGCAGAGTAATGTGTATATGTGACTCTTCACTATTGCTCTTCCGAGGGCTACTGCTCTGGCGTCTTTCGAACAATGGCTTTTTAGACTTCATATATATCATATAGACTTGACCCTTCACGTTAAATGGTGTGTCTTTCTGTATTATGTATATAGTATAATTCAATTTATCGGAAAGATCTACGTCATCTTCTGGTAAATGCTTACTTTAGAACTCCATTACCACCTTGTTTTTAATGTATGATAAAGAAATCATAGACATGTAATGGGGTGAGATCAAAGTGTAATGAGTAGTAGTAATCTACAAAGTGGGTCTTTAACATTTGCTGTAAGCTGTAACCTTCATTATCCTGCTTCTCTCAACTAGGAAGTATAGTCACTTGCTGGTGTTAGTTACTAACACATGAAGTTAAAGCTTGTTTTTTTTTTTTTTTCTAGTTGTTGCTTCAAATAAATTGGGTTGGAGGTTATTAATAAGCAGTTTATTTAATTTTATCATCAAGAAATTAACTTGAGACTCCCAAATAATTCAAATCTGACCATCGTAACAAGTTTGTATTTTTTGTTGGTGTTAAAGATCATCAAATTTAGGATCGTATTTGAAGTGCACGATGCAAACGATGAAGCATTCACAAAACTATCAGGAATTGTATTATCTTTCGCAACATTTTTTTTTTTGAAGTCTTGCTGTTTACAGGGTGGAAGCGGTGACGAGTGGAATTATATTTGGGAATTGAGCAATGTTACTATGTATAGACGCGATGAAGATGGTAATCAAGAAAGCAGCGGGCAAGTCCCAGTACCTTTAACGACATGCGATCTCAGCACAGCTTCCACTCCTACGACAGTTTCATCTGCAGTATCACTTCAGGTTACCTTTTTCCATTCACTACTATAATTCGAAGGATCGTTCAAGCCCTAATATTGCTCTTGCTGAGATGCATTTTTTTGATGATTTTCACCTCATTTTCTCAGAGATTGATATGAACATACTGTCTATACTTTTTCATAATTCCTAATACAGAGATTACAAGTTGTCTGTACTTAATATGTTACAGAAACATCACAAAAATTTTTGGGAAGACAAATTTAATTTTAAATTATGCTGAGTTTTTTTATTTCAGTTTCTTTCAACACCCAGTGCAGTAATGGATGAGCCAAAGGAAAGCGGTCACTGTCATGTTTGCAATAAAATACAACCATATTCTGCTTTCGTTATGCTGCCATGTAAACACGGGTGGGATAAATTCTTTTAAAAACATAATTTATTTGAATACGTTCGGTCTTTTCTTTACCCAAAATATTTAAGCCGAAATTGTTTAATTATTAATTATGAATGGTACGAGTTTCTCTGTTCCAATTTTGGTTTTGTTTATAGAAACTTGATGTGACCGTATTCTTGAGCTAGCATATTCTACAAGCCTTTTCACTTTATCCAGCTGTATGATTCAAGGAAGTAAAGCTGAAAGTATAAATTGCAAGCACGTAATCACTTTCTTTAGAAAATTTTAATTCACGCATAATGTTTTATCCGATTATTTTACCTTTTCGGTTTTAATTTAAACCTCTTATTTTAAGTGAAATCGGTGAAGTTGTTGGGTTGAGTTTTGTGAAAAGTTTGTCCTGAAATTGAGTTCCGAATTTGCTTGGTCTTTATGCTGCGGCGAATTTGTAATGTTCAACTTATCTAGGTTTTCCCTTAGTTTTTCAGAAACTGTTGCTGAATGCATATATGGAATTTTCAGGTTCTGCGGTCAATGTATTTCATTTATCAGTCAAACTCATCTCTGCCCACTATGCTTGAGTAATGCCGTTGGTGGACTTCCATCTTCGTTGAGTAGCATCACTGCCAGTCCAAGTCCGCTTTTTCCAGAAACTCCATCACATTCCGGAGATGTCAAAAATCTTCCGCTCGATTCTTCTTTTTCAATATGGGATCCTCTTTCACCGAAATCGATTATCAAGCACGAATTACAACGCTCAGCTGTTTGTTGTTGATTTCGTGAGCTGAGATAGTTGAAATAATTCAAAAAACCAGAGTTTTTCAATTGTATCAGTAATGAATGATTCAAGTGTTGATCAGAAGTACGAAGAAGTGTTACCAACTAAATAATATTAGTAACGAAAATGAGTTCTGCTATAGTCTTCAAGACGACAGTTCTACCCTATAGTTGAAATATTATTTGGAAGATAGGAGCAGAAACAATTTCAACAACCAATTGATTTTTTCATTGCTATAGAACTTAGACATCAAATTTCACGGAATTGTTAACTTAAACTGTAGAAATTCGTCATGTAAAAATAAACAGAAGTAGTTATAGAAATGGGAAGCAAGGATTTTTAGGCGCAAACATCTGTTCATCAACGGACTAAATTGTTCAATCCTTCACAACAGTTGTCAGATACTTCGGCAGTACATTCGCTGCTTGATCCATCTTTACTGACTTTCCAAAGTGGTGCTGCAGCTGCTGCAGGATTATTTTCAGTACCTCCCCAATCACTTACTGCTACCTCAACAATAAACTGGCATACCGTTCCAAGTGCTGAAATTCAGCAGACATTCAACGTTAAATATCCTAAATGCACTATGTGCGCTGAGGGGAGCATTTTTATGAATTTCAGTGTGTTATTCTGAAAACCGAATCTACATTAAAACCTATTATGATTAGAAAATTCGTTTTGTAAGCCTTAGCAGTTTGGAGTAATGAGAATATATTCTTCTATGACCTATGTTTCTACACAAAAATGTGTAATTGTTTTCGAAACATGGTATATGAAAATTTATCTGTAAATAATTTAGTGTTTCGTTTCAGGATAATGCAATAGCAGCTGTACGTTGCATGCAGTGTGATGAAACATTATGTAGTGAGTGCGTTGTTGCACATTATCGCATGCGAGTTACTCGTGAACACAAAGTAGTGCGTATTGAGGCTTTTAAGGGCTTACCGCTACCTCAAGTAATATTTGCAATTGTCATTTAAATTCTCATTATACTCATTATATGCATACAATTATGCATATACCACGAATCGAAATCCAAACTTAAGCATTGTTTTACTTTTTTTATGATTTTAAAATCTTCTTTATTGTTTTCGGCGTATAGGAATTATTGGTTTGTAAGAACGAATTCGTGTTTAAGAATGATAGATGTAATGAAAATTGTTTAAGGCTTTAAGAATGAGAAGGATGATTGCTGTTTAAGGAAATTAAGAATTTAGGAATAATATAAGGATATCTTGATTCATTCTGATAGGAGCACAATTCAATTATAGCTCAATACGGCAACAGAACAAGTTAAATTCGACAATTTACTTGAAACAGAAACATGCAGCACTCATGATTCACCTGTAATTTGTACTTGTGTGACATGTGGAAGTGTACCACTTTGTAACGTATGCATTGGAGATCATTCAAAACACCAGCTTGTGCCCTATAGTGAATTGAGAACATCGCTGATGACATTGATTGCTAGTTCAAAGCATGATCAAAAGAATCTAGAAGATGCATTGGAAACTATACGTCGAATGTTAGAAAGGGTTGATGCTTCTGTACAGGTTGATCATTCCATATATGAAGGTTTAATTCTATTAGACTTAAATAAATATGATTGCATTTAATACAGTTAAACTTTTAAACTGATTGTTTTGAGACCAGCATCGTGTAAGTAACGCACGAGTATTTTGGAGTAGAATAAAAATTTTTTTCAGTCAGCAATCCGTGAACTACGATCAGCGATACATTTGCACATCAGTGCGCTGGAAGAACGGAAGCGCGATTTATTGCAACGTGTTGATACCATTCGCCAGACTAAGATTAGCACACTGAAAGCCCAAGGAGAAAGACTCGGACAACGTCATACAATTTTAACTGAAGCTCTAAAAGTAAACTTTTATGACCTTCGGTATTCTTTCTTTCCTTATGGTTCTAGAATGAGATTTAATTGTCGCTATAGATGATCCGTAACATATCATTCAGAACATTGGAATATATGGTTTTGAAACTTTTAGGTGGTTGATGAAGAAGTAAAAATTACGTTGCATTATTTAATTTATAACTATATTTTGTAGTAGAATTTACGCTTCTGTTGTTGGCAAAAAATCGGCAAATCACGAGTCAGCAAGTCATTATTCGAGATTAGGTTGTGTTAGTTTTTCTTTTAATTTTTGTAGGCAGCAGAAATTGTAACAGCAGTCGGTGAAGGGATGGAAATCCAACAGCGCAATTCATTTGATGCATTGCTTAATATTTTGCGGGAACCATGTTTATATTTGGTACCAAATGAAACTGATTTGATCAAATTTATTCCACCCGACAGTACTTTTATTTCAAAGTTCGAATTACATATCTTTGTTCTTAAATTCATATTTGGAGAGGCTGTTATTAAGAAAAGCAGGAGTTTGTTACTTTCAATAACTTCCGAAGTCTCGAACTTCTATGCCATATTTTATAAGTATAAGATTTCGATAGTTTTGGTTAATTCCTTACTTTTAAGTAATTTTCAGATTGCGTTCTTTGGGGGAGCTGGAAAGCGGTGCTTGTGCACAAACAACACACATTATTGGTGAAGGATATAAGCGTGCCATTCGTGATCGGTTATGCACCATTTTGGTACAAACTCGTGATGCATGCGGCGATGCTTGTACATCAACAAACCACCAGATGTCTGCTTCGTTGCTTAGTCCCGAGGGTCGTATCGTGGATATACGCATTGAGTAAAGTTCCTTTAAATCAGTTCTGTCGGAAGTTTCAAGTCAGAAAAGGGTTAAATGATCCACTATTAAATATCCGATGTGCATCTCATACTCTGATCATAATTTATTACAGAGAACAAGATGGAGGTATTTACTCATTAGCATACTTTCCAACCGATGAAGGCAATCATTTTCTAGATATCAAAATTCGAGGTGTTTCTATTTGGTACGTTCATTTTTTGTATTCAATTAGTCATTTTGTAGAAGTTATTGATTTTTTGGAATAAATAGTCTCATTCATCCTCCTTAAGTGCAAGAAAGTTTTTCATGATACTCAAGTCAGTATTCTTTTGTGTAATTGCCAAAATCATCTTCGTCTTCAATTCTAGTGGGTGCCCTACTGTAATTTATGCACGAAAAGGTCGAAATTATGGAACAATTGCTCGAACAGGGCCACTATTCTCATTTGGCTCGGAGGGTAGCGCTGATGGACAGTTTTGTCGACCGTGGGGAATTTGTTGCGACAATAAAGGGCGCATTCTAGTAGCGGACAGAAGCAACAACCGTATACAGGTAAATAAAAAAACTGTCGAACTATCAAATAAAGCTTTCAAAACTTGCATATGTATATAGTAAGAAATTAATTGTTTTTTTACACTCTAATATAAATGAAATTTCAGATTTTTGATAAAGAAGGTAACTTTCTACATAAATTCGGTTCTCCAGGAACTCGTCCAGGACAGTTCGATCGGCCGGCAGGCATTGCAGTTAACTCTATGGCTAGTTTTCTTAAATCTTGTTTTATGTAATGATTTTTTTTTTTTTTGTCATGATTTGGGGCCAACTCGTTAAATGTTTTCAAAGGTGGAGATCTAAATAGTGGTTGTCATATGTTTTTATATGATGATGTGTAGTTGTGCAGTTGCTAATATCTTAATCTTTATTAGTATGAAGACATAAATTTGATTATCAAATAAAACCTTTTTAAATTTCTAGATAATTGATACATCTTTTTAATTTGTTTTTAACTGCTTAAATGAATTTCAGAATGAAATAGTTGTAGCTGACAAAGATAATCATCGCGTGCAAGTATTCAGTGAACGTGGAGATTTTCTGCTAAAATTTGGTGAACGTGGTCGAACTCCTGGTCTTTTCAATTATCCATGGGGGGTCGCAGTAAATTCATTTAATCAGATTGCGGTTTCGGATACTAGAAATCATCGTGTGCAAGTCAGCTCCCAAATTTTTTATTAACTTTTATTTTCAAGATTATCATCCACCCATCTTCATAATATTGCAGATGTTTTCACCGCAAGGGCATTTTATTCGTAAATTTGGCTTTGACAGTTCACTCTATAACTACAAGAACTTTGATTCACCTCGTGGCGTTTGCTATTTGCATGATGGCCAACTGGTTATTACGTATGTTTAGTCGGCGCATATCTGCAGACATTTAAAATTGATAGTGAGCTAGCGATGTAAAAATATTCTGGGATGTTTCGAGTTTTTTAGATACCTTTAGAAAATATTGTATTTGTTTAAACTACTAGATAATCCTAATACTGCTAAGCAGAATACTACGGGTACTAAATTCTTAAATATTTGCTGATAGATTTTTCGTTTCGTTCTTAAAATTTTGAAACTTCGTTTTTTATTTATTGTTAAATTCTAGTGACTTCAATAATCATCGTCTAGTAATGATGTCATCGCGTGGTACAGTTGATATGAAAATGTATGGCGGCGAAGGTGACAGTGAAGGTTCATTTTGTCGCCCCCAGGGCATAACCACAGATAACGAAGGACATATTCTCGTTTGCGATTCGCGTAATAATCGAATTCAGGTCGAGTCTTTTTAATTTAAAAAAAATAAGTTTGTGGGAGTGTTAAACTTGGAAATGGAATGCAGTGCATTGCACTATTTGGTAATGTTAAATTTTTTAGGTGTTAAACCTGGATGGAATGCAATGCGTTGCATCATTTGGTGGTGCAGGACTGGGACCTACACTGGCAAGTGGAGTGGGTAACGCGAGTGGCGGAGAAAGTACTATAACACCATTAGCCAGTATGCCAGCAACACACACTACTGTAAAAACATCATCTGCTCAGCTGCCCACATCTACAAATGTGCCGAAACATTTAGTACTTGATCGTCCTACTGACTTATGTGTTTCACCAGATGGCTTAATTTATGTTGTAGACTTCGGTAGTAGCTGTATTCGTGTCTATTAGATAAGCATTTCAGTCAATTCTAAATTGAGTCTGTTTTTCGATTATTGGTTCGAAGATTTTAGGATTTGAAAGACTTCGAAATTCCTCCTACTTAAACTTTCAGTTGCATAACTTCACTGCACTGTTTGGTTGCTTTACTATTTAAAAATATTCTTCACCGCTCAGTTTTTTTTTTTTTTTGATTATATAAAAGCTTCTCAATTATTGGAGAAAATCTGTGGTATGATCGCTGTATACAATTTTAATGATACAACTGTATGCGTCTCTGTTTATTTTTCTTCCTCCTCTTTGTTTTTTGTTAGTTTGTTTTTTCTAAATTTTCACTTCTACCTCCGGTTTTTCTTTCCAAATTGAAATAAGTTGTCAGATTATTTGTGATTGTTCTTAATCTAATCTAACATTGCCTTTTTTAGAATGTTCCTTTATTCAAATTATTAACTGTTGGGAACATTTGGAAAAATTGCAATTGGATTTATGGTTCATTCAGATGATTCTGCTCAGATTGGTATTGAAACGATTGCTCGGGCTGGAGCACAGAATTAATATGTGGTGAGTTATTCCTCTCAGCCGGTTCGGAACCCATTTTCTTTAATGATACAAAACTGATGCGAAGAAAGCGCCTATTTGGTAAACCGAATGCATTTTAAACAATATTTTTTAAAAAGTAAATCTTGTATCTACAAAAAAATCTAAATAAAATGGGATTTTTAGACTTTCATTATCCTACATAAAGCTATTCCGGTTGCAGTTTTTCGGTTGTTTTTTATATATAGTACTGCACTTGCGCTTAAAAAATCTCTCTCTCTTGTGCCCTGAAGAGGGCTTTTAAGAAACAACTCTCTAGCTAATAACTTTGCTAATAGTTCCCGTAAAAATATTAAATCGTTTGACGTTTTTTAATGTGGGAGTTGTCCTCCTGACTACTATTGATTAAACTGATAACAGTATATATAGTCAAGGACAACGAAAGTTTAAGAGCAATGTGACAGGCAACATAAGAGGAGTTAAAGATTTTTCTGGCATAAGTGCATTCAAATTTTTTGTGTTCGTTTTTGCGAGTTTCCTCAGTCTCTGCTCTTAATTAAATAGTTAGATATGAATCTGTTGGGCGTTGATATCTGTACTGTAAACTCCAAATGGTGTGTGTGTGTGTGTGTATGTATGTATGTATGTATGTGTGTATGCCTCATTTCTGGATCGTTCGTGCAAGATTTCCTCCCTCCTCAATTCATATACTCAATGTGTTGCAGTCTATCCTACCTCGCGTAATTGATCATTAAAAAAATGGTATTTTTTTTTCTTTGCTTGTATTCTTTGCTATTTCTATGCCCTTTATATGTAGCTTAGTTGTGTACATGTGGTACTACTGATGATTCGAAACTTCTAGATTTTCTCGAGGAGGGAACAGCGTTCGTTGAATTTAGAGCAGAAGTTGTGCAAATAATAGGGCTTTTGGTTTTTCTTGTTATCATAGATCATCAATCATTAGGAAGTAGGTAATGTGAATAGAATGGATGAATATTTTGTGGTCTTGTTTAATTCTGTCGAGGAACATCAAAATTAGGAATTTATTATTTTTGCCAAATTTGAATGCTTAAATTCGATTGCCACTCACTCTAGTATAGTTATCGTCACTGATGAGCCTTCAGTTGAAATTCTACTACATGTCTTATCCTTTCTCCATGTTCTTTCTTCGTATTGTTTTCCTCTCGACTTTATTGTTATTTTTATTGTATAATCTTCATTTCAGATTACACAATCAAAATGGTTCATGATAAATAGGTTTCTTTGTTATTTGCAGTGAACTTTGAAAGTTTTGCATGTTCTACCTTTATTCATTATTCGGTAATCAAAGGGTTCGCTTACCTTATTCGATCGTTTGCTTATTTGTTTTCATAAAATTTGTTTTGTTAAAAGATTTTAATACTAAAACTTTGTAAAAATTCATTCTCTTTATTTTATTACTTTATTATTATCGCGACTAGCGGCAAAAAGATAGTACCAAGTTATCACAGATAAGAATTTCCTTTCTGTTCAGTTTATGTACTTTATTCACTTTCTCTTGACGGCCTTGTTGTTAATCGTTGCATTTTTCTCTATCTTTTCGATAGGAGTGATCTTTTATGATGGAATTTTGCTACATGAGTTGCTCGGCGTTTGAAAATCTTTTATTAAATGAAGGATCTTGACATTTTGGTCTCTTTTTTTGCTGGCGGATTTTAGACTTTGATTAGTGTAGTAATAATGATGCTATCGAACTTTTGATTCTTCTGTAGAGTTTACTTACGATTGTGAGATTCATTGGTTTATCAGGATATTAATTTATGAGATGTCTGGCATTCATGATTTCCTAGGCCTTTGATTCAGTAATTTTAATTATATATAAAACCTCATTATTTCGGCACCCTTAGCTGTCCTCTGATTGTTCCAACTACCTCTAAAAATTGCACTTTGTTTCAATTCTTCACCTCAACATCATGATGACAAACTCATGTAACGAGATCTTCACCTTCGAGAGTTTACAGTATCATTAAAGAAACGTTTAAGCGCTTCCATATGTTTGTTGCTTCATTTAACTTTCTACGTGATATGGTGTGTATTTCTATTTGACTTACAGTGACACATCGGTTCGCAATTATCTGTTGTCATTTGTCACCTTTGTTATACTTTAGGGCGGGTGCAATCCATAAGTGCCGAAACGACTAAATTCATTTCTTTTTACTGCCATTCAGATTTATGTAAATCGTCACGGGTCATTATCAGCTCTATTTGTTCGATTGAATTCTAAGATCATTCCAAGAAAGTGTGAAGCTTTCATTTCTAAAACTAAAGTGCTGAGCTACTTCCTGGATTACAATATTCTCAACTGACATTTTGCTCGGCCTTGGCGTTATCAATTGGTAAACGGGATTTGAAATTCTTTGATATCAGGATTGAGAAGGGAAACATATAATAAGTTAGCCAACGCATTTTGATGTCCAAATTGAGTGGAAATTCAGTGTCTGTTCAAGAAGGGAGCAAGTAGGCGAGTTTTCGGTTTTTAGCAATAGAATCGCTTGAGATTTCCAAAATTTTGATGCTTGACTTTGGCGCTAATTCCTTATAAAATAATTTTTTTAGAGTTTCCTGAATCTGTAAGCTATTCTCAATATTTTCCTTGCATTTTTTTTGCTGATAAAAAAAAAAGAAAAGAAAACTTTAATTGAACAGTTATCATTTTGCCGAATTTTGTTTTGAATTTTCCGATCATTTCGTTTTCCTATACATTATTATGTTCAAAAATTTTCCATACAGTCTTAATTGTGATATTTCGAATCGACAAGATGGGAAGAGTGTGTCAACGAATTGTTTCTTATAATCGTGCCTTTCTGCAGAAGGCTTTAGAATAATCCTGAATACGTGCTTCACTGACATATATATACCGATGTATTTTATGTTTATTTCGACAATATCAGGTGTTTCGATTGATTTTTGCATAAGTTTGGGGGCTGTTAGCTTTTCCTTTATTCAGTTTTTATACTCAAATTTAAGATGTTAAAGTTTAATACCATTTAATAATGCCACTTTAACAATTAGTTGACATGCTGCTTTGTCGGTTTCATGGCTTTTGTTAATCGACCAGCTAGCTATACATTTCTTTGCAGTTCTGCAAAAGAACGTTAAAATTGTTCAGAACAATCGTTATCTAAGTTGTTCATTGGTCTAGAGTACTTATAAATTATCCTGGTATTGTTTCCTGATACCTTTTCACAAAGTCATTAGGCAGTTCTTAATGAGAAAATGAGCCAATGACACTATTACGTTATAGAAAACATCAATGCCAAAAATGCCATTGTTTCTGCGAGTGTAAATAAGACGCCATAGCTGAATGATCAAGTGCGATTTAAATTCTTAAATTATTTCCTGATATATCAGTATTTGCGATTTAGCAGTACATGAGACAGACAATAAATCGAAATATAGTTTCAGAAGAACACAGGCTAAAAATAACTGCATTACTCATTCTAATGGTAGACATTCCTTATAGGTATAACTGTATTCTATAATTACTCGGTGTAGTCTTTAAGATCATTTGTGACAAGTTGTCCTTATTTCTCTTTCCTGGTAAAAACTGCTTCATTTGTCGATTTTCTGGTATTTATGATATTGCTTCTTATTCTGCCTCAAGAACATTGTTCATTTATCATCAACTATTTGTTACTTCGTATAGTAGAGTCAATGAACCTCTGCATTTTGTAAATTCTCCGCTTGTTGTTTTCCTTCCTTTTTTGTTTTTTGCTAACAAAGTTTATTTGGCAAATAAAATTGTTTGATGTTGTTAAAAAGATATATTACATATGTTTATTGGTTCATTTTACTCCAAATGCATCCCTTCATCAAGCCATGTGAATTCTGCCGGATCGTATATCCGTGATAGTTCAGTATCAAATGATACATGGATTTTCGAACTAAAAATTGTTCCTTTTTTGAGATGAAAGATTTAAATGGTACTCTCACTAAGCCAGGTTTGGATCTTTGTAAGATAGGCCAAAAATAGAATGTGATTGATGGTTGAATGTTAAAAGATTAAGAATTTTAATTCGTTTTCTATACGAAATGGAGTTTGTTGGCGATTATTTGTTAGTTAACGGATTGGTTTGATTATTCTTCCTCCCTGGAGATTACTTCAGTAGCATTCTTAGTATTCGGGGTTCGTGGTAAATCTGGAATTGCATCCGGGGATTACGGGATAGCTTCGGCGATTATGGGATAGCTTTGTATCCATCTGATCTCAATTGAAGAAGAAAGCAATAATAGTAAATTTATTGAAATTATGATGGACAGCGAAAGAGGGATTAGTGAGTGATGGAAGGATGGGCTGATGGATGAATACAGATTCTGTCTATTTTATCGATGAGAGTGATCAGTAGAGAGCTATTTTTATCTTTCCACTGATCGCTCTACCAATCGATCGGTCAATTAGACCCATTTGCGGCAAACATTAAACAAAGAAATGATTCCCTCTAGTCTATTATTGATGGACTGATGGAATCATGACCGCTTATCTCAGTATATCCCAACAAATAACAGCCGAGTTATTTGTCCCATTCAGAAGATGAAGAGGATACTGTAGTTTGTGTTTACTAGAATATCAGGGTGAAAGTGATCTACCAGTAGTAAGAGCTGAAAAAGTTGAAAGATGGTTCCTTGTCAATTCCCTTTCTATGACAGTATCGACGAGGACACAGAAAAAAGAGTGAAACACGCAGACACTCATTAATTTTTGTTGAATTTCTTATCTCATTGCAATGTACAAGTGAAATAAACACTAAGAATAGCGAAGTCTATTTTATTATAATTTTGATTTTTGCAAATTATTTATGAAATGTATATTTTAGTTCAGATTAAAAGCATAAAATTTCAATTTACCTCTTGTTTTCTATTTCCTTCTTCTATCAGTTTCACTTCTTTTAAAGCTCATTTTAACCTTTTAATTAAACTTTTTGCTCATATATTGAGGAAGTAATTAGAAATTTGCGATTTTTTTGTGAAATATATAAACTCTATTTCGCATAATTCCTTTATTCAAAGCAATGATAATAGCAAGTAGGGATTGTGGTGATACAGAATTAAAATTAACGATAGTGCTTTGTGACGACAATAGATGACAGTTAAACTCGACATGTACGGGGTCACTCACTCGATTTGTTTACTGATACGTGCTGCTAAATGACTCCTTACTGATTAGGTCATTACCATGAATTTACAACACATTCGGTTCATTTGATGATAGAGAGGATCGAGAAAATGTTGACAGTTCTATCTCCTGAAGAAAACGACATTATTTGTCGGTAACTGTACTATACTACTGCAGTAATAATAGCTCGAAGAATAATAGTTTAAAGTGAGAAGAAGAGAAATCTACTTTATCATTTAAGGTAGTCTCCATATCTGTTGGTCCCATCTTGTCCATTAATTCAAACCTATCCAAAAGATTTTTATTACATTATTATTACTGTTTTGGCGAGGAAGGCCAATTCAATAGTATAATAAGATTTTTAATCATTTCGAATGTTTTGCAGAGAAAAAGGAGCTCAAAAAAAGATCTAAAAACTCTAAAAAAATTCCTTTCTATTGTTTCATAATCGATTCCATTAAATTTCAGAAAAACTCCAAGACATTCTCATTTCATAAAGATGTAACAGAAATCAAAGGAAGAAAAAAATTGATGGATTACGTTTTTGCGCAAACCCACACACTACAAAAAGTAAAGAAATGCAGACGGCGACTGTGAAAAAGATTTCTACCTGTCAATTTCAGTTAACTGATTCAAGAGTGATTTACTGCAGATCTTGAGTTGTGTCATCCCGAAGTACCCAGCTCTATTCGATGTTAACAGAGAAAACGAAAAACGACGAAACAGAAAATATACGAATTAATATATGTAAATATGAATAATGTTTCTGTGTTGCAGTGGCTAAAGATTGGTAAGAAAGGAGAGATGACAAAATGTTGACAGATTGTGGCGATATGCATTCTTTTTGAAGAAATGAAGAACTAGTTACTGTTAAGAAGAATGAAGGAGAACGAGTGCTTGATGAAGCACTCAATGATACAGCTGTGGCAGGTAAAAAAGTAAGGAAAAAGGAATAAACCGCATGAAGGCATTTCAAAAACAAGTCGTTTTTGCATTTTGTAAAGTTATTTTCGGTACTTCCTTTCAAGTATTTCAAAATTTAATAAATCATTAAAAATATGAATAAAAGAAAAGCTCTATGTTGAAGCTTGAAGCTTCTTTCCAGAGAAATCTTTTATAAAATTTGTCGAAATCATGAGTGGCTAAAATTCTCTTTAATTTTTACAGTTTATGATAAACTTGATTGTTGCTTGGCACATGTACGATGTTTTTTGTATTTTATAAAATATTGATGTGCATTTTTAAATAACAGTTTTTTGCAGGTATAAATGCAGCTCTAAGTAGAAGAATTTTAATATCATCTTTGAACTTAGTGAATTGCTCATTTATAAAATAATGGCTTCAATTCATGGTATTTTCATGATAACAGTCTAATAATTTTTACAGTTTATGGGTTTAGATCTCGATGTATTTGGAAATTATGGAAATATTTTTGCTTGTGGAAGCAAAAATATTTAGCTATCAAATATTATGGTCTTTAGTTTAACCTCTGAAAATAAGATGAGCATTTGTATAACTTTAAGAGGTTACTGACTGTTGACTGTTGGCCGAATCACTACATCGATTTAACTTGATAGGAAATCGTATAGTTACAGTGTGAAGGCAATTGAAGTTGTCTATTCTCGGCAAGTTTGTCTGTGTTTGGAGATATCATCAAGGTCATTTATGTGACAACAGATTCGGACTAAAGTAAATCACTGATAAGCTCGTTTTCTTCCATCCCTATCGCTGCTGCTGCTTCTATGTCCAACTTCCTTCCCATCTTCGGTCATTACACCAACCTCTGTCCACTTGTCGATCTTTGTTCATCCGTCCTTTGGTTAGTCAGTCTATCTACTTGTCCTGCACCATCTTTAACAGCAATTGCTCAATGACAGCATTACCTCGAGAATGTAGTATGATAGGGCGTGGCTGATGACGACCTTCAATTGGTTAATTGCTTTTTGAATACATCACGATGATGTGGAAGGGAAGAGGAAGGAGTGTTTGTGTATACATGGTGTTGCTCTGCTCCTGTATCGGTTCCGGTGTCCGTGTATCTTCTTCAGTTTGTAGTCAATGATAAGTGTATGCATGCTTCTATCTGTCTCTGTGCATCCCCACCTCACAAAAGACGGACACTTGTTTCACTCATATTCTGTTATTTTCATCATTATTACTATTATCACTTATTTTAACAATATGCGATGGTTCCTTTTCATCATTCATTTGATAGGTTATTGGCTCTTGTTGCTTAATTTAAACTTACCTAAATCACATATCTCCAAATAATTATAAGATGTACAGTTAAGGCAAGAGGCGTCTTACAATCTCAAACTCCTACTATTAAACATACCTTTACGAAGTTCGTTTCATTCTCTATTATCAACTGTAATATGACCAAATAAAAATTCGGAGTTATTTCTTCAGTTTCTTTAGATAAAGTTACTGGCCTGAAATTTTCGTCTTATGAGTAATCATAATTATAAACTGTTTACAAATGAGAATGTATCTGCTTCTGTTCCTTTTGAATGCTATTAATAACCTGCTGTTTTGTTTTATGGAAAAAAAATAATTTTGATTACCAGCTGTTGAAATCAAACAAAAGTCTATTTATCTTCATTTTCTTTAGCAACATGTCTGGCTCAAGTATTGCAACTTTACTTTGGTTATCTAGCTGTATGAGTAAGTTACTGGCTTCATAAAGCTAGGTTACCAAAGCTAAGCACAATACAACAATTCCTCGGCCTCATTTTTTTTCCTATCTTTCAAATAAAGATAAATGTTGTTCTTAAAAGGATAGCATTCTAAGAACCTATGTGTTCTTATCATTTGTCATTCGCTAACTACGGTCTTGTTTTGTTTTTCAATGATTTTCTCGCTTGGTCAATATTCTCTCATTTTTGTGTACCTTGTAATAATAAAGATTTTTCCATAACATTGAACATCATGAAGCATTATTCCAAGCATCGCTGTTTAAATTGGTCAAACTGCAATATTTCAAATTATTTACGTCTTTGCATTCTATTAAAAAGGTTTGAAGAAATGCAGTTTATTTTACGATTCATTTTCAATTTTTTGAGTATAATGAAAATTACCCACATGAAATGGGGGCGCTTTTTATGATGATGGTGACTTTTATGATGATGTTTCAGAGCTGATAAATCATTTCATTTATTTTACTGGAAGTTTCATTTGTGAGCATTATTTCTTGTCGCTGACTCATCGACTTATCTCAGATGCTTGAATAAAAGTTACGGAGGCTTTCATTGAAGATCTTTTTACACAAGGAATTTTCTCTTCTTGAATGATTGAAATCCTTCTTTTCAGGCATATATACAATCTGAAGTGGAATGTATAGGAATTTATATTGAAGAAAATTTTAAGTAATTTGGTTCATTAACTGATCTATAATTTATGGAAAGAAATGTCTATTCAAGTTGGAATTGTCAATTCCAAATCTGATTGCTGCACTATATTTGCATATATTTGTCCGTTTTGATCCCAAGTGGGCAATTTTTTCATTTCTGTAGACTGTTTGTTAATACTTAGGACAATGACTTGCTGTTACTGTAAAAAGCAGCTCACATTTTATCTGTTCTTAAAGGTCATATGTTAGAACACTTACATTCCATGCATTTGTTTTTTATTGCCATTTCTTCATAAAGTTATTTACACTTTTGAAGGCTAATTGAGAGAGCATTTCTATATCCTCTTCACTTTTACGTAATTCTACGTGGATTAAAATCCCGTTTATCTATGTTTTCTTTCATTTCTGATTCAAAATTGAAAAGAAATATATGAGTAAACTTCGAGGAGATTGTTCATTCTGACAGTTAGTTCTTTAATTTAATAATAAGTTTTACAGGAATAATTATAAGTGATTACTGGGATATCTACCTCAGTAATGGAAGAATAAGTTATTATGAAACAGGAGCTCCTTCAGTTTTATCCTTCTTTCTTATTTATGCACAGTCACTTGCTAAGACAAATCACATATAATTAGTATATTATAAAAATGTTTCTTTGCTATGTTAAAAAAAAGTAATAGCTGATTTCTCATGAAATGACATACTGTTTACTTTTATCAAATACATCCAGGAAGAGTGTCAGTTATTTCTCCAACTGATAGACACAGCACGTGGTGAGCAAGTGCGATGATCAATTTTTTACTTCAAAACATTCTACCACATTTATTATGATGAACTTGTTTTTTGAAATTTTGAACTGCCATCAGGTAAAGTGTGCAAAATAGCTTTTTGGCTTTCACATTTTTTGGTATGCTCATATAATGGTTGTACTGTACATGACACTGACTAGCTAAATGACAATTTTCATTTATTGATTCATCTTTTATTTGGAATTTTTATCTTTTTGGTTTGAGGTATTTCCCCTTTATTTCAATAAGTATTTATTTTGTGTTCTTATTTTCCAGTTTACTTTGCATAAAAATAGTTGCAACTTTAATACCTAATCACTTCATGGCGATTAATGACTAATGTAGTATCAGATATGCCTGGAGTGTTTAAAGGCATTCACGGTTCTCAATTCAATTTCAATATTATTCATTTCAATTTCCAGATCGAAATTGGGGAAAATTTGTTCTGTATTGTCAAGCAAGCCTTCATAAATTATATTATATCTCAACATAGAAGATTTCGTATTTTTCAAAGCATGAATATTTTTCCTTTTTATCTACTAACAATTTCTCTTCCTATTCTTCTGCTAATCAAATAGAAAATCAAAAAAACTTTGAAGGAAAATTTTATTCCAAATTAGTATTTTTTTGCGAAGTTTCAGTAAAACTGAATTTTAGTCTTTTAGCCGGAAATGTAAGCTTACTCTTTCAAATATTCGCCGCAGTGGTTTCATTCTAGAATCGACGCAAACAAACTTCAGAAAATTAAATCAGAGCATTAACTTAGTGACCGTTCTATATCACTTGCTTCTTTTCTTATTTACAAGCACACTAATGAAAGAAATGATCAATTCACTTGTATGTTAACGAATTATAACGAGCACTGAAGCGTTATTGTCAAAAATAGCGGTTTTGAATTTTGAGCTTAAATTTTTTTTTACAAGTTCAAAACTGTTTTCAAAAATATGAACCAAAAATAATAAATTTCCTCATCCTTTACTCATGGTTTCATTAAAAATTTGCATTTGCCACCCATACGATAATCGAATGATGTGTAATCAAAAGTCACTCTAACTCGAAGTTCTGCTCTGAATCCTAGGATGAATAGCTGAAGTTTACTGAGTGATAATAAAGATCCGTTTCGCCATTATAGTTATCAATTCAATGAAGAAATGCGATTTTCGACATATGATATCGAGATCGGTGATTGGAACAGAATAGTGATGAATATTATTTTGTATATGGTAATTTCAGCATAACATGTGACAGAAAAATCTTTGATTCCTTTTCCAACATTCCTCATTTTCCCTGTGTTTATCGTGTATTCTACTTATAAATGTTCAATAAAAAAGCCGAAATAATCGAATTTCATCATTTAGAATCGGATAAAAACTGTCATTGATTTCAAATTTATACTGAAACATCAGCTAAAGGTTTTATGTCGAATAGTTTTGTAATTACAATTGACTATAACTTTAGAATCGGAATCTGAAAACTTTGAAAACGCCATTGATCATGAGGATTTTGTCCGAGGAACCACTGACTAATCAAAGATAATGTTTGAAAAAGGATTTTCTTCCGTCAGTCTCTTGCTTCCTTAAGTTTTTGTAATATAAGCTTAATCGATTAGGCGGTAATGTATTATATATTTACTTGGATCGATGATTTAATTCTAGAAAAAATATTTTGGACACAAAAAATAAAGTGACCTCTAACATAGAATATCTAAAAGCACTTCAGTCAGAACTAGGCGGGGATGTTTTAGGATGAATATTCGTCCGAATCCATTTAAATAAGATAAAAATATGCCATGAAGGTGATGAAAAATAAACAAATTAGGAAAGCGTAAAGCGAAACAACATGGCTAAAGTTCGAATTCTAAGTCTGAGACGCACAATGGATTTGGATTTTCAATCCGCGTAACGTGTTGGCCGCGTTTCTAAACAGTTCTGATAGATGAGGTGACGTGATCAGGGAGGTGATAGGTTTGGCGACATTCGGTGATAGATTAGGGTTCATGGCAAATAAGGATGATGGTATGGACTGAGAGATATTATAGAAGAGCATGATCTGTGTGAGGGAACGGTGATTAATGAAGAGTCATGGATAGTAGTGCTGGTGTAATTCGTTTAAAGTGTGTAGCCGATGGAGTAATGTATGCAAATTACACTGGTTACAATATGGTTGAAATTCAAGAGAAAATTCACCTACGGTGTGCTTGTCTACTATTAAGATAACATAATGTTTATTATATGTAGAATCTATTTGTTTATCCTTTTTGTGCGCTGGTACAAATATCGATTACTGGTAGTAATTAATAGCTTATCACAGATGAGTTTTTGGGGTAATCTGCAGAGACATGATAATTCAAAACGGAATAAGAGTCCTGTTGAGATGTTGAGCGTGGTTGAACGGAATAATGTTAAAGCGGAATCATCAAATGTTCCACGACTGAATATGAATCATGGATTTATCAAAAGTATTGTGAGGAATCAAATTGACAGGTTATGGCTTTCTGCAGACATTATTAGTCTGTCAGCAGCATTATTGGGAAGAAATGTCATGTCATACATTCGTCACATTGCAGTCTGCAAGACATTAGTCAGTGTTTGCATCATGCAGACTATACCGTGCGGTCTAAGAAAATCTTTCGGAATTAGTATTGATGACATTCTTAAGAATGTTTAGATATATTTTACGATATCTATTTTTTTTTTTAACTCAGTTCCTTTATTTAGGGATGAATATGATAAATTGGTATCAGAAAGGAGTGTCGCAACGTCATATCGCCATCTAGGTGATTTCTTGCTCTTCCTTTTTTATGGTTCTTTACTGATTTTTAAACCTTAGGATGAGTGCTTTATCTTTCTAGTTTATCGAAGCCAAGACGTGAAAGAAAGTGGGAGAGAAGGAAAAAAATAAGTAAACTGAGGTGGGAATACACATACTACAAAAATTAGTATTGCTATCCTGAGAATTAAAAATTTTAAGTTTTATGAACTCTTCAAGTTTTACGAACTCATTTTCAGAATATGAAGTTATTCCGCTTCATTAATCATGAGGATAAAGAAATTATATTTTTCTATGTTTGGAAATATTTTTGTGTCTTTATCTCTTCTTTTGTCCATTTACTTGCAGAGAGATCTAGGAAAACATGTGATCCACTGCTGCTGTATATACCCCCTCATCTACGTAGTATTAATGTGAAAACCACGAAGAATGAAGAAGTAAGGAAGTCTTATTTCTTACATTATTGTGTATAAATAAGTAGATAAACACAAGATTTTTTTGATTGTGCATCTACACAAAATAAATATGTATATGTAACAGTTGCAGAATTCTAATGTAAAAAATGAGAAAGAAAAACTGCGTAAGGAAATTAGACAGCGTCTAATGGAACAGATGGCAAAAGAAGAACATGAAAGATTACAAATGACAGCAGAAACAATGATTCCTAGTTCGGTTTTAGTAAAGCGAAATGCAGACACAAAAAGACATTCAGATCCTGCTACTATTACTGCAACTCCTGTGCGAAATGAACCGCTCTTCAAGCTTAATATTCGTGGTCAAGATGGTAATCCAGTTGAGCAAATTGTACATGCGGTATTTTTCTCTTCAATTTGTTGGGAGTTCCCGCATTATAAATCCATATTCATTTGCACGTTCTCATATAGTTAACAATGCTCAAATTTTTTTCACTTATCAGAATGCAAGTTATATATCAGTAACTGTTATTACTTAACAGTAACTGCTGTTACTTATCACAGGAGAAGTTATTGTTCTTACAGAATGATAACAGCGCACGCGTTGCCAAAGCTTTAACACAACAGCTTGAACTTACTGATAATCAGTGCCGTTTGCTACGAAATCGAATTGAAGAAGAATTGGAAAAACGTTTGGCTATTTGAAGCCTCTGAAGCCAGTGCTTTTTCAAAATTCGGGAACTTTCGAATCAGTATCACAGTAATTGTAATTTGTTTGCTTGTTTTAATGTTTGATTTAAAAAAAAAAAAGACTTGTTTAGCGGTAACATAGATCTTGAACCGACTTGCACAACATAAATTATAAATCAGTTTCTGAAGCAAAGTGGAGCAACTTCCATCAGTTTTGAATCAACTTAATAGAACTTGACAAGTTGGATTACTGAATACTTTTTCAGTTTTACGTTGATAGAAAAAATTGTATTTATGGGCAGATTTCATTATACATATATGTAGCAGCCATTCTTATGGTATTTTATGGTGCTTATTTTCAAAATTTTTCAGTTCTATTTGAAATCTTGTAACTAAATTCTTTGCTCACGGCTTTAAGTTTGTTTGCTTCAAATTTTCGGAAAAATAGGTGACATGTTGAAATTGCTATAATCGTTCTGCTTGTAATGGGGGTCATTTGTGAATCTGTGCAGTTTAATTTAAACATGAGACAAGCGTTGTTCTTTGTAGGTTGAGAAAGGAACGTAACAGCACGCTAGGATGACTTGAAGCCATAAAGAGTTCTTATTAAATTGTTTTTGTAAATAAATTTTGCAGTTATATGTTAATCGGTAAATAAATGTCGTGATTCTGCCTAATATTTACAGTTTTTATGGGCCTTGACGCCTTTTTCAAAATCGTTTTACAACAGGTGCGTTTTTTTTTTTTGGCTCTATAACCCTTTATCTTACCAGCATATTGCTTGCTACACTTTTTTAGTTGATGCAATAAATTGTTTTGTTTTGAATTGTATCAGAGTTACACATTGGTCCGTTCTACGACTGTGTTATATCATGCAACAAATTTCTAAGGACCGTGAAGGATGAAAATAGCATACTTTCAAGATCTTCAGAAGTCAGAGATCTTTGTGGTTTTGGAACTGGAGGGAAACTAAACATAAATATATGGAATTTTTTAAAAAAATATATAAAAGGATTGAGTTTTTCTTTTCTGAAAATTTCAAATTAACGTTAATTTGTTGGCGAAATAAAATGTTATGCTACTGATTTATGAATGAGTTGAATTAGTAAGGGAATTTTAGAATTTACAGGATTTGAAGGTATGTTTGGATGTTGTTAAAATTCGGTGTAAGGGCATGGTTTCTTACTACTCGTACATCATCATCTGCATCGTCGAGGAGATTGACCAAACGACCAATTATTCCAGATAGAACTAGTCGAGGAGGCGAGGTAATTACTTCAGATATCCCGAAACATTGTTGCTGATTTCTGTTATTAGTTCACTTTTCCATGTTTCACAAAATTTTTTTTTTTGAGGCAAAGTCGTTTGTTGATCAGAAGAGAATAAATTGTAAAGCTGGTAATGGTGGTGATGGCATGGTTTCATTTCGCCGTGAAGCAGGTGTCATGTTCGGGGGTCCGGATGGTGGTGATGGAGGAAATGGTGGACATATTATCTTCGAAGGTTATTTCATACATGAAGGTCACTAAAACTTCATTATTTTTTACACCAGTAACTGTGACTTGAAAATAATATTTTCAGTAGACCCATGTGTTAAAGATCTTTCTCGCATACCAACTATGATAAAAGCGATGAATGGTGAAGGTGGTCATCCAAAAAGTTGCCATGGGAAAAGTGCTCATCATAAAATAATTAAAGTACCTGTGGGAACCGTATTCAAAGAACCGCACACTGACAAAGTAACTTCCGGTGGTTTTGTTATCTACATTTTTCAATCTTTAGTCCCAAATACATTGTTTATTATCAACTTAAGCTCTCTTCCAGGTAATAATCGATTTGGACAAAGAGGGAGCGATCTTCCTTGCTGCTAGGGGAGGTGCTGGTGGTCACGGCAATCAGTTTTACAAAACAAATGAGATGCGAATCCCATTGAAAGCTGAATTAGGTGGACTGGGTGAAGAAGTTAGTTTGTTTGCATTATTTTTAGTGCAAAGTTCATACCTTGCTTACTAAAAGTATGTTCTTGAAAATATTCTTGAACAAAAAATAGCAAGGAATTTTCTCCTTTTAAAGATGTTTGTTTGATTATTTATAAAACTACCATTTCAGTTAACATATGACGTGGAAATGTGCAGAATTGCTACTGCTGGATTAATAGGATATCCTAATGCTGGAAAATCGTTGGCTTTTCAGAATTTTCCGAATGTTTAACTTTTTTTTTTTTTCATAACATTAAGAAAGGATTTTTGCTATGTTTCTGATTTATAATGAAAATCTTTTCCTTATTCGGATTTTCAGTTCTCTTCTGCGTGCAATTTCTAGAGCTAAGCCAAAGGTGGCTTGCTATCCATTTACTACGTTAACAGCCTACATTGGTGTTGTGCATTACGAGGATTTCATACAAGTAGCTGGTACTCTGATTTTTTTTCAAGCTCAAAGTTTTTGGTTTCGTTTTGAAAGCAGCATAGAATGAATTTTCAACTTTTTTAGTGGCAGATATTCCTGGTATTGTCGAAGGATCACATGCAGATGTCGGCCTTGGACATAGCTTTCTGAGGCATATTACACGATGCCACTGCTTGTTTTATGTTTTGGATTTAACACTGTCTCAGTTACGGGTTCGTTAAATTATTAGAGCTTATTCTGTCTCCTTGCGTTTTTTTTTTTTTTTTAAACAAGACTAGTATTTGAGGCTCTGATTTCCAGAAACAGTTTGATTCATTAAAATTTGAAGTGGATCAATACCAGCATGGTTTGGGTAGTCGATCTACTACCATTATTATAAATAAAATGGATTTGGCACTACTGGATGTATGCTTTCGTTAATATTCTTGCTTTTCAATGTTTGCAGTTTAAACTTTTCATGAGCATTCCATAGATCATACAGTTTCACTTTTATTTGTTGTTTACAGATTTTGTATTAATTATTGGGAATCTCCTAAATTTTAAATGAGTTGAATTAATCATTTCTTAGGTAATGGAGTTTCTGTTAAAAAATTGTCAACTCATTTATATTTCTTGACAGTTCAGCTTGACAAAGATGCTATTCGACAGCAATTCCTTGGTTATTCGGTATTCTTTATTTCGGCTAAATTTGGTACTGGTATCGAAGAGCTTCTAATGCATTTACGTGAGCAATATGACCGTGCAAACAGTGCGATAACACAGCAGTTACAAGAACTGTAGAAGGATCACAACAGTAAGAGCATGAATTTCGGTTACTGTTGTTTAATACAATAATTTGTTTGGTTAGCAAGAAAATTATTGTAATATATGAAATTACTATGTCGAAGGCATCTATATGTAAAAGGAAAATCCATGTAATTTAACCTTATTTAAATCGTTTTCAAGACTGGGAAAATATTTACACGCTTAGTAAAGAAGTAAAGCATGAAATAACAGTGGTAAACCTATATAGTATAGGGATGCCATAGTTGAATGACGTTTGCTGCTGTAATAACTATATGTGCGTGTTCTTTTCACATAAATTTTCCTCATAAATTTTTAGATTTCTCCAACACTGTTTATGTTCATCCATAAGGTTTCAAGAAAAGTGAAGCTTTTTGGTACCTAATATGAGAGTTGCTATACTTTACTACACAAGTCACACTCTTTCAATTTCTCTTTTGCTGTCTGCCCTGAACTTTATCTGTTAGTGCAAAAAAGTACTCTAGAATTTATGGTATACCGAAAAGCTAATATGATTAATCATGACGTACACAAAACTTTTTTAGTTAAATGTAAGGATTGGATTTCGTAATGTTTGAGGTTTTTTTTTTTTTTTTTGAGCAGGTTTTTGTTTGTCATGTCACCCTACAGTTTTATCGTTTCAAATGGTCGGGGGCTTACGAATCAGTCTTTTTCGTCTATTGCTTAAATATACAATAAAAACCAAAAAGATAGCCAGAGAGGCATGCAAAAACAAAGTCCATTGGTGATGAGGTTTTTTATGTTAGGTTTCGTGTTTTAAAGTTATTTAATTGCTAAAGAAATAAAAAAAATCACTCTTTGACATATGTGGTGTTTTCAAAATATCGTAGAAAAAATTAGAAACCATAACGCGATACGTAAATCCATAGTAGTTTCCATTATTTCATAGAATGATAAGCTGAAGAATGAAGCTTTGGACGTCACTTGGCTAAGGAAGAGATGGCTTATAGATGGTAAGTTATTTTTAAAATCAAGTTGTTAAATATTAACTTAAATCTAAGGATTTAGAAGGCTGAAAGTATGAAGAAATGTTTGATTTTCCAGCACGTAAGGGTATCATCTAGGGATTTTCTGCATTTAATGCATATCTTTTGCAGTATTATCATTATGAAGTTTAATCAATGATTAAGAAATTTTCAAATTGTAAATATTATTATAAAAAAATAAACCGAGGTAGGCTTAGTCTGTACAGATCGGAACATCAGAATTCGGGATATTTACACATCAAGGTGGATGGATCGATACGTATCTGTGTGCATGGTCGTGTCTCCGATACAATTTGCTTTCCTTGTATCCTCACATTCTGAGGTACACTATGATTGAGTTTAATAGATATAGTATGGAGGTCGTTTAGCACATCAGGTTTATTTTATTGGCAATGGAAAATGACTTGCTGTATTTTAACTATATCTTTTATCCTTACGATGGTTCATAATGCTGAATTGCATAGGTACCAGTTAGTGGTCCAGCTATCTTATTGCAAGCAAGTCAGGGAAACAGATGAGGATCTCCTTGCGACAATTCTGACGAGAAGGATTAATCCATTTTAAAATTTCGTCACTATCTAACCAATGAATTCATTTTATATAGCCATTATCTATTCCATTTCTAGAATCATTTTTCATTTTCAGTTACATGAAACAGGCAACAAAAATCACCCAAATGTTAACATTAATTGGGTGTAAAGTAATTTTTAGAGAAGCTTCTAGGACTGTCTATAAAAGTAAGAAAAGTAAAAGTGAAAAATAAAAATAAGGTAAGGAACAGAAATAAAGAAAATTGGTTACTGTGCTGTTGAGTGACTGTATACCCCTTTCCTGAAAATTTAAATTGCTGGATTTATTCCATTCTGCTGTAAAAATAAGGTTTTTAGAATGTGGTATGATTCCTACAAAAGCGAGAAAAATCCCAAGTGATAAATAACAAAGCTTCATTGAATGAATTGTCACTGAGGAGATATCATATGTGATTACAGATTGTTTGTGACAGCTACTGTGGAATCTAGTTAAATTTTCAGGCAGAGCAGTACTTAATCGAAATTTGTTAAGAGCCAGGTGAAAACTGAAAGTGAAAAAGAATGAGGAATGCGTACCTATGAATGAATTGTGGCTGCATGAATTCATTTCAGTTTGTTGCATTTCACATCAGTCTGTTCCATTCATTCCCGCTTGTGAAATAATTCGTTAGTAGAGATTTTTCTTAAACTGCAACTGTAAATCTGATGTACGAGAATTTATGAGAATAGTTCATTTACAGCTTGATTGTTTGCACGGAGATCGAATAAAATTAGTATTCCGTAATAATCACTGTTGAATTGTAAATCAGAGGTTCTATATTAAATATGAATTATGATGACATTAAGTGTATTTTATAACATTGTCATTTCCATAAATTTGTCATGCAATTTCATATAAGTGCGTTTGTGCAGTTCTTGATTATGATGACATTAAAGATAGACATTTCATCGATTCTCTCGGTTGGATCATTGTTTGACAGATGGTCATCAAGCATTTCAAGAATTCTAATGACTTCTAAATACCATAACAATTGATATATATTTCATATATATTAAGTAAAAGATTCTGAATTATCAATGCCACAATCTATAGTTACTGATAAATAATTTGTAATGCTTGTATTCTTCTATGATGAAATAAAAACATTAGGAATCTGAATTTATATTGTTAAGCATTAGTCGTTGACCAAAAGCCAATTGAATGAGACAAGGAACTTCAGAACTCATTCCGTTCCAATTATACATAACTCACTTTTCGACGGCAATTCACCTCTTGTTCTACTGGAATTTTTCGGTTAGCTCATTAAGCGATCAAGTTCGTTATTAACTTCTCTCGCAATCATTAAAGGATCGTCTTCGATGATTACTCTTAAGTAGTGGTTATGACTTTCATATCAGTCACTATGCTTCGCATTTTTAAAGTCCTCTTCTTCACAGATCAGTGACTGGATCAAAGACACTACCAATACTGTGTGCTCATCCTCCACCCCGTTTACAGTTCATTTGAACTGAATTCGCATTATATCTAACTTCACTTCTTTAATTTAAAATAATTATCGAATAACAGTAAGGGCAAAATATGAACCACTGATATCATATATAAAATAGCTACACTGATTTCGAAATTTGTTCGCTCAACAAGATAAACATTAATTTTCCAATTACTTACCCACCGCTCCAATATTCATTTTTAATACGTCTTCTATTTTTCGACTTCGAACTTTTTAAATTTATATTTATTTCATTTTACCAGTTTTCCATTTTTTCCAGACTTATTCCATAAAACTTTATCTATATCTTCTTCTATTGTTAGAAAATTTTGACCTAAATTTTTGTTTTGCAAATCTTTAAAAGCTAAACATATATAAATGCGTGTGCCATTTTACCCATTTGTAAAAAAAAAATCTCATTTTGCTTGAAGCATAGTTCTTTCTTTTTATTATATAAATAAGAAATCAATTAAAAGAGGATCTGCAGGAATGAATCCAACAATGTTATGAGAAGGATTGATTCAGAAAATTTAATATAACAGGGAACATTATGAGAATGCCTCACAGTGAGAACTGAAATCAAATTTCACCTACAACCATTACTGGCTTATTATTATTATTATTATTATTATTATTATTATTATTATTATTATTATTACTATTATTATTCATTAAATTATTCTTTCCAACAAAAAAAAATTCTTTTTTACGCTTATTTGCTTTGAAAACATTTTCGCTTTCAATGATTTGTCAGATTCTGCTCATATTTTGCATGCATATTATCAAATTGCATGTCATTTTATAATAACATCCTCCTGAAAAGTTGCAGAATTTCCACTTCCCCTTGCTTTTCTACTGATATGAATAGCGGTGAGGGATGACGGTATTTTTATTGTTAAAGATTGAGAAAAACTGATAATAAATATAATCAGATGATTATTGCCGTTATTAACAAATACATTACCAAATAATCTAAGAAATCTAACTCCTACTCTTCCTAGCTCACTTTGTGCGAAAAACTGATAAAAATTATATTACTTAAAAAAAACTTATATTACTTAAAATTACCTACTCAATCTATTATTTCTTGCATCGTAGATATAAGTTCCATCGTATCTCTGCAGTGAATTTATTGCCAAATGTCTCGTTAATTATTGTTGGCACCAACGGAAGAATTTTAGTAGTGATTCGATTTGTATGTTACTAAATTTTTTTTGATACCATTTTCTTCTTCTTTGTATGCTTCTTTTGTTGTCCAAGTTAATATCCATTGTGTGCTTCTTTCGTTGTCCAAGCTAAATTAAAATTAAACAACGAGATGTGAATTAAAAATTTTTCCTATGAACAGAGAAATGCTTTGTTATTGGATACATCGATAGCACAAGTTTCTAAACTGAAACAAAGCAAACAAAGCAAAATATACACAAGAAAACTTACAAGAAACAAGAAAAACTTTTAAGACTATTCTTTCGGTCAGTTCAGTGTGTGACATCAAGAGAAACAGTTAATGAATGATGTCATGTTAGTGGACATCGATGGATACTTCTTCATGGCAAAATATTTCCAACCTTTTAGTGCTTCTGATTTGTCTACCGCCCACAACTGTCAACGATATCACAAAAACTTTTTGGTTCAATTCAACAGTCAGTAAAGCTATCGTATTTTTCAGGTTTGTTATCAACAGATGATGTTTAGTTATAGGAGTGAGTAAAATGAATTTCTAGTTTCAGAATTTCATTGATAAATCGGTGAAAATCATTTCGTTTCTCTGCAAACATTACTTCTTATCTCCTAAAAAAACTGTATAGAACCTTATCAAATTTTTATAAAGAAATTATAAAATTTAACAGTACAATTATGTTCTGCAAAATACCAATATGTATGTCAATATTTTAACACTTGTCTGTGTTTCACTGCAACGATTGCATGCAACAACACTATACTTGAACAAGAACTATGGTAAGCAAAACAGATGATGATACTGATAGATTATTGAAGAAATATTGTCAATTCCTGAGCCATTAACGATTAGAACATATGTTTTATCGACTCAATTTTACTACTAAAGTAAGGTAAATTTTGCATGTTTATATGTGTTGCCTAATACCTATGTGCATATTACAATTAAACCCAGGATATAGAACTTTCATTAGTTAATCCAATTTAATCTCATAAAGACAAAAGTCAAAATCAATTGATAACGGCACTTGAAAATATTGTTCCTAACTTTAAAGAAAAGAATATTTGATTGATAAGATTTAAAGAAAAATGGAAGTATACTGAGCCTTTTTCAACACAAATTCATTTGTCGTTGGTAAAAATCGATGAGGAGTAAAAATAAAAGGTCAAAGAAATTCTATTTTATCATTTCTGATTATTTGATGGCTTCCATTGACAATACTTTTTTGAATAAGACAATTTAGCAGGACTTCAATACTATCATTTGGCTTTTATACTGGTAGCAGCACATTCCAAGACGTCAAACATTCCTAGACCTTAAACATAGATACTCCAAGTACACCATCCTAACCTATACACTATAATGGTGGAAGAAACAAGGCCTAACTCAAAAAAGACTGTGTTAGGCTCATTCAGAATACTCAGTTATAGAACTAACTATATAGCTATCAAATCTAAGGTCTAGTTTAAGGATGTTTAAATATTGTCAACAGAGGTGGCTTGCTTAAAACTGTGAAGAAATTCATTCCATTATTTTATAAATTGAAAACATGCTAGGGTCTCAAATTATCAATCTGTGACATCATCTATATTAAATTATTATTATGCATTATACAATTCTGAGATAATCACTAAAAGCTATCTAATTTTTCATTTTTCTGAGCAAAGCCGACAACAAGAAAATTTACTTGAAAGTGACTGAATGAAGAAAGCTGGTCGTAAACTTATGTAAATGGAGTCAGTTCCAATTTTCAGGCTGCGAATTTCCTTTTTATTAATGAGTTATTAGTTGTCATCCTATATGTTGCGGTCAGTTATTGATTCTGACCTGTTACAAAGCAAAAGTTATTAAGAGATTTTCCGACGCGATTGTTTTCTTCTCTGTCTAGTATGATTTGCATATGGGCAGAACTGCTCTCCTAGGATAATAATTGTAAAATACACTGGACTGAAAAATCTAATTCATCATCTAAGTTTTAGAAAGTCATTCTGCTAACCCATTTACTACTTATTATTAGTGATGTTTTCTTATTTTACTGCAACTTCAAATCTTTACTATAAATGGAGAAATAACTTGATTGAAATTCAATTTTTTCCAGGAGGAAAGCAACCAAGATATTTTGGATGATTGTAATCTTATTTCACTTGTACTCTCTCTGTAATCTTGCTTTGTAAGTTTCACATATGATATTTGTAACTAAGTAATACATTTTTTTGCGAAAAGATGAACGAGCAAAAAAAGATGAGAGAGCGAAATATCTCCGCCTATCAGTTTCAACCAATTGTGAATTGTTCCTGAAATTTATCAACACCTATCCTTGATTCATCATTGTTTCTTTTTTCCTCCAATCATACTTAATAAGTT